TCCAATAATTACATAGGTTCATCATCTTCATTAGAAGCAGTAGCATACAAGACTACTAACACAATAATCGCAACATTATCTAGGTGAAGTAAGTGAACACAATCCTTGTAGGGTTTACGATTTTTTTGTTGTTGTGTGAAGGGAAATGCCGAAGAGCCATTCGTCTTTCTCTCTCCATCCATAGCTGTTTTGATTGAAATGTTGAGAGTATAGTAATTGATGATGGACAATCTTCGACTGTTCATAATACCAAGTGGCTGACAACTGCTACTGAATAACAATAATAACAATGGTTAATGGCTGTTGCAGAAGAGATGAAGGAGACATATCATCTCTTTCGATATAAAAAAAATAGCAAACACACTGTCATTGTGATTTAAACGACGGAGAATCATCGCGCGATTGAGAATAGATCATAAGACTCCTCTCTAACGGTTGAAAATCATCATCTCTTAGCAGGAAACAATCATCATCATCAGTACTGTAATATAAGAATCATTGATTCCTATCTGTGCTAATATTTCTAGTTTTATTGTATATATATATCTTGAAAGATTGTTTATCAAAAAGCCCTTCAATTTGGCTTTAATCTAAGAAATCTTTAGAAAACTTGTATAGAATTAATAATAATAATAATAACAATGGGACAAAATAACAAAAGACCAGTTGTCGGTGGAACCATGATGGCCAATCCCCACCAAATGAATGGGCATATGCACCAAAATAATATTTCTACAAACAGCTTTGGAGTTGAACCACATGGTGGTCCTCTTAACCTTGAACCAAATAGTCAGTCTAATATGATTTACAGTAGTGATTCAGGAAAAGTAACTTTGGATGATTTTGAATTACTTAAAGTTATCGGACAAGGTAATTTCGCAAAAGTAATGCAAGTCAGGTTAGTATTATTATATTAGTATTTGTTGATATTAATAATGTCATCAATTACTTGAACACAATTTTATGAATTCATCACAAATAGGAAAAAGGATACCCAAAAAATTTATGCCATGAAGATATTGAACAAAAAGAAACTCGAGGAAAGTGACCAATTAGAACATATTAAAACAGAAAGAGCTGTTCTGCAATATGTAGAACATCCATTCCTTGTAAGGCTGGTTTACGCCTTCCAAAGCACTGAAAAATTATACATGGTCATGGATTTCATAAATGGTGGAGAACTGTTTTTCCACTTGAAGAAATTGAAGAGATTCCCAGAAGATCTTGTAAAACTTTATGCTGCAGAACTTTTCTTATCTTTGGATCACTTACACAAACATAATGTTGTTTTCCGTGATTTGAAACCAGAAAATGTTTTGATGGACAAGGATGGTCACGTTATGCTGACGGATTTCGGTCTTGCAAAATTCCTTTCTAATCAAGATCGTACTCATACTTTCTGTGGTACACCTGAATATTTAGCGTAAGTATCCCTTATCAAATATTTTAAATTTACCTTATTATTAGTCCTGAAGTTCTCTTACAGAAAGGTCACGGTAAACCAGTCGATTGGTGGTCTTATGGTACCCTAATTTATGAAATGTTAGTTGGTATTCCACCATTCTATTGTGAAAATGTTCAAGAAATGTATGATAGAATACTTAATGGAGAACTTGTTCTTCCAGATGAATTTATTTCTCTTGAATGTCAAGATTTACTTGCAAGATTATTGGAAAGAGATCCTCGAAGAAGACTTGGAAGTGGACAAACAGGAAGTGACGAAATTAGAAATCATCCTTGGTTCAGTGATTTGAACTGGGAAGATGTTTACTTTAGAAGATACAAGCCAAGATACAAACCGAATGTTAAAAGTGAAGAAGATACAAGTTACTTTGATGAGGAATTTACAAAACAAATGGCTGTTGACAGTGTTTCTGCAACCGGAGTTCTGGATGACAAGCTTCAAAGAGAATTTGAAGGTTTCACTTACACGGAAGGTGGATACATGAATGACAAGGTAATGAACTACTAATTAACCATTACAACAAAAAGATGTACATTATAATGTTGTAATATACCTGCAAATTATTGTAATTTCTCAAAACAAATAAACCAACTACTTTTAATTTAAACCTTATTTTCAATTATTGGAAAACCAATAATCTCACACATGAAACTGAATATTTGATCCTTAGTCAATTCTGATTTTAATTCTTTCAATATTGGATCTTCAGGTAGAACAAGATTTTCATCAATTTGGGTGGTACCTATCGGAGTAGCTTGAGTGGTTAATTGTGAGGATTGAGGAATCTCATTGTTTGGGGCACATGGAGTTTCGTTTCCTTTTTGCTGTGGTGTGGTTTGTTCGCTTATTGCTTGATTATCCACCCCTATTCTCGATCCATTGAACAATGAGTCAAGAATGGAGGATGATTCACAAGTGGAGGGAAGATTCTTCTTGTTTTCATCTTCTTTTGAGTTGAGGAAAGCCTTTAGAATGTTCTTTCCAAGTTGAGAGAATTTACGTGATAATCCTAATGATGATCTTCCCTCAAATTCTGGTGTTTCAGCCATTCTTTCGAATATATCTTCGTCCACTAAATCAAATGATTTGTCATTGTGTTGATAGATAAAATTCATCATATTTCTAATTTCCTCATCAGAATATTTGGACTTTTTCTGCTTCTTTCTCAAACTCTCGGAAGGAGACAATACAAATGATGAAACATCTCCAATCCAAACACCTTTCGAATAACTTTCCTCAATGAATTTCTCAGATAAAACCATTCCAATTCCAGAACTTGCCAACTCTTCATCGAATTGATTCGAAATAATAAAGTCAGCATCTTCAATCTCATCCACAATTTCACCTCCCAATGTCAAAGCCTTTGTCATTATTTCATCCATCCTGCAGCAACTAGTCTCCAATTTATCTTGTTTGATATCAAAGAAGAATGAAAAAGCCTTGTTTGAGTGTTGTATGAAATTGGATTTTGATCTTTTGCTTCTTCTCTCGCCACCACCTCTTGCCATTTTTTTTAGCCTTAATTTTTTTTCAACTTTGTTCCCCAACACAAATTGCCTTTAATTTGCATGCATAATATTTAAACCTTAGGGCAGTCATTCCTCAAAGAATGTAATCTACTTCTATCAAAGGCAATTTTGCCATCAGGACATGTTTTGGAAGTGGAGTTTTGCACTTCTAATATTTAAATTCTCCACTAAATTTGCCAATTCATGCTTGTTGTCATCTCACCATAACAATCATCACAATTATTAACACTCTTAAAAAATTGTTTCAACAATTGAACATCCTAAGACTCAAATTTCAACATTTTCTTTCAGACTTTGAAAGGGAAAATTGATCAACAAACAACTCATCAAAATTTGATCTCTCAACAAGCGACACCTCTCTCTAGCTTATCGTTCACCAAGCCACAACAACAATTTTGCAAAACATAAAAATGAGCGAACAACCAAAGATCGTTCATCTCACACGAGACAATCACCCCTCAGAGAGCAGCAATACTTTTTCATCATCAACATCAACAACATCACTGAATGGTGAGGATGGTGTTGTTGGAGAGCAGGTGGGAATTAAATCCTTTACTGGTGAAACATTTGATTCCTTAACTTCCCCACTCCCAAGATCCCACTCACTCCCATTTGGTTTATCGGAATCAGCAAGTGGATTCTTTACAACAACAGAAGATGAAGAGGGTTTTTCTAATGAAATTTCCAGAATTATTGAAAAGGAAGTCATCAAGGAAATTAATGAAAAAGTTAGAATACATAAACATGAAGTACAACATGCAGTACCACTTACCCTGATGGATGTGATCAATACAATGAAGGAAGGTGCTGAAAGTGTTCAAAGAGACGATTTTACAGAATGTTTCCGTCCAAAACCACCAGAACCTTGGAATTGGAATCTTTTCCTGTTTGTTGGTTGGTTGATCGCATTGATCGGACGTTACTGTATACTTTTACCATTGAGAATATTATTATTCTTATCAGGAACTATTGCATTCATATTAGTAACTTTGATTTTAATGGTATTGAGAAGTATCTTTGAAAAAAAGAAAAATTCACAAGAAGAAACTGAACAAGATCAACAAGAAGAAAAGAAAATTACCACCCTTGATTGGTTAGTAAGAAAATCACTCCAATATTACAGTGCTATTTGGATTCACAGTATGTCAGGAGTTATCAAAATTCATGGCATTCCTCCTGTTAGAAGAAAGAATCAAATTTATGTTTCAAACCACACTTCACTTATTGATTTTATTCTCTTAACTTATTTGTGTGGTGTTGCAACTGTTGGTCAAAAGCATGGAGGTTTTGTTGGATTTATGCAAGATAGAGTTGTTTCTCCATTGAAGAATATTTGGTTTGAAAGATTTGAATCAAGAGACAGAAAGAAAACATCTCAAAGAATTTATGATCATATTAATGATGTCAGTAATCCACCACTTTTAATTTTCCCAGAAGGTGTTTGTGTCAATAATGAATATATTGTCATGTTCAAGAAGGGTGTATTTGAAATTGAGGATGTTGAAATTTGTCCAATCGCTATCAAATATAACAAGACTTATTCTGATCCATATTGGAGCAGTCGTGACGAATCATTCCTTGTTCACATTTTGCGTATTATGAAGAGTTGGTGTTTGGTGGCAGATGTTTACTTTTTGGAACCACAAAAGAAGAGACAAGACGAAGATGCCATTCAATTCACTGATAGAGTCAAGAATATGATTGGAAATAAGGCTAAATTGATTAGTTTGGATTGGGATGGTTATTTGAAATACTATTCTCCTTCTGTGAAATTGACAGAAGCCAGACAAAAGGTCAATGCTGAAGTAATGAAGAGAAGATTTTTAATTGGTGTTGAAGACATTATCAGAAGTGCCAGTACCAATTCACTTGATGGATTAAATACTCTTCACAATAAGAAGACTGTCAGATTCAAGGATTCTCCATCATCTCCATCTGATGAAAATTCTCCACCTTCCGACAAGCCTCAAAATAATAAGGAACATAAAGAATAAATTATTTCATACTTTTCAATTTCTTATAGAGTACGTGAATATTTTCCTTTGGTGTTTCCTTGAAGAAATTTAACAGTGTTTGTTTATCGGAAAAGCATTCTTCAACAAAGGATTGATAAATCATGTGATTATATAGGCTATCGGCATCACGATCTCCTTTGATTACAGAGTTAATCTCTGCCAAAAAATCAATTGTTGATGAGGGTCTAACCTCCTTAGGTGGTGTATTCATTTTTTTTAAATGAAATTTATTTTTAATCTATTGTACACAAACAGACAAAAAATTGCCTCTTCACATCACCACCAATAGTTTTAGCTCAACGTTCTAATCAACCATCAATCCTCTTCAAAAAAAATACTTGAAATCATGTCAGCTCAACCTCACGAAGATATTATTATAGATCAGAGTCTTGAAGACCTTCTTCCAATTGTTATTACAGAATATGATGCCATCTCTAGAAAGGGTATACAATCATCTTTCCTAGCTAGAGATTTGGTTAGAATGTACGATAAAATTACCTTCTACAAGCACAATAATACGGAATTAGACTTGACTCTATACAATAATATAATTTCAACTTCAAGTGCTACTTCTAATAATACTGATGGAGATGCTAATAATAATAGTAAAGAAGGTACACAAATTAATGATGAAAATAATCATACTGACAACAAGCCTAATAAGAATGACGATGAAGCTGTTGTTGAAATTATTGAAGGAAATCAACAACAATCGGTCAATACTACTTCAACTAATGGAACATCTTCTGAAAATCTTGTTGCAGAAACTCCTAATATTGTGGCCGAATCTTCAAATAATTCGAAAGTCAAAACACCAACCGATGATGTGTCAACAAGTGTTGCAACCACACCATCCAAAGAAAAATCAATTCCTATTTCATCTCCTTCTGGTGTATCATCTCCAACAAAGAAAGATGTTGAAATTATTGTGTTACCATCTAATCAACAAGTAGAAAAGATTGACCACCAAAGAATTACAGATTTAGTATATAATGAATTTGAAAAGGATGAATTTACACACTTCCCTCACAATAATTCAAGTCTAGATGATCCAGATAGAAGTGATCAACTCTTTGTAGATATTTTGAACTTACTTTCCAAATCATTTGCTTTCAAACAATCGGTTCCATGTCAGCCAATTTTGAGTTTGAAAGAATTCAAGGAAATTGTTGTGAGCAAGGCAGTTCAAAATTATGTGAGCAGTCTTTTAGAAGGAAAATTCGGTGATAATCATCCAGTTGTCAAATATTTAACACTTGTAGATCAGGCATTCGTAGTTTCCCTTTTGGGACACTTTGCCGAAGCTCTATTCTTTACCAAAACTCCAATTAGATTTAAGGATATTAGAGGAACTTGGAGAATTGATGTCAGACTGTATCAAGATAAGATTTCAATGGTTCACAGAAGGTATGTTTCTCACTGATTGATGATTAATTTATTAATTATAACCATAGAACTGAACAAATGTTAAAACCTCTAGGAAATACCATGCTAAAGAACTTGTTCCAATTCAGTTGGCAAGTTGAAATTATCTATGATTCTTATTCATTGGAACAAATTGGCGCTGTGCATGTATCGTTATTGGAAGTAGATTGGGCCTCATATGATGAAAGTTTAGGAATGAATCAAAAACAAAAAGATGAAATGCAAAAATTATTCATTAGAATGTTTTCAAAGAGTAAGGCAGACAGCAAGTTACCTGTTAAAATAAGCATGGTCGATATTTCTCTAAAACATGTTCGATTACTAGTTAAGGAATTGAGGCAACAATCTAAAAAACTTGTCAAACCAAATTCGGAAACCTCCTCAGATAACAAAAGCTGGTTCTCTAGCATTTTCACTAGTCCAGAGTCAGAGGATGATCCTTTCACTTTCGTATCCAGCAGTAAGAAGAAATAAATTCTCTAAGATACCTAATTAATTTAAGCAACAAGTAGAATACTGGGTGAAAAAATACAAAATTTAATTATAAAAAAAAATTTAAACGTTTATTAATCGTATGAACCCGACGGGTTCGTCTTGATGATATTACGAATATTAAATAATAAATTCTTTCTTGTTGGGATTGCTTTGTTCATTTCTTGTAACTCTGTGGACACAAATACTTGGCTTGAACACCCTATGCTGGAACCCCGGGTAGTATAGGGTACGGTGACTTAACCCGACGTAAGTATTGCGGCAACACACTGTGGTCTCAGGGTCAACAGTGTAGTTACTGGGTGGTACGACATTTTTTTTGAGACGAAATTATAAAAAAAAATGACAGACAAGGCATCTATGGAAGAAATTTTCGGCTCTGATTTTGAAGAGGAGTCTGAAGAAGAGCAACAACAACAACAACAAAACGAGGAAATACAATCATCATCTGATAATGAAGTAGAGGAATTTACACACAGAAGAGTAACTAGATCATCCGAACATCAAAAAATTGCTGAAAAGGAAAGATTAGAAGAAGAACAACGAAAATTGGAGGACCAAATGCTTACATCACAAGCTGAACATTACGATTCTTTATTATATAAATATGATAGTGATGGTGACGATGAATCAAAGCAAGTCTTGGAAGTTAAACATAGTGAGAGACCAACCAAAGATAGTTTAGATCTCTTCTTCCTCCGTACTCCTATACAATTTAATACTGATGAAAAGGAATTTACAGAGGAAAGTTCACTTCCAAAGAATGATTTGTATACTATTCGTTGGAAAAAGAATGAGGAAACTGGAGAAATTGAAAGTAATACTCGTGTTGTACAATATGAAGATGGATCATACCAAGTTTTTGTTGGTAATGAAGTTATCTTGAATTTGGAAGCTAAGAAATATACTAATTATAACAATTTACATTTGTTTGAAAAGGTTAGCCCATTCTGTTATTATGGACATGGTATTTTCACACACAGACTCAACTCTAAAGCTACATCAACACAAACAAAAGGAAGAGACATTGCTCTCAAACTTACCAAAGGAACAACAACAACCAAGATAAAGAAGACAGTTCTGACATCAAAGAGACCTGAAACTGAGGAAACTAAGAAGGTTATGGAAGAAGCACAAAGTTTAAAGAAGAAGCAACAAAAGAAACAACAAAAGTATCAAAATACATTGACATTGGACAATGCCTCTCTGGAAGATGCTGGATCATCCTCCGATGAAGAAGGAAATGTCAGAAAGATTAAGAGAAATACTCTAAGAAAGCCAAAGAGATCCTCGTATGAAGATGAAGAAGAAAGTGCTGATAGTGCTAGTACTGGTAGTGACGAAGAAAGTGCCGATAGTTATTCAAGTGATGACAGTTCAAGAGCATCAAAGAAGAGAAGATAGACATTCATGATCGTCGCTAAATAGGAATGATGATGATGAATAAATAATTTATTAAATAGTAATCAATTCATCAGCAATTTTAATATTTAAAAAAAATTCAAGAAAGCTGATTGGACAATATAACCACCTTTCCGATTACTATAGTATTTATTTGATCACAAAGTGATTGTCGTTATTATTGGAAGTGGATAAAGAAGTTTTTTAAGAATTTAATTTGTATATATAAATAATTGTAAATTTACATATAGAAAACAATAGAATGAGAAGAGGAGTAGGAATAGGAGCCCTTCAGGCTGATAAACTCAGACAACAAAAATTCAAAGAGAAGGGAGAAGATGTAAATAATATGCAAGTATCTCAAATGAAGGAAAGATTGGACATTTTCAGACAAAGTTTGGAAGAATTTGCAATTAAACATAAAAAGGACATTAACAAGAATGCTGAATTTAGACATCAATTCCAACAAATGTGTTCAAAAATTGGAGTAGATCCATTAGCCTCTAACAAGGGTTTTTGGGCTGAATTATTGGGGGTTGGTGATTTTTACTATGAATTAGGTATTCAAATTATTGAAATTTGTCTCAAAACAAGAAACCAAAATGGAGGACTCATTGAATTGAATGAATTAACTGAAAGAGTTCAAAAAACAAGAAACAAGTATTCACAAAAAGATTATGAAATTACAACAGATGACATCAAACGTTCCATAAAGCACTTGAAAGTGTTGGGAAATGGATTTCAATTGGTTATGGTTGGAGGTGGAAGATACTTTGTGCAATCAGTTCCGTGTGAAATGAATGCTGATCAGACATCCATCCTTTCAAGTGTATTGGCCAAGAAGGCTCTTGAGGGTATGACAGTCTCAGACTTTGAAAGAGAATTAATGTGGTCCAAGGAGCGTGTTGTTTCAGCTCTTCGACCTCTTATCATGGAAGGGTTTGCATGGATTGACACCCAATCACCCAAAGGAGAAGATGAATATTGGTTCCCTGGCTTGATATCTCAATAGTGTACTACAATTAAATATCTAATTTTAGTAAATTATTTCACTCTAAAAGAATTTGACAGCTCTTTTCTAGAATTATGTTACAAGAAATGTACAACTCTTTAAAGAATAATTCATTAATTGATCCACAAACTCTTGAGATCGATTCTGGAAAGTTATTGGACTTACTAAATGTTTTGAAAATGTTCAGGAAGATTTTGGTGATTTGATAATGAGGAATATTAATGGATTTATTGGCATGGCTATGCTAACATAAAAATGATGAAACCAAACTAATACAATATTTTGAAAGATGATAAGTTCGGTTGGGAAGAATTCGCTTACTCCCGTTCATGTGCTTAATATTTTCTTAACACATAAAAGATTAAGACAAAGTTTTTAAATAGAAGATTTTAAAGTAATTTACTTCTTGGATGGTTCCTTCTTTTCGACGGTCTTGATAACACCAACAGCGACAGTTTGCTTCATGTCTCTGACAGCGAATCTACCCAAAGGTGGATATTCAACGAAACCTTCAACACACATTGGCTTGGTTGGAACAATCTTGACGATAGCAGAGTCACCCTTCTTGATCTTTTCTGGGTTAGCTTCTTGAGTCTTACCAGATCTTCTGTCGATCTTTTCAATGATAGTTTCGAACTTACAAGCAATGTGGGAGGTGTGACAATCCAAAACTGGAGTGTAACCGTTTCTGATTTCACCAGGGTGGTTCATGATAATGACTTGAGCATTGAATGAAACAGCTTCTCTGGATGGATCGTTCTTAGCATCAGAAGCAACATAACCTCTCTTAATATCAGTGGTGGACAAACCCTTAACGTTGAAACCAACATTGTCACCTGGACCAGCTTCTGGAACAGAAGTGTGATGCATTTCGACGGACTTGACTTCAGTATCAGCAGCTTGACCTGGAGCAAAGTGAACCATCATACCTGGCTTCAATTTACCAGTTTCAACTCTACCGACTGGGACAGTACCAATACCACCAATCTTGTAAACATCTTGGAGTGGCAATCTCAATGGCTTATCAGTTGGTCTAATTGGTTCAACCAAGTTATCCAAAGCATCCAAAAGACATGGTCCCTTGTACCATGGCATCTTGTCAGACTTTTCAATCATGTTGTCACCAGTCCAACCAGAAATTGGGACGAATTGGACACAGTTTGGCTTACCTTCTTCAGTTTGGAAACCCAAAGACTTCAAGTATCTACCAACTTCAGACTTGATTTCTTCGTATCTCTTATCAGAGTACTTGACAGTGGTATCATCGAACTTGTTCATACAGACAATCATTTGCTTAATACCCAAAGTGTAGGCGAGCAAAGCGTGTTCTCTAGTTTGACCATCCTTGGAGAAACCAGCTTCGAAACCACCGTTAGTTGAGTCAACAACCAAGATAGCAACGTCAGCTTGGGAAGTACCAGTAATCATGTTCTTAATGAAATCTCTGTGACCTGGAGCATCAATGATGGTGAAGACGTACTTCTTAGATTCAAACTTCCAGAGAGCAATATCAATAGTGATACCTCTTTCTCTTTCAGCCTTCAACTTGTCCAAAACCCAAGCATACTTGAATGAGGACTTACCCATTTCAGCAGCTTCCTTTTCGAACTTTTCGATGACTCTCTTATCGATACCACCGCACTTGTAGATCAAGTGACCAGTAGTAGTGGACTTACCGGCATCGACGTGACCAATGACGACAACGTTAATGTGTGACTTTTCCTTACCCATCTTGCTATTAAGGTGATTAATGGATGAAATATTTTTAAGGACACTTACTGTGTTGATTGTGAATGTTTTTTTTCGAACGAGTTTTTCTAGCCTCTCTTGATGCCGTTCTTTTATACGCCACTGTAAAATCTTACAACATACAGTCAACGGTCTAACAACCAATCGATGATGCGCTATTTTACAATCTAAACGAACGCGGCTCAATCCCACAGCAGAGACTTCCGAAAAGAGTGTTGAAGATGTGGATCCAAACTTTACCTCTCACCTTAGAAAACATTTTCAGGCTTGTTGTGTGGTTGTGGTAAAATTGTTGGTGATGGGTTCATTGTCTAGAACCATCAAGCAAAAACAAATTCAACAATTGTCTTCATCATGATTGTGTTATCTTGAAGCTTCCTTAATTCTTCTTGAATGTTGAGTTGTTTCCATGAATACAAGAAGAAAATAGCATTTAGCAGCATACAATGTAGTGTCTTGTTGATATGTAAGAAACATGAGAAATAGTATTAACATCATATATCTCGTTAAAACAAATTAGTACCCCAATAGTTGTGGATTGATCACCAAGGCAATAAATAAATATTAATTGCAATAATACAGTATCATCAAAAGCAATCTGTAAATAACAACTAATATTTATTTAGAGTTCATCCTTGAAATCAACAAATTTAACATTGTTTTGTTCCAAAAGCTTTTGGAGTTCTCCAGTTTTGTGAAGCTTATGAGCCAAATCGCAACCTCCTACATATTGTTGACCAATCCACAAGGAAGGAACTGTTCTGGATCCACTTCTTGATGAAACTTCTTGTTGAATTTCAAAGCCATCGGCCAATTGATCAAGTTGTACAACATTAACATTTTCAATTGATAATTTCTTCAACAAGCCAACCAATCTTTGGCAATATGGGCAATAGCTTTTAGAGAAGACGGTTACTTGGTGATTATTAATATTTTCATCAACAAAAGTAGCAATTTCTGGGGAAGCAATAGTTCCGACAATAAATAAGTTGGCAATCAATACTAAGAAAAGAAGAGAAGTGATGACTTTCATTTTTTTGATTTTAGAATCCTTTCTAATCATATCAGAATCGTTTCCTATTATTTTGAAACAAAAAAGAAACCTTAGAAATTGTTGCATTATGATAGGATTTTAATTTACATTTATTTTGTATTAGACTTGTGTGGCTTCCTCTACTGAAACATTATTGATATTTTCTGGAATTTTGGATTCGAGTTGAGTCTTTCGCCTCGAATTTAAAACTTGAGCACATGTCTTTAAGCCAACATCTCTCTTGAATAATTCCTTCATGAATTGTTTAATGTCTTCACCCTTATCACCAACCTTATCTTCCATTCTTGCATCACCTAGAACTTTAAGAACTTGAGTTCTTTGAGCATCTCCTAATTTACTAAACCTGGTATATATTTCAGTTACTAACTCCACTACTTCAGTATTGTTGCTCAAGCCAAACTTTAAAGCATAGAGAGACTTGAGATTGGCATCATCACTAGTGAGCAAGTTGACCAATACTTGATTTGCACTTCCTAGTTGGTGTTTGAGAACTGTCAATCCTACAATAGCTTCATGCAAAATGGCCATTTTAGGATGAGAATTGTGGATTGTTACAGTTTCCATCATGACACTGAAAAATTCCTTTGTGTTCAATTCATTACTGGAGAGAATGTTCTGTCTATGTTCGTTAGTGACAACAAGAGGTGTCATTGGAGAGGTTGCCTCACCGACAGGTTCTGAGATTCTAGTGTTTGAGCTATCACCCAAGAGTATTTCCAAAAATTCATACAAACTAGATGAATTATTGACTCCCTTGATGGCTCTCAATTGTAGAAGGAATCTGTAGGACTTAACGAGCGGATGTTCAGCCAAATCATTTACACCAATTCTAACTTTAGGATCAGGGTGAATCATCTTCATGATTAACTCCTTCATACTTGGTAATTTTACACTATTAAACAATTCCATAACTCTATGAGGTTCCTCAACAACAATTTCACTGAATTCATCGTGAGAGTACGAACAGGCCAACTCTAAAATTGTCACACCCAAAGAGTAGACATCTACTGCACTAGTGTAACCAGTTCTATTGTAAATTTCAGGAGCAGCATAGAGTGGAGAACCACACATGGTACTAGCCATTTGTTTAGCCATGAGAGCCTTTGAAAGTCCAAAATCAGCCAATTTAATAACCATTCTACCATCAACAGCCTCAATCAACATGTTTGAAGGTTTGATATCTCTATGAATCACACCACGAGCAGAGCAGAATTTGATAGATTCAATCATATCAACAAACCAGCCAGTAATTGACCAAACAGGGAAGTTAACCTTTTCATTCATGACAACAGCTTCTAAATAGTCAGCAATTGATCCCAACTCACAATATTCTGAAACAATTACAATACAATCAGTATTCTTTTCATCTTTCATTTCAAAAGTATCAAGTAAACGTAAAATATTGGGATGGATCAGTGATTTCATAATTTCAATTTCGTTTTGAATCTTTTCCAAATCTCTCAACTTTTCAGGTTTAATCAAAATCTTCAATGCCAAATCTTTACCAGTATTTGTTTGTTTGACGTGATAAACTTCACCAAATGTTCCTCTACCAACCAATTTAATTACTTCATAACCAATTTTTTCTGTGACATCTCCACTAATGGAACCATGACGTTTCGAATTACCACTGCTACTACTACTACCTCCACTTGGAGTTGGTGATGTTGGAGAGTTTGCAGAATTGGCAGAGAGGAATTTTGCAGATGGTTGTGAGTTATTAGGAGAAGTTGTTTGACTTGTTGTAGCATTCGGATTATAGTAAATTTCTCCATCATAGAGTCTATTATTATTTGGAGCTTTTCTTACAGATTTACGTCTGAATTGTTGAATTTCAGGAAGTTCTTGAAAAGCCATTCTAGACTTGCTAGTGCTCACTCCAATATTACCCATGTTTTCTTTTTGTCAACAATTTGAGTTTTAAAATCTGATAATTATTATTGTTGTTGTATTATTCGATAATAATTGTCATCATTCATCGTAAAATGTTGTATAATTAATTATCATGTTGTTGTATAAATTCCATCATGATGAAAAGTATTTCATACGGAATTGTAAATATATTCATTGTCATCATCATCATTATGAAAACTTTTAAACTTACAAATTGATGATTGACCAAACAATTCAACCGACACAGTAAATTTCAAAGGAAGAGAAATAATTGGGCGCCAAAATTTGGATTGAAATGAATCAATGTTTCGCTCAGTGCTTTTTTTTGATATTTTTAAGTTTCTTATTGGCAGAAAGGTGAATAGTTGATAATAATGGGAGATGAAAGTAAGTGACAATTGTTGAATGGTGAGTTGTTTATATTGCTGAGATACATTTTGCAAGAATCTTGGTGGATTGTATTCGAAAGTAGACGATTGTATTGTTGATATGATGGGCATTATGGATTGTGATTTTATTTACGAAAGCTCTATTGTGATATCTCTAGTTAAAAATAGCTCCTCCATTTCCCTCAATAAAATTTCCAACTTTACATCATTAAGAATATATATAGAAGTGTATTAAAAAAACAATACCAAGCGTATCTTACTGCACATCGGAGATGAAAATAGTATTATAATATGTTTTTCCCTTTCAACAGAATGAGAGTGCAAAAATTACATTAAGATGAATTTTTATTGTGGTTCAAACATTAGTTTTGAGCATCGTCAATTGTTGAACTTCAGTCAGTTCCAAAATTACTGCTTTGGAGAAGAATTCACAATTTACAAATGCTTCATACTCTCTTGGATAATTAACATTTAATCAATATTATAATGTCCTGTACTTTAAAATGAAACTTTGAAATTCTTTTCAATACTTGTATGATAGTTTGTAAAATTCAATACATCACTATCTCTATAACTTTCCAAAAATCTAGATAATCTCAATATTGCTTGATCTTTAGGATTTGTCTTTAAAACAGATTGCAAATAGTCTGATACAGTATCATACTGATTCTCTGTCAAAGTTCCAGAAAATAATAGTGTGAATTTTGTTGTATACTCATCAAATTTCAAGTTTGATGGTTTCTCTTCCAACTCAGAATACCATTCATCATCTTTGGCATGATTCTTCTTCACCACTTGATAAATCTCTTCAATTGTCTTATAATCCTGATTGTAGATTCTTTCAATTGGGCGTACCACAAATCTTCCCTTTGTTGCTATAAAGCACGGTGTATCAGCAACTATAGGAATGTTCATGAAGGTTGAGAATTCATTTAAGGTTTTTGCTCTTTCCAATACAGAACCAATCAGGGCAAAGTAACGAGTTTGTTTCGAACCAACGTTACCATTCACCATTTTACCAGAAGCCACACCCATGCAGATATCCAATACAGGCCTTCCTTCCTTAGTGAGATGATCATTGAAAGGAACAAACATGGATCTAATCTTTAAACAAGTTTCCAAAGCAGTATGTGCTGGATTCTTCTCAGAGTTTGAGAAGAAGATTACAAATTCATTATGACTCTTAATTTGTAAATCTCCTCTGCAAGTTCTACAAATATTCGAAATGGAAGTGAGTGCCTTTGAAATGATAGTTGCCATAAATCCTGGGTCATAGTCAAATGTTTCTTCTGTCAGATTTGAAAGTGTCAAATAAATGACAGCACATTCAGAACGACTCAGACCAACTTTGAAAATAGAATTCTTTCCACCTTCATTCATGAAGCTGTCCTTACTAGTTAATGAACCTGTGTGAATTGATTCTGAATAAGTTCCCTTACTAATACTTGAATCAACGGGTTGTTCTGAATATTTAACTGAACGCCTCCGAGCTCGCTTGCTATCTCTCAAATTTGAATTTTCCAATTGTAACAGGACAGAATCTGGAATAAACGATTTGATTTCATTTAACCATCTTACAGTTTCAGTCAAACTAGTATAAATTGTTCTAGATTCACTAAATATGGATTTCCTTGGTCGAATATTTTCAAAATCCAAAACTTCAATCATTTTCAAATCTTGCTGCAATGTAAAGAACGGATTTGTAATAACCCATCCAATTACAATACCCACCACAATACCACATAGTGTTACAAACACAGTCACACCAATAATAATGTAACTGCTTTGAACTATACCAGCTGTAATCTCTGTATCTGAAATGAAAATGGTCATTCTCCATTTAATATTGTAAAATGAAAAGGTGCTGGTATCTACCATGTATTTGGTTCCATACGGGTCAATGATATATTTCAATGTATCGTTACATTCCACAAGTTGTTTTAACATTTTCCCAGCAAATCTTTCCTCTATTGTAAAAATATTTACTCTGTCGAAACGAATACCATCCACACAGAGTGAACTACCAATGAGATAGTTGGTATCATATTCTGATAGTACAACAAAACCATGAGTCATGACTTTGACTTGGCTTAAATAATTGGAAATTGCTTCCAGGGATAAATTGATTTTAGAAAGTCCAATTCTATTTTTCACACCTGGATATTCTGTCCTGTTGTAAATGGGTGTACTCCAATATGTTGCAACAGCTGCTCCCAGTGCTATTTCGATTGTTCAATTAAGAAATTAAATTCAAAGTATTTGAAAACTCACGTTTGTAAGGTTGTCCAAATCCACCCTCAGGATTACTCTTCAACATTTGAAGAGATTCCTTATAATAACCAGTATTTGAAACTACATAACTCGTATTCTGTGTAATCCAATCAAATTGAGTCTTTCCAGTTTCTGGATTAGTCCAATATAAAATCATTCGCTTCTCCGCCTGTTTCTTCCTAAAGAATGACAAATTATCATATGTTGTTGTGTATCCATATGAAATGTCATTCCCTCTCTCTCCAAAACAAAAATTAAGGAGTGTGACATTGAACAGTTTCAGTCTACTAAACAGATATTCCTTAATATTATCATTCATGTCAATGTAACCATTGTAATAATCTTTGGCCATGGCATCAGCCACATATTTAGGACGCATTAATTGCCTGTACAAGAACTCGCTTATAGTGTTTTTCATATTACTAACAATTTGGTCGGCCTGATCCAATGCAACAGTTTCATTCATGGAGTAAGATGTTGCCCAAATGGAAACTGCTGTGAAAACCACTAGCAATATAATGGTAATGATCAAAATTAGACGGATACTAAGCAGATATTTGAGAAGTATATTTCGTTTCTTTGCTGGCACGTTAGTTACGTCTGAACCATCTTCTTCATCTAACATATCGAGAGTCATTTGAGGAAGTGATGAATCCACATTCTGAGGTATTATCTTGACCATTTTCTATCTAACTATGATGTATATTAATTATATAAGTATTATTATTGTGATGATGATGATTAATTTTCCTTAATGATGATGTTAATTGTTTTTAATTATTTTCTATTAAGGTATGAAGGAGGACGGATATGAATTTGTTCTTGTTGGGTAGCTGCAATAATCTCTATTTGTAAAACAAACACGGAAATTACTGTTAATGTTGGTAGTGCAGCTAGTTGATGTGTTGTTCGTTGAGTTGTTTGTTATATGTGAATCCTTGAAAGAAACAAAAACGTTTTGAGCACTAAACAACCTACCGTACATTAAACAATAAACGTTAACATAAACCAAGTTGGAAGTAGCAATCATGTTTGGCCGTGGCAGATCGTTGAAGTGCGTTTATGAGAACAATTAAGGCAAAATACAGTATTAATGACACAAACTGGATATTAGAATCCTCAATATTGAGAACATTGTTGGCTTACAGTTCTCCTTACGAAGAGTGTGTTGCTTTTTGGCGGGAAAGTCCAGAAGGAAGGGATCAGCGTATTTGAAAGGATGTTCTCTATAAGCCACACAATGGTGTTTGAGTATAATTGAATGTCCAAATCAAACACAGACAAATTTGGTTATAGGAATAGACAGAAAGTTTTCATGTGATAGTCCATTTAAGTTGGTCTTTGTCTTGTCTACATTATATGAGACCAATCAGAGAAGCTGCATCAATTCCTTAAGAACGTTCTCAACAAGTGGAGATGAAGTATTTGAAAATAATTCCTTAAAGGAGGGTCATGGAAAACTCTTGATTTAAGGGCGGTGAATATAGTGAAGATAGTATTTTGAATGTTACATTCAACAATTTCAAAGAACTCTCTGATCGTTAATAATAATAGATTCATAATTATAAAATCTGATTTAAAAGGTGAAAATCACACAAGTGAAGTTTGTGAATTTTAAAATTCAAACAAAAAAAATGATTGAAATCTTTGCATGGATTGTTATTGTAATTGTGCTCTCTCTTGTTGCTTCCTATCATTACTACATGAATATCCGATCTGAACAACCCTATCTCAGGAAGGGCTCCGAATCACTAGAATCAAAGCCGATTAAAATTATTCTTCATGGACCTTGTGCTTCTGGAAAATCAACTCATTCTAAAGAATTATCAAAGTCGTTGAATATTCCAGTAATTGATTCCGATTTTCACAGATTTTATCCAGCTCATGAATTTGAGTGGAAGAATAAGAGTAGAGCAGAGTTTGTTGCAGCTGTTGAGAAGGATATGGATCAATATAGAGAGAAAGGTTGGGTGTTTGATGGCCGAGTGTTGCAATTACCATCTGTGGTGAGAGAGGCAAATGTTTTGATCATGATGGATTATGCACTCATTGTTACCTATTGGAGATTGTTAGTAAGGTGTGTCAGTAGATGTATTTCAAAGACCAAGTGTTGTAATGGGAATGTTGAGAGATGGACCAATCAATTGGGGAAGGACTCACTCTTTGTGTTTGAATTCAGTTGTATGGTAGATGCTAAGAAACGTGATATTGGAATGAACAAACATTTCGAGGAGAATCCTCATCTTCATATTTTCAGAGTGCTTTCGCCACGAGATATGGAAGATTTGTTAAAGAAACTTAATTTTAAAAATTTGTAAATATGAATTGTAAATGGTGATACATTTATCCAAATAATTATTGTTCCTTTTTGTTCAAACTAAAAGGTTGTTGGAATTGGTGCATCATTGGTTGTGGAAATAATTGATAAGGTTGTGCTGGTTGAATTATTTGATGTTGATCTTGTAAAGGTTGTAGTGGATATTGTAATAGTGGTTGAAACTGTTGCACACTAGGTTGTGGATATACTTGATAAGGTTGCTGTACTCCAGATTGCACAAATTGTGTTGACATAAATGGAGCTAGCTGGTTCATTTCAAATGGGTGAATAAGTGTTGGCATATTGAATAGTGTTGGTTGAATAATTGGAGTTTCTTGTTGTGTTGGTTTTGGCTCAAAATCTGAAGAACCAGCCATTGAAATTGTGCAATCATATTCGTATAGCTCGCTGCAATAGTTATAACCAACATCCAGGCTAACTAACATGATAAAAGATCTTATTGCACTCCTATCAAGTCCAATCAAAGACATTATTTGTGCTATCTGCTCGTCACTTCTTTTAACTTTAGGATCTGAGTACTCACGATAAGTTTCAAGTAAGAGGTCTGAATTTTGCCAATCGAATGAGTTCAGTACCATTTCGTAAGTGACAGACATTTCCACAGAGCTGTCACCATGATTTGGAGACATTTTAGAATAGTCAAGATGAAATTTCACAAAACCATACTCTCCAAGATTGAGCATTGAAGTCACTTTCACATTTGTTATACTATCCTTTGCAATATAATTGGAATCGTTCTCAATATCTAAAACAAACAGTCTTGGCTCGACAATCTTTTTGATTTTTTCATAATTTGGTTCTGCATATAACTCATAATCTCTAATCCGATATTCAGACCTTACTAATGGTTCAAAGTTAGCATGTTTCTTCTTTGCACGTTCCAAAACAAACATATTAAACAGAAAAGACTTTTGACATGCCTGAAATTGACCAACAGCGGAAAATTCAAAGTTGCATATCTTTTGATAACGTGTTTTCCATTGACCATTAAAATCAACCATAATCCAATCATACCATGCTTTACAAACACATCTCAATATTGTAAGAATACTCTCCACATCAAACCAAGAAATAATTTCAAAAAACACATCCTTCTGATTCAACAATAATTCAATCTCTATGGGAACAAAATTTCTCTTATCGTAAACCTTTAGTTTCTTCCACTCAGAAGGAATAGTTTCTTCAGAGGAATCAATTTTCCTTTTTTTAACTCCTTGATGATTGCCACTACCACTCTTATCATCATTATCATCTGTTGAAGTAATGACTGACAATGATTTTGGAGCATCAATTTCATAAACTTCGGGACGGACCAAATTTCCTTCTTGCACTACACAATTAATTTGCAATCGCTTTCCTGCATGGAAGATGAAGAAAGTTGGGGGGTGATTGTTTGTTGCCATTTTTTTTCTGATTTTCAATGGAAATTATTTTGCATATTTTACAAAACTTAATTTAGGATGTAAATTGTTTAAGTGTTATATTGATTCACCATAGAATAAACACCAGATCCAAACCTGCACGAATTTTGCATATAATTGTGTGTTAAAACATTGGAGGGTAAGGAAAATTATTTCCCAAATCTGTAATGCAGATCATGCCATACATTGGAGGAGCATGATTATATTTCCTTAAGCCAACACATCTTCCCTGTTGGGCATGTTCTAAAAACTCCTGTTTGGTGGAGGCAATGTAAACATTCTTGGAACAAACACTGCAATATTTAACATTAACTTGAGTGGATGGAAGTGCTGAATCATCAAAATTGATAGGACACTTGGATTTTGTAAATATTTTGAATTGTAAAATTGTAAACAAACCTTATAGATCCACTCACAATTCTCAATGAAAGGAACAGTAACAATGTTATGAGAAACAGGATATAAAGTGTCTTGATTATCTGAATTTTGATTGAGAAAGAGGGGAAGCTTATGAGGTTCGTATAGTCTAATGTGGGCTATTCTTCTCCTCAGCGTGTGCATCCAATTTGAAATATTGAGCGCCTTATTGAATCTTGGAAAGAAGAAACAAACAAGTGGCTTCCAAATGAATTCTTGAACTTGAGAAAATGATTCATTTTCATCTTTTTGATATTCTTGTATCTGTTCCTCTAAAAGTAGCTTATTTGCTAAATCTTTTTTCGTATAATCAAAGTGAAACGAATATTTCAACATCAACAGAGATCCTGATTTGTATGAAGTTTGATTGAGGAATAATTTCAAAAGTTTGGCATTACATTGTCCAATATTCAACAAATCCTTAGCAAATAGAAAAGTTCCAATATGAATCAATATATCATAGGGGAGCTCACAGAATAGAGATTCACTACTTTTGTCACATCTTGGATCATACTCTAAAGAATCTATTTTATCAGTGCTGTCAAGTAGATCATGCCAAATGTTATGACCATTGTTGGTATTATTGGTGGTGATTGGTATTTGTGCATTTTGATCAAAGGAGAGATTTATCAATGGCATTGAATTATCTGACTTGTCTTCCACTTTTGATTTTTGATTCGATTCTTCTGTTGGTCTATCTTTCAATTTATCCACAAGTCTTTGATGATTATCCCGTTTCAACTGTGAAGCAACGTTCAATTGAGAAGATATCAAACAAATCAAATCATCAAGAGCTCTATCTCCACTTTCCAATTGATTAACTGAAGCCTTCGGATGATCCAAAACTTTCCTCACCTTTTCAACTTGATCTGGTAATTTATTCTCCAATGATTCGATACTCTGTGGAAATAATTTCCTAGAATTGTGTGATGATGAAGAATTAATTTTTTGCTTCTTCGGAATTGATTTTTCCTCTGCATTATGATCTACACGATTATTATTACCATTAGAATTTGAGCCATTATTATTAATATTGGTCAAATCATGGATTAATGTTTTGAAGGATGAAAATAAAGTGTTGGATTTTTCATGGTTTTGATTGTGTTTGGACATTTTTTATGATTTGGATTGTAATGGAAATGACATCAACACACATGCTTTGTGACCTATGTGAGATTTTTCTATTGGTCGAGTAGACATAATCATGACATCACAATTGTTTACCATTTATTTAGTCAGTTTCGCGCTAAAAAATACAATGAAATTACTTTCAAAGATAACATTGTAAATTTGGTGTTAGTAAATACTGTTTCCTACCTGTTTCACCTCATATTTTGATTTGGGAAATGCTTTCAAAATAAAGATATATAATTTCTATTATTTGGATCATCTATGAAGATGTATTGTTTGTGGTAATGTTGGATACATATTTGTACTCTCCATTCTCTATTTCCTTAATAAATTCCAACCTCATTGTGATGATTCATTCGTTGATCGTCCCAATGTTGATTTGATGATGTTTTGTTGCATTCGGAGCTTCATTTCTCTTTTCTTATTAATTAATTTAATAAATATCCAATTTACCTTTTTTTTCGTAAAATCTTTTTTCGTGGGATATCTTCATCTTCCTCCTCAATTGCATTGAGGCTCATAATTTCCGAATTTATTGGTGTATTGTTGGATAAAGTTGTTGTTTTTTCACGTGTTTTTCTCTTCTTTCCGAAACCTTGCTCTCGTTCAAAATCAAGTAAATTATCGATGACTGTTTTATCAATTACCAGTGCATTGACATTAGCATCTGCTTCCGACTTGGTTTTTTGTTCATTGATTTGAATCATTTGAGAAAGCCTGGACAATAACTGTTCTGCATTCTGAGATATTGCATTGTCTTTCTTAAGCAACCCATCATATGTTCTCTTTGCATTAGATATTCTACAGTCAGGCATTAGTTGAAAGTAACTGTTTCTGAGAGGGCAATAGTATTTGCCTTGTTCTGGAAAGAATGTAACTTTGAATTGAAAGGGAATTGACTTGTTAAAAGTTTCGTTCCAGTGTTTCTCGTGTTTCGTATAACTATTAGCCAGTGTTATATTGGGATCAGTTGCTGAGCTGTTTGTGATAGATTTGGTTCTTTCTGCTTGTTTTGGCCTTTCAAGAAACATTTCTATTGCAAATTGTTTTCCCGTAGTGTCACAAATGGTTTTAATAATGTTTGTTGAGCCAACACATTTTCTCAACAATGCAATGTTTACAATATCCATCCTAATAAAATCTTGCATGAGCTTATCACAGGTTTCGAGTTCGAATCCTTGTTCAATCATGAATTGATGCACATCACCTAAACCTTTATAATCCATTTGTTTTGTTTTTTTTGTTTATTTTCTTCGTAATCCGTAATCCGATTTTAAATTTTGGGAATTAAAACATTGTTAAACATTTAGTTCAACTTTATTAATTAAATTGGTTATTTTGGAAGAGTGCATTCAACACTTGTGAATTGGAAGGTGATGTCTTTTGGTACATCATGTTATGAAGTGGTCTGAAGGCAAAATCATATTCTCCATTTTTGAAAGTGAAATAGTCCAAAAACATGAGTCTGCCATTAATTTTAAGGAAGAGCTTGGCTCTTATTTGTGGTAATTGACACAGCGAGAGAGGTATAACAGGTACTCTAAATACTAGGAGTTTGGAGGTTACCTCTATAACCAAACCATTTTCAATTTGAACATCTTGAGGTTCACAAGCAATGAATAAAACAGAAATCTTATCATTTCTGGAGAAACCCTCAGGATGATTATTGATAATTGTACAAATGCCAGCCTCGTTAAACTCACATGATAATGTTGAGCATTCAAATGGAGGAGTATTATACTGTTGCATATTGTACTGTTGGTCGAATTGGTTAGGGAAGTTAGGTGTGGATGGTGAATAGAGTGAATTTGATTGTGGTGTCGATGAGAAGGATGTTCTCAATCGTGGAGAAGGATTTGGAGAGGTATTGTTGGAATTGATTACAAACTCAGATGAATACTGATCTGATAAGTAATGTTGGCGAGGGGAACTACTGTTTCCCAATATTCTATCGTTTGAATCGAACAATAAACTTGTGGTTGATGGATGACTCAACACACTACTAGCAAAATTGCCACTTGTGCAATAACTAGTACTCGAAGAAACACTTGAATTTTTCTGTCCAAAGTTACTTGACTGATAACTTGATGGAGAGGAAAATTCAGATGGATAATTCTGTAAATAACGTGGGGTATTGACAGTACTTGAACTGTTGTTAAGTTGATTAAACCTTGGACTAATACTACCAATGGAGGTGGTAGTTGTGGATGGGCTAAGTGGCATGAGAGGAGAACCAATCATGTGCGTCGAGGAGCTATATGCATTGGTGTTCAAGAATTGGGTTGGGAATGGACTCGATCCATTTGAACCACAACTTTGAGGAGTTTGTGGATTTTGTTGGTTATCAATAATAGTTGAGGTTGAGGTAGATAATTCTGTTAATGATTTGGATGCTGCATGAAGAGAGATGAGAGGTTTTGGAGTGGCTGCAGATCGCTTCCTTTGTTGTGGTTGAGAAGCAGATCTGTTTCTGGTTGGTCCATCGATATGTGTGGAATTCCTTGCCTCATTGGTGTTAACTGTATCAATACCATTTGGACAATCTCTAGAGACAAATTTCGAAACAAAGACACTAGTAGCAAAGACTACACTAGTCCTCATGCACTTTCTGTGTCCAAAACTAAGTACGATATAACCTAAATTTTCAATCTCGAATAAGAAGGTAATATATTTTGCAATATTTCTGGAAGTTTTCTTTGAAATCTTACTGACTACCAACTTTAAATTTTGTGAATAGACGAAAGGTTGTGGTGACTTGGCTTCAACTTCAAATAAGCCTCTTTCTAACAGTATGCAACCTGGATTAGAATCTGAACTGTTTCCAAAGTATTTAGTTGGACATTCACCAAGTTGTGTAAGAATAAATGTCGAGCCGACTAATCTCATCTTGAGACAATTGCCATACTCATCTCTCACAGTCAAATGCGTATTACTTCTCAAATTGGCACTTCCTCTCATATTCAACACTACATTCTTCATCTTATCAAACTCATCATAATAACCAACATTAAAATCCAACGAAATATGATCATTGGAAAATTGTGCCGATTGACTCGTCAAGTAGTGATAACTATCATGATCCTGCATATAGGATTGATTATTCATCATCATTTCTTCATCATCGTCATCTTCCATTCCATTGTGTTGCTTGCTGTTGTTGCGTGGTTCCTGCTACATGATAACGTGGTGAGCCTTCAAGTTGCGTCGTCGTTGATGTCGTTGTGCTATTGTTTTGTCCCATGTTTGTTTTTTGGCGCGTGAATTGTAATAACTAGTTGTTGTTGTGCTGTTGTTGTTGATGGGTGGTGATTGCAGTTATTGTTGTTGTTAGCAAGAGTTATTGTTAGCAGATGATAATTTTGCTTTTTGGAGATGGTATGGATTTCTATCTTTTACTACTCTTGATATTACTATATTTTGTTTGTGGTGGTGTTAAATTCACCCAGTTTCGAATAGTTTGAGTAGAAATATTTAGAATAATTATTGGAAATGATGAAAATTATTGTACTTCGGAGGAGGATGAAGAAGTCAAGATGAGCGTGTTGAGTGTTATTCTTTTTTCTATTGTTGCCAATTAATAATTGGTCGATTCAAGAACCAATTAAAGAGTCAACTCTGCGCTCTTTGTTTAACAATATGCTTGCTTGGAAAATAAACCAACACAAGCAAGCTGAAGGCCAATGGAGAAAGCTAAAGAAAGGTTGTTTATTGGGTGTCACCTGTCCGAGTTAAGGTGCACGTCATGTAAAAAAATCAAAACCGACCCATTTCTGAATTTTTAATGGTAAATGGTTGTTGTCAGTAACCAATTATTCGTCTGGAGTAGGTAAACCTTACTCAATAGGAAATCAAAAAGGGAAGAAACTGTTTTTGATATCAAAAAATACGAAACAACCAAGGAAAGAAAATCTATTTTCAAACGAAAGCATTGGAAAAGGTGTGAGATTATGAATTTCATGACGTTCCAGTTTTGCTAGATAATTATTGTGTTGATTTTTAAATCGTAGAAAATTTCACATTTTACAATGAAACTCTAAAATTATTCAACACTTTACAAGATGCTTAGGAAAATTGGAATAAATTCATGCATGCGATGCAATTCAAATGTGGTTTGTAGTTGTTGGTGGTGGATACATCCAGTGAGGATTGTGTTCAACAACAATTCGATAATAATAATCATTGATAATTGTGCTGCTCACTAAACTAATACATTTAGAATGAAGTTCAGAAAATCCATTTTGGCAATATCTTTCGATAAGTGTTGAACCCTTTGAGTTGGGTGCATTGTTTTGGAAAGTTATATTGTAAAATGTTTTTTGTGTATACGAATCATTTAACATTCGAATATGTAATCATCTACAGTTTTTTGAAAGAAAGAATTCGAATTATTGGAGAATGCATATACTTGGTTGACGGGAGTGGTTGCCAATTGTAAGTATTTACCATAATGACAATGTTTAGGATATTTTTGAAAATAGCAATTGCCGATATTAGAAAGTTAGCTGCCAATTAATGATTGTCTTGTTTCGTCTATATTCAATAATTTTTATGATTTGAGGATTCTGCCAATTTTCCAGATTCTCTTGTTGTATTAAATTTAAAACTAGTTTACAAAATTATTCTAACTACAATGTGTTACAGAATGCATTCGAAACTGGACTAATTACTGACATTATTTTTGAGCTCTTCCAATTTAGCTCTTTTTCCTATCAGTGATGTTTATTCGAAAGAGTCCAATTAGTTGTTTCTTCTAAATATTTACACTTTTCTTCAATTCTTCAACAACAATTAAAGTCGAATTCTATATGGTCACGAAGGAAACATTCCATTACAATAACAACCAAGCACTTTACAGTAATTTCAGGCGGATGAGAGGAGTAATGACCGTCATGGTTTCGGCTTTTGGTTTTCTGGTAGCTGTTGAAATATCCGAAAGTGTCTCTTTATCAAACCAAAGGATACAAAGTGGAAACGTGTTGCCAGACCTTGTTAATTTTTCTAAAAATCGAAAATGGTCGAATGCTTTCCAATTCTTGCAAAGAAATTGAATTATATTTTGTAAGTGGACTGTTTTTATCAATATTCAAAATTTTGGTGCAAGAAAGGCCAGAGAATAAAATTTAGTTTGGTTGACTAGGAGTTTCCTTTCTGAAATGATTCTTAAGCTTCACTCATCAAATATTAATTTTTCTTTAGCCAACGAGCCATTGATGATTTTCATTTCTTGATTTGTAGATGCACTTGGCATAGGGCTAAATTCTCCCAATTTTAATGTGCTTGAATAAGTTTCTAATAGAATATTAACTTGAAAGTGGAAGATTTCAATGTGAGTAATGGAGCCTATCAAAAACAGCTTACCAATACTCACAAATATCAAATGAGCAGTCTGTCCAATAATTGAGAGGTGGTTGCAGATATTTATTATTGTAAAAGAAATACTACTCTCAATTTTTTGTAAACTATTGAGCAACCAATCAAAATATAGGGTACACGTCCATTGAATATTGAATAATCAAGCTTCTTAATGTTCCTGCCACGTAAAACACCGAGTATTACAAAGTGTTTCGTATATTAATTGCCCCAGTAAATTACTTTAAATACTGCACCCCAAAGTTATCCTCTCACTTTGAATCACTATTAAAAAAGAATAATCACACAACTATTCTCATAATCAACACATTCTTCAAAAGATCTCTCATTTAAAAATGTCCATCAACAAGATTTTCACACACAATTTGGGTTTCCCAAGAATTGGAGCTCGTCGTGAATTGAAACAAGCTTTGGAATCCTACTGGTCATGTAAAATTGATTTGAATGCATTGGAATTAGTCGGTACTCAATTGAGAAAGCAACATTGGGAACAACAATTACAAGCTGGTCAATTGGATTTAATTCCAGTTGGTGATTTTGCTTGGTATGATCAAGTTTTGGAATGGACAACAACTATTGGATGTATTCCAAAACGTCATCAATCTGATTCTGCTCAAGATCAACCTTTCCACTTGGATACTTTGTTTAGAATGGCACGTGGTAGAGCTCCAACTGGTCAACCAGCAGCTGCTTGTGAAATGACCAAGTGGTTTGATACTAATTATCACTTCATCACTCCAGAAATCAAATTGAATCAAGAATTTGCTCTTTCTCGTACTTTCCTCTTTGAGCAAGTTAAGGAAGCTGAACAAGTTTTGGGAATTGATCGTGTCAAGCCAGTTATTATTGGACCATTGACTTGGTTGTACTTGGCAAAGGGTGAGGAATTTGTTGGTTCTCTTGATTCTAAGAAATTGACTCTTTTGGAAAAGTTGTTACCAGTTTACAATCAAGTTTTACAACAATTTAGTCAACTTGGTGTTAAATGGACTCAAATTGATGAACCTGTTCTCTGTTTGGATTTGAATGATGAATGGAGACAAGCTTTCCAAACTTTCTATCAACAATTGAATCAATCCAAGAAGCTTAACATTTTGATTGCTACCTATTTTGGAAATTTGTTGGACAACTTGAAAACTTTGGTCAATTTGCCAGTCGAAGCCATTCACATTGATGCTGTTCGTGCTCCACAACAACTTGCACCTGTATTGGAATCTCTCAAAAATTCCTCAAAGATTTTGTCAGTTGGCTTAATTGACGGAAGAAACATTTGGAGAAGTGATTTGGATGCTTGCATTGAAACTATTCAAAAAGTTATCATTGGAGAATTCAAATTTGATGCTTCTCGTTTGTGGCTTTCTCCTTCCTGTTCCCTTTTACATGTTCCTTTCGATTTGAAATACGAAACTAAAATCGATGCAGAATTGAAGAGCTGGTTGAGTTTTGCTGTTCAAAAGCTGGAAGAGTTATCTTTGTTGGGTTATGCAGCCCTTCTTAAAGATGGATGCGAAGGTTCAATTCCTTCCAATATCTCTTCTCTTCTCGCCACTCAAAGATCTGCAATCGAATCTAGAAGAAACTCTGTTAGAATCCACAATCCACAAGTCAAGTCCAGAATGAATGAATCCATCTCAACAGACAGATCACATCCATTCGATGATAGAAAGAAGGCTCAACAATCCAAATTCCATCTCCCAAAGCTTTTCCCAACCACCACCATTGGATCTTTCCCACAAACTCAAGAAATTCGTTCCATTCGTTTGAAATACAAGAATGGAACTGTTTCACGTGAATTATACGAAAAGTTCATGAAGGAAGAAATTGAGAAAGTTGTTCGTCTTCAAGAGGAAATTGGTTTGGATGTTTTGGTTCACGGAGAACCTGAAAGAAATGACATGGTTGAGTATTTTGGTGAATTGATGAATGGTTATGCATTCACTGAGAATGGTTGGACTCAATCATTTGGTAGCAGATGTGTTAAGCCACCTGTTATCTTTGGAGATATTTCACTTGATAAGCCAATGACAGTTGAATGGTCTTCATATGCTCAATCTTTGACTGATAAGCCAATGAAGGGTATGTTAACTGGTCCAGTTACTATTTTGAACTGGAGTTTCGTCAGAGATGATCAACCAAGAAGTGAAACTTGTAAGCAATTGGCTTTGGTTTTAAGAGATGAAGTGCTCAACTTGGAAAAGGCAGGAATTAAGATTATTCAAATTGATGAACCAGCTGTAAGAGAAGGTTTGCCATTGAGAAAATCTGACTGGAATACCTATTTGAAATGGGCAGTTGACTGCTTCAAGTTGACAACATCAGGTGTTGAAATTGATACTCAAATTCACACTCACATGTGCTATTCTGAATTCAATGACATTATTGACTCAATTGGTGCAATGGATGCTGACGTGATTAGTATTGAAACTTCTAGATCTAATATGGAATTATTACAAGCTTTTGAAGATTTCAAATATCCAAATGATATTGGTCCAGGTGTTTATGATATTCACTCTCCAAATGTTCCAAATGTTGAATGGATGGTCAAGTTGATCAAGAATGCTATTGAAAGAATTCCAAAGGAAAATATTTGGATAAATCCTGATTGTGGTTTGAAGACTCGTGGATATCAAGAAGTTAAGCAAGCTTTAATTGCTATGGTCCAAGCAGCTCAACAATTGAGAACTGAATTTGAAACTTGTCAATAAATATTTTCACAGCACTTCTCTTCTTAGTGTATTGCCAGAGTTTTAGATGTTGGAACCTTTCTCCAATGGATCAAATGTTGTTGATGTTATACATCATTATCTTTTTTTTGCAACTCACATTTACTCCTTGCTTTCAATTCATTAGAAATTGAGACACAGATCACCAACCATTAACACAACATGTTTTACCTTACCACAGAGTTGCCAAATTTTATTTCATCATGGCAAAGAAAAGGAATGAAAGGGCTCTTGCTTATTTGAAGAATAAACTATCTGAGTATGTCCCTTTTTATTTACCTCTTCTTCCAGAAGAAGGTGGACGTTTGCTGGATGATGATCTAGAGGATGAAGATCTACCAGATGATGATTTAGAAGATCTGCTTCCAGATCTACCTGAGCTTGGGCTAGATCTGTTTCCAGATGATCTACTTCCAGATCTGTTTCCAGAAGATTTACTTCCAGATGATCTACCTGAGCTTGATCTACTTCCAGATGATCTGGATTTTGAGGATGAAGAACCACTCGATCTTCTTTGAGAAGAAGATCTTCCAGAGTTGTTTCTAGTATTTCTTCCTGATTGGTTGTTAGATCTCTTTTGAGTTGGCTTAGAATAGGTCTTTCTGGAGAGTCCAGTCTTGAATCCAGAGTAAGCTTTTCTAAATTCGTTAGCATTCTTCAACTTTGCAACAGTACCCATCTTCTTCCAATTCTTACCAGCAGTAGAAACTGTCTTTCTAATAGCACTCATTACTTGCTTTCTATTCTTAACAAATTTAGTGGCCTTTGTGAGTGAGGTCTTGAGTGCCTTGTAAGAGGTTGGCAATTTAATGTTTCTAACCATTCCCAATGCCTTCAAACCTCCCTTCAAACTGAGAGCTCCAGAAACAACATTTAAAGTTCTTCTTACAGCTTGGAATGTCTTGGATTTAACAACAGGGGCAATCTTTGCAGCAACCTTGGTTTCGATTGGCTTTAACTTGGTTTGAGAAAATGTGTCTACGGAAGAACCCCATTTTTTGGCAGTTTCTGAAACACCTTTCAAACCCCATTTATCTAATTTGCTAGCAACTGGACCTGACAAGAATTTACCGACCTTTGAAATTTTGTCAGAGTAAGTTCCAATACCATCAACTATGTTCATTCCTAGTGAGGCAATAGAGATAGCTTGACCAAGCCAAAGAGATTTAGCTCCAGATGATGACTCGAATGAAACAGGGCCAGTAACACCTTCTGGTGTTGGTTGTTGTTGTTGAGCTGGCTCTTCCTTGAGTGGTTGATTTTCATTGGCTTTTGAAATATCAGTAAGTGATGATTGCAAGATATCAACTGATGGATGTTCTGACTTTACTGTGAAATCCTTTACAATAGCCAAGAGTTGTTGTTTCAACTCGTTGGATTCTGTTGTTTGGACTTGATCAAGTTTATCAGCAATCTATATCAAAATAACATGAAACATGCATGATGATTAGTATGTGAACAGACTATTCCACAAAAACTATTACTTACTCCTTTGATCTTGTTAGCAAACTCAAGATATGTTTCAGCAACTTCTCTTTCTTCCTTTGATGAGAGAGCTTCTTTGAAACTAGCAACTACATTCTTTGTGGTATCATCAACTGGGAATGCTTCAGCAGACCTCTTCTTTCTATGTGGGTTGATATTTACATTGACCACAATACTAATTCCTTCATTTCCTCCTCTACTTTGCAAAGCATAGGCTCTTCTATCCTGAGCTTGAACAGTCACAATACAAGATAAGATTGTCAATGCCAAAAGCACTCCAAACAATGTGATAGAAGCACTAATTTTCATTATTTTTTTCTGAAGATGATTGTTGACCCCTGTCAGTTGATAACACACTACCCATTTCATCATCAACTGAATCGTTTGATTACAAAAATATGTTCGACCGCACAATAAACATCTTCTTGATTTGTTAAAAGTGTAATAGAAATGATAGTCGCAATTCGCCCCTTGATGAAAAAGTTAGTGCATGTTCAAGGTTTACTTTCCTTGCTGGTGTGATGGAAAGATAATACAATATTGGTTTTTCATGTTATTGAATGATGCACTGTTATTTCATGATGAGTGTTCAACATTCCGATCAATATTTAAATATTTTAATACACAATCAATAATATTTCATGATGCACTTCTGATAAAACTACAATGAACCCATTCCTTAAACTTGTTTTGGATTTTTTTTTACAATTTAAAAAAATCAATTTACTAGTATTGCTAATTGTATTAAGGAACATCATGTTAACATCTACGATGTTGGACAAGTAATCATGATGATGAAGGAACAATAATACGAGAACTGCTAAACAGATACGAGATAATATTAGAGGATGTGTGGTCTTATTCGGAGGTGGAGCTTACGTTTGATGAAGGTTGAGGGATGAACACTTAACTGGTCCAATGGCTTTATTGATGTTGTATGTGCTTAATTCTTTTGCTGGTGTCATTGAGTTTATCATCAAAGCTGTGTTTACGAGGTCTTCCTCTTGGTCGTTTAGGTTGTGCCTTTTTCCTTTCTTCTTCCTCCTTCATGGATTCTACGGTGTGGCAAACAAAGGGAAAACTCTCATTGTGTTTTCTCTTTTTGCTATCTTGAAGTGTGTTTGTTGTTGTTTTTTCAGCTGAAATAAAACATGTTTGTGGAGCAAATGAACTGGTATTAGGTGGAGATTCAGGAATTGGTTGGAATGCATTATTTACAAGAATGTTATTCATGAAAGGGTGTTGGTTGAATGTGAATGTTTCATTGGTTGATGGATTGGAATAATCTGAGGTTATTGGTTGGAAAATATTGTTGGGTTGAATCGTAACTGTTTGGTCCAACCAAATGTACAATTTCAGTAACATTATTTCTAATGAGTTGGTGTCCTGTTCAGCCAATGATAGATTCATTTCTAATATATTGATTTTTTTGTACTCTCAATCTCCATTTCCAATACATCAATTTGTTGCATTGGAGAAACATGAGGAAACTGAGCATTTTGTTGGATTCGGTAGCAATTAGATGTGTTTTGAAAGAGATGGTTATAATATGAAGAAGAAAAATCAAAATTTAGAAAGTGTACCATACCATTATGAGATGTTTGATAGAAATACTCTTTCCCATTCTCGTATTTATTGAATTAAATTACAGAAAATTGGTGGTAGGTGTTCCTTGTCGGAATAGGTGTTATCACTCACTTTATCAATAATTTCAAACTCAAAAACATGTCAAAAACCAAAGTCTGCTACGATTAAGACAACACAACATGTTGATATCTGACATTTAATTATCGTCTTTATTGACAGTCATATATTCCATTTTCAATCGTTTAGTTTCACTTTTGATTTCGAAACTGTTCTTTCTTGGTCTTCCTCTTGGTCGTTTGGGTTGAGTCTTTTTAAGCTCTTGCTCTTCTCTAATTGATTCAACTGTAGAACAAATGAAAGGAATTGGTTTCCTTATGCTTAACTGATTTGTGAAACTCGATGATTTTCTGCTTGTCTCAAAAAATGGTTCTTGTTTGATTGATAAATTTCCAAACGAAATTTGAGTTGAAGAGGTGGCAGTAGTTGATGTATTTACAGTAAGGAATGAGTTGTCAGCATTACACGGATTAGAACCAAACAACATGATGTCATTACATGTATCTACATGCTGATTTGAAGTAACTTTCAACATTTCCTTGGGGCAAGCTGAACAATTTGGTGGTTGTTGTTGAAGATTTGATGCTTGTTCTTCCTCCAACATTATATATAACCTCAATAACATTTCCAATTGATTTGTGTTCAATAAGGTCAAACCGAATATTTCAGCTTGTTCTTCATGATCATTGCTGCTCATTCTTAATATACTTGAGAAAGAGGAGTTTTTTTTTGAAAGGAAATTGTTATAAACTAGTAGTTTGTAAAGTACTTAACAAACTACGTGATTCTGTCTCTTCTCAAAAAGTAATAATAAAAGATGCACGCTCACAAAATTGTTTATTTATTGGCCCTTTTTTAGTATTTGTATTGAACTTATGACGCATTATGCGTTTCTTGATTTGGGAAGTTGTGCACAACCAAATCTCAACTTCTCTGAGATTGTTATTTGAACGTTTTTAATCTTCATACCACAGTGTTGAGATGACAAATGGTTGCATATTGGTCTAACTAGAACTTGACGAACAAACTGTAATATTTCTATTAAGGTATTACTCAAAACCGAACTCATTTTTGAAATCTTATTTGTTGGCATCTGTTATCACCTAAGAACTCACGGAATTTTTGCCATGTATTGTTAATAGTAATTTTTTCGAATATTTTCAATGTAAATTTCTATAAAGGAAGGATGTATTAGTACGCTCAATAAATCGCTCTTTTTGTAATAATAGAGACAGTTCTCTGAATGGAAGTTTTCATTCACTATTTTATCGAATATCTCTTTCATTGCCAATCACTCACCTTCTTCAAATATAATGCCATTCCGATTTACAACAGTTGAATGTCTATTGATGTGTATAATCTTCTGTCCGTTGATATGGCAACTGTGGTTCCTTAATCACGAGATATCTTGTGTCTTTCAATACAAAAAAAATGGTACAAATCCAACCAGTAAACAATCAGAAAGAATCCGCCTACCTCAATGATGACTATTCTTCTGAACAATCGTCCAGTTTAATCTCCTCCTCTGAAAAGTCCTTCAGTGTTTCCTTCAAATTTTGTATCATTGCCACTACTTCCTCACTAGTTGCATTTAGCATAATCATCTTGACAGGTATCTGGTTAGCAAGTATCACTTCCACCTCATTGGAAATGTCAACAACTTTGAGAGAGAATGAATTCTTCAAGATTCGTCAATTTTGTCTTCAATTAATTCAAGATGTTTATACAGTTTCAAATACGGTTACTGGTCAATTAGGTGTTCAGTTCAATTCTTCCTCAGATAATGAAAAGGCGCTGTCAATGTACCGTCTTTACAAGTCAGAAATTAGCTCATCTCACAAGTCAATTGTGGCAACTTTGTTTATTGCTGATCCACAAGCAACCCTTGTTGGTTTATACATTTTTGGAGGAAAACCAGTCAAGTTTAAGGCAACTCAGCATGTTTCCCTTGATTTATACTATTGTAATGATGTAGAGAATTACGATTATTGTAATTCAAATTCGAAACCTGATTTATCACTTCCTGCTTTTGATAATTCGAGACCTGTTGTTGCGTGTAATGAAAATCCGAATGGAACTTTCTTTTTACCTTCATTCGCTGATGTTACTTTGCCTGATTATATGTTTCTTACATTGATTTATTGTTTTCAGGGAGATAGTGTCAGTAGAGTTTCGTCTGGTTTCAAATACTTGTTTGCTTATCAATTGTCTTCGAATACATTGTCTGAATTCTTGATTAGTAGTACCAAGTCAGTTGTTTCAAGTGTTGCTTTGGTTATGGAAATAGATACAGGTTATGTTGTGGCAAGTAAGTTGACAAATTTTCTATAGATTTTACTTTCGAATAATTAGCCAATATGGAAAACTCAAAACTGTCAGTTTTGGATAACAGTGGAAACATCAAAAGAAAGGGATTGCTCGACTTGACAGATCCTGATCAATTCGATGTTTCCTCATATGTTTACAATCAATTCAAAACAAATTACAAAAACTCAATTGAGTGCAATTCAAACATGTACTTTTCCACAAGTACAAGATACATTTCCGTATATAGAATGTGCAAGGGAATCGACTGGTTACTCATTTACTCAGTTCCAATTTGGAATTATACAGGTAGCTTAGTAATTGCAGTTGTTTGTGCCATTTCTGGAGGTTTACTTATTTTGGTGTTTAGTGCCATTTTAGGAGTGGTCTTATCTGTGAGAATTGTAGCTCCATTTAAGAATTTAATAATGATGTTTAATAATGTTTCGAACATGGATTTGGATTCTTTAAATTTGGATTCCAGTCGTTTCAATGAAGTTCAGCAATTGCAATACCATTTCATGTCAATGGTCAGACAAATCAAACTCTACAGATCCTTCTTGCCCTCTCATTTATTAGCTCAAGTAAGTTGATTCTCTCTTCTATGTGTTGAAGAAATATAATTCAATTTCACAATATTCAGATTGATAATAATGAAAATGATGGAAACGAAACTAATCAACCAAAAGATCAACAAGTTGAAAAACACGAAACTGCCTCCAAATCTTCCAAATCCTTCTCTAGTCACCAATCTAGTCACCAAATTTCCAATTCCTCATCTTCCATGTTAAAACACAAAGGACACATCAATAGATTCGAATTGTATTTAGAACACAAATCTAGTACTGCACTAGCTCTCTATATCAAAGGACTTTCTCAATTATTTGCTCAACATTTAAAGACAGAAAAGGAAATCCTACATGTTCTTAAAGAGATTTTTGAAATTACCAATTCAGTTTCCACACAATTTAACGCCCAAAGAGGAAATTTAGAAAATGACACAATTATTTTGACATTTAACACTTCCATAAATGTTAATCATCATGAATTGAAAGCAGTTGAAGCAGCTAACGTATTACAAGGCAAATTACAAAAACTTTCTGAAAAATGGAACTCTAGTATTGATACTGAACTATTTTACAATCAACTTAACTTTCGAATTGCAATTTGTAATGATAATACTTTTTGTGGAAATGTTGGAAGTCATGATTGTAAGAATTTTACAAGTATTTCATGTTTGAAACCTCATTTAGTGAGCTTGTTTGCTAAATCTCAATCCATGAATGTCCAAATTATTCTTTCAGATGCAATTTATAAGAAAGTTTCGTCCAAATTCGAAACTAGATGTATTGGAAAGATTGATTGGTTGAGTGGAAAGAATGAATTCAGTCTTTTCCCTTCAATTGACCAAACCAATGAACCACCACACCTTACTCATGTCCACGAATTAGGAAATTCATTGACAATCCAAATGGACGAATGGTTATACGAATTGGAACAAAAAGAAAAATCAAGCAAATGGAAAGTTTACAATGCAGCAATTGATTGTTTTGAAAAGAATGAATTTGAACAGGCAAAACAATTTTTTGAGGAGTTTTTGAGTAAAAATCCGCAAGATATTCCAACTTTGCACATGATTAGAGAATGTGATTTGAAACTATAGTTTAGTTTCGTATGTATAAAACTAAACTTTGAGTTTACAAAGATTAACAGAAACTACCTTTGGAACTGTCAAAAAAAATGTCGTCAACAATCAACAGCTTGATAATTGCGCTCACTTTCGTCTTGCTGTTAACTAATCTTGTCGAATGCACCATTAAAAAATCATTTTCACAAGATTTAACACCAACTCTCCTAAATCCTCTCCGTGGTTTCGCCAGCTATGAAGATTCGTATAAAACCAACAAGTTTCCACAATCTTTAGAATATCGTTATTTTTCCATGAAGGAATTAATGAACGGAACACAAAGTTTTACATTTTCAGCAACTTTGGAACCATACTTGAATAATGTCAAGTCAAGAAAGAGACAAGCCATCTTTCGTATATATCTTGATTATCCGAATTGTTGTCCTGATGGTCAATATAATACAGGAGTGCCAGATTTTCTATTGACAGGTGCTAATCCAGTTACATTTACATCTTATCCTGATTATGGTGGTGGTAAATCACCTGATTATTCGAATGAAAGATTAGTTTCGTCCATTGAACAATTAATTGCTGAACTTGCAAGAAAATATGATGGAGACAATAGAATTGCATATGTTCAAGTTGGAATTTTAGGATATTGGGGAGAATTCCACACTTATCCAAATACTACATTGATGGCTCCATTGGCCACAAGACTCCGAGTATTGTCCGCATTTTACAATAATTTCAATATTACAAAATTATTAGTTTCACAAGATTCAATGCAATACTTTTGTCCACCACTTGCTGGAACGACTAAGAATGCAGGATGTGATGTTTCGGTTACTTCAGCTCCGTATCCAACAGTTTCGTATCCATCTATTGGATTCCACGATGATGCATTTGCGGATTCAACTTATTCAGCAACCAGTGGTAAAGATTATTACTTTTACAATAGATTACAATCTAGAATTCCAGATATTAATTCATTCTTGACTGCTTCAAATGGAGGTAAGGGAGGAGGAGTGATGGGTGGTGAATTATATCCATCCTATCAATCGAAAATATTTAAAACAACTTGGACAGGTCAGGATTTCTCACAATGTGTTAAAAAGACCAATGCTACATGGTTGTTGAATGATTATGTATTTTCTACTTTGGCTAATTCACCAACTACTGAATGGTATGCTGCAAGAAATGCTTCATTAATGTTGGGTTATGCATTTACATTGAGAAATGTGGAAATGACAAGTATCACAAGTACTTCATTGACTTTGACATTTGGAATGGAAAATATTGGAAGTGCACCATTCCCATATTTGGATATTAATTTGGCTGTTTATTTGAAAAATGCAACAACTAAAGCATTGATTGCTTCTAATGAAGCTACTTCAATTTATCAATTGACTCCTGCAAGTGGTTCACAAAATATTAAGGTAAATTTAAAGTGGTCAACTCCAATTACAACAAGCCCATATGTTTATGTGAATTTGAAGAGTAAGCAAGTTCCATCAACCATCCCAATTGCATTTGCTGTGAGTGGTGCTCCAACAGATGGTTCAGATTTTTTAGTCATCTCAACTGTTGAGCAAATTTCAACTAATGGAACAACTCCTACCCCATCTCCAACACCATCACCACAATCATCTGTCAAGACAAGCTCTAGTACTGGAAATAATGGTGGAATTAAAACAGGAAACTCTACTAGAACAGTTTCAGAATCCTCCTTGAATAGTTATGTTTCATCTTGGATCATATTTGCCATTTCTTTAATTTATCTGATTTATTAAAAGATTGATTTTTAGAAATCATTTTTATTTGAATAAGCGAACTAGTTGATAGATTATGAAAATAACCAACATAGCATGGAGAAGGAAATGCACAATCATTGATTTGCTTATCAATGATGACTGCTTTCGTTCTACAGATTCGAATTGGACGTGTAAAATTCTCATACTTGAAGCCATCAATCCAGCAAATGGAATCCAACTTGGTGCCATGAATGGATATCTTTCTTTCACGCCACCAATTTGTTGTCTTTCCTCCATTTGGTATTGCTCTGAAACTAGCTTTGCCTTTCTGTGAAGGGAATGCACAAATGGTTCAGCATCGACAACAAAGGATTTGAATGGACCTCCCTTATTGAGAGATTTCACAGAGCTTGGTGTGAAGAAATACGGAGCAAAGCCTGACATTTCAAAAAGAATATTACTACCTGGTAGTTTCTTTTCCAACATTTCGAATATTTGAACAAGTTGTGACTTTTCAAAGTAGAGGAATAGACCTTCTGCAATTACCAAAACTGGAATTGACTCACCAAATGATTTTCTTATGAAAGCAAGATCTGAAAATGTTGATTCTTCTAGAATAGATCCACTTTTACATTCGTATAGTGGTTGTTTCGTATTGTCATTATTGTTAACAATATTAAAAACTTGTCTTCTCAATTCAATGACATTTGGCAAATCAATATCAATCCAATGCACCTTCTCATTCATTCCAAATAATCTTTCATATCTAGAACACAATCCACATCCCAAATTAACAATCATTACCTTTTCATGCTTAGCCAAACTCTTACTCACAAATTCTTGTGATTTCCTATCCAAGACAATAGTTCTCCCAACAATATTAGTTCTGGTAATTCTATCATTCTGAACATCAACAGAGAGATCTTCTGGTAAGTTTTGGAAGATTTTCACAGCAATTGGATCATATAAAATTCCATCGCTTTCAAGAGATTCGAGAGCTCTGGAAACGAGTGGAATGTAGAGAGTTCTTTCGAGAGGTGTGAGGACAGAGTTCTTATCTTGAGCAATGTCTACGTCAAAAGGAGTTGGATTATGTGATGATTGTTGTGGAGAGCCAAGAATGGAATGTGAAATAAGATTCGAATAATGTTTGTCAAGTTGATGTCCACAATTCTTAACAGTAATAATATTCAATCCATTTCCTGCAAACTTATTCCAGTTGTTAATTGTATTTCCTGTTACTAATTTATCAAATTCGCCTCTGAGAGCAATAACTGGACAGTCAACTTGGTATTTTCCAAAAATGTCATCGTCATAACAATGATATTTCAATAAAAAGTCAAATTGGTGTTTGAAAAGTGGAATTTCCATCAAATCTCTAATCTTCTTTGCCTTTTCATCCAAGTTCTCAATTCCTTCTGTTACATTAGGGAACAAGTCAAGATCGACAATTCCATAAATGATCGATTGATCTCCCAAAGTTTTAAATTTCACATAAGAATCACCATGAAGCGAATTTCCAGGAGCATTTCCACTAACAATCAATTTTACAGGTTTCTTATTGAACTTGAATTGAATAAATCTTGTAAATTCAAGAGCAACCAAAGCACCCATGCTGTGTCCATAGATTGTAACCGTATTGGAATTAAATAGTTGATGGACACAATCCCAAACTTGCATGAAATGAGCAGTCCAATCAGAATTATTTCTCAAATAATCCAAATTAATCACATAAATGGAAAATTCTTCAAGATTTAAATCTCTAAAATCATGAACTGTTCCACCAAGTGCTGGAAAACAGAGTAAAACATTCTCTGATGATCTTTCTTGGATAGTTTCTAATAACAAGTGCTTTTCTAATGAATTGGTTTGATTTGGACTATTAGATTGTTGTGTTAATTGTTGATTGGATGATTTTCCAGAATTGGAAATCATTTCAACAAGAGTAGAAACCGAAACTCCAGATAAGAGAGTCGAAACTGTAATACTTGATGAAAATTCTCTTGATAGAATATTTCTTATTTCTACACTCATGAGAGAATCAAGACCATAGTCAACAAGTGGTTTCTCCAGTTGAATTTCACTTTCGTCCATTCCAAAAACTTTGGATACAATATCTGAAACCTTTCTAACAATTCCATCAACGTTAGAATCTGTAGTTGTTGATTTTCCTTCAATATTTGATTCCTTTCTTTGACGACCAAATGTTACATGAGGTGAAAGTGAATCCTCAGGCATTTCAAATCCAAAGAAGGTCATTGCAGGAGGAAGATCCATCTCGTGTTCAATCAAATATTCGAAATGATCAAGTAAATCATGAACATGCATAGCTCCAACCCAGAAATATTCATCAACTTCTGCCTTAGTTGCATATCCAGCTCCTGTAATCAAACTTAGACCTAAAGATTGTCCAGCCAATCCACAACTTCTTCTATAGCTACACAAAGATTCTAAGAAATAATTTCCACTATTATAGTTTGATTGACCGAATGCTCCAACCAAAGAACTGAAAGAGCTCAACATTAAAAAAGTGGATAGATTGCAATTGAGCTTGATTGAACATTGGTGAAGGTTGAAACCTCCGAGAATCTTTGGTCTGGCAACAGTTTCGTACTTTTCTTTTGTCATCTTATTTGCAGCACAATCGGATAAAACCATTGCTGAATGGACAATTCCTGTAATTGGGAATTTTTGATGGATTTCTTGCATTGTTTGATAAAGAGTTGAGTAATTGCAAATATCAGTAATGTAAACATCAATAGATGCATTAGGGTTATTCAGCATAATCTTGTCAATGATCAATTTTTCAGATTTGTTTGGCATTCTTCTTGTAAGAAGGGCAATGTTTGAGACTTTCATCTTTTCAACAAGCCATTCGCACATCTTTAATCCAATTCCACCCAATCCTCCACTAATAACCCAACAACCGTTATTCAATATCTTCTTTTGAGATGTCAAAGAATTATAAATAACATTGGAATAAAAGTGAACAAATCTTCCACTTTCAGAATAAACAATTTCATCATGAGTATAAACAGATTCAAGGACATCATCAACAATTTCACCAATTGAGTTTTCTGAACATTTAGGTTGCATATCAATAACCTTTAACTTCTTTTGGAATATCTCAGTTTGAATTGATCTCAAACATCCAACAATAGAAGATTGAGAAATGTTACATTCCTGATTGTAACCAAAAACTGAACTAGTTAGAGCAACGAATTTACATCTGCCAGTATTGAACTTGAGTATCTTACAAATTGAGTACATAGATTCCACACAATTGGAAACTGTTTCAAACTCGAAAGAGCTTAAAGAAAGTGGCCAACCGAAAATAATTCCACAGATATTCAAAGTTTGATTGAATATTGATTCGAAATGTTCAAAATCTGCAGGATTAATAACGAATCCAGAATCAAGTTGTTGGAATTTTTCACCTTGAATAATTTTGACAACTTTTACACCTCTAGATTTCAATTCTTCACACAATAAATTTTCCTTTTGTGTTTCAGAAGAGAAGAACAACCATCTCTCAACATTTTTCTCTTTCTTCTTTGCTATAATGTAATTTGCAGTACCAATTGGCAACATGACATTTGAAGGGAAATCACAATCCAATAAAACTTGTTCCCACTCATTTCCTGATAGCAAAGCAGATTGCTTTCTGAAGGAATCCTTAAAATACCACCATCCCTTCAAAGTACCAACGAAAAAGTGTAAAAATTGAGCTCCAAGAGGATCAGACTCAACTAGGACTAATTGACCATTGGAAACCAACAAGCTTGAAATGAGTGAAAAGACGGATTTCAAATCTTGAGTAGCATGAACAACATTAGCAGCGATTACCAAATCAAACGAATCCTTTTCAATGAATTCTGAAGAAACAAATGGCTTTTCAATATCTAATAAAGAAAATTCCATAAAATATTCGAATTGTGCAAACTTTTCCTTTGCCTTCACCAAAAACAATGGTGAAATGTCTGTGAAAACATACTTCACATCTATATAATCTCTCAATGAATCAAGAATTGGTAAAATTTGTTTGGTTGTTCCTCCAAGTCCAGCTCCAATTTCCAAAATTCTCAAAGTCTTCTTTTTACCATTCTTTGGAATGGAGTTCAAAATAAAATCAAACAATGGTTTAGTTTGATGAGAAACTTCATCATAATAATCATTCAATACATGTTCTTTTCTTGAAAATAGGACAGAAACAGGATCTGCCTCACCAGTTAATAATTGCTTCATGTGAATTAAACTATTTTCCACCAAATCGATCAGATTGGAATAAAGATCAATTCTTGGAAATTCTCTCAAGGATTTGATAATATTAAATCTATTAGGAAGATCACTAACTACTGTATAAGTATCTGAATCATATTGGACAAGATTCATTTGTAAAGCCAACTCAATAGTCAATTGAGCAAGTCTCTTCAAATGTTCTGGTTGAATCCTAGAATTCAAAACAGAAAGCTCGATAGTAGAACTTTCACATAACTCTTGGAATACATTCAAACAATATTCAACACAAACCTTGGTAACAAATCTATTAAGAGATTCGTGTTCGTTTGAGTATTCATTGAGTTTGAAATTGAGAATAAACTCTTGCAATGATTCCATAGAAGGAAGAATAGATTTAGAATAGATTGGTTGTGGTGCAAAGTTTGATGATACAATAGAAGTTTCTTGAAGTTTCTTTTCTTTGGTTTCCAAAGGTGAAACTTTGAAACCATTGAAAGAAATAAATGGCTCATTAGATTCTCCCAAAACTTGTAAATCACAAGTAATTTCTTTTGTTTGAGCATTCTTCGAATATTTAACACATCTGGTGATGGTGTGTTTCGAATTGTTTGGTTTTCTATGTGGGATGATTGTAATTTCGTCTGTGGAAATTGGAAGATAGGTTGTATCCTCTGGCATTGAACAAATCATCATTTGGAAACATGAATCAAGCAATGCAGGATGCCATGTACAATATCTTTCGTCATTTTCCAAAGCTTTTGGATGGGAAATTTGTGCCATCAAAACTTCTCTTGTTTCGTCATGTCCAACTTGGCTGTACAAATCCAATCCTTGGAAACAAGGTCCATAATTGAGGCCACATTTGGACAGATTGAAATAGATATTCTCCTTATGAATGTTTTGTGTTTTTTCATCAAGATTTTCTGTGAAATTTCTGAAAATATCAAAGGCTTTCAATTCTCTGTTTGTGAAATTGATGGAATCACCAGAATTAGAAGAATCTAGAGTTTTGAAAGAACCAAAGGCATGTAAAGTCCAATCACAAGGTAGCTTATTTGATAACTTGGAAGGATCTTTGGAAATTTCTGAATAATTAATAGATAACAAGTCAACCTTCTTTTTGCTGAAAATTCTAAACTCATTAGCATACAAATTCAAATGAACTTGAACAATTCTAGGCTCTTGTTGTAAAATCATTGGATTTACCACTTTGAAATTGACTAGACGAAGCTCTTCAACATTCTTGGACGAGTTATCAAGAATTGCTGCAGAACTAATCTCAACGAAACCAGAATATGGGAAGAATACTTCATTTTCAATCTTGTGATCTCTAATATACATTTGATCAGTGTTAGAACTAATATCAATAAGACTCTCATAGATAATATCTGGAGAATTTTCCATTGGATTGAATTTTCTGTTACCCAAAAGTGGATGATTAATAGTTTCGAATTGACCAATTCTCCATCTCAAAGATTCATAAGATTCTGACCAACAAGATTGTTTCTGGAAAGGATATTTAGGAATTCCATCCAATATCTTACTATTCTCTCCATATCTATTAATTTGTTTCCAATCAAGTTTAGAATATCCATTCACAAACAATGAGGAGACAACTTGTAACAAACTCATTTGTTCATCCTTCTTTCTAATCAATGTTGGAATTACAGAAATAGAATCTTCATTTCCTAATGAAGAAGACGAAATATCCTTAATGTATCCATTCAAAACCGGATGGGAAGATATTTCAATAACATATTTGATTGAGTTTTTGTAAGTGTGAAAAATCTCTTCCATAGCTTGTGAAAACAAAACCTTCCCTCTGACATTATTCCACCAATATTCTGGTGTTGACATTTCTTGGAGGTTTGACTTTCTTCCAGTGACAGTAGAGAAAACGGCTTGAATATTATCATTTGGTTTGGTTCCTCTTTCCTTTTTTGAGATTCTATTAGAAAGAACTTCTAATAACTCTTTCTTGATTACTTCCATATGGCTGGTATGGAATGCAGCTTCATTTCTCAAAAAGACACAGTTGACTCTTGAGTTTGGTTCATTTTCCACATACTTGGTGAGATCAAGTTGCAATTGTTTCAACACATGTTCTTCACCACCAACTACAACGGAGGAATTACTATTTACAGATGCAATCTCAACAGTATTGTTAAATCCAAGAATATCCAAAATTGAGGCCAATTTGTCCAATCCTAAATTGATAGCCATCATTTTACCTGTTTTAGAAAATTCTTTCAAGATGGTTGCACATTTGTTTTGCAATCTTGCTCTATGATAAATCAAGAATACAGCTTCCTCTAGAGTGAGGCATCCATGCACGTATGCAGCTGTCACTTCTCCAACTGAATGTCCAACAACAATTCGAGGAGTGACTCCATATGATTTCAATACTTCATAACAACCACATTGTACTGCAAAGATACATGGTTGAGCAATGTTGGTTGAGTAAATTCTGGTGTCCTTTTCTGTTCTTGTAGTCAACTCTTCTACAATTGACCACTTGTCATTGGTTGGCATTATCTTTTGCATTTCTGAATCAATTCTTTCAACTGTGGCAGAGAAAACATTGTTGGTTTCCAATAATTGTCTTCCCATAGCAAACCATTGAGGTCCTTGTCCAGAGAAAACAAAGCAAATATCGGATTTTTCTTCTCTCTTGCTTGAGTTACCAATGCTAGTTGATTCATTAGATGAAAAATTGGAGGACAATTGGAGGAGCTTTTCAACGAGCTCATCTTTGTTGTTGTAAATGATAGAAGCTCTGTAGTCTCTGAATTGACTCTTCTTTTCACAATAGTTGAAAAGTAAATCATCTTGATTGCATTGAGCTGAAAACTCAGCAACGCTACTAGACATCATCTTGAGTGAGTATTCACTCTTGGCAGAAAGTGGAAGAATTCTAATACCTTCTGATATGCTATTCTTTCTTTGATGTTCTAATTGCTCAACACTTTGCAAGATGCAATGAGCATTAGTACCACCCATACCAAAGGAATTAATTCCAATAATAACAGGATTGATATTAGAAGGGATTTCTTCTTCTTGCATGACAACTCTAATTTGTTTCTTCTCAAACTCAATGTGAGGATTGAGTGTGCTCTCAGTGCAATGAATACTCTTAGCTATCTTCCTATGTTTCATCATGAGAATAGCTTTGATAATACTTGCAATCCCACTTGTTGCCTCTGTGTGACCAATATTACTCTTGACAGAACCAATTGGTAACTTGTCAAGTTTGTGCTTTCTTCTTTCTCTTCCAAAGAATGAATCAAGAGCTTGAGTTTCAATCTTATCTCCAATAGTAGTTCCAGTTCCATGACTTTCAACATAATAAACATGTTGTGGAGGAATGCCACTCTTGTTGTACACTTGTTCCAATAATTCAACTTGTCCTTCCAGAGAGGGCATTGTTATTCCACTCTTTCTTTCTCCATCGTGATTGACCCAAGTTGACATGATCAAAGCATGAACTCTTTCATGTTGTGAAGAATTCGCATGCTTGTATGTGTTGATGATGAGATGATGAATCTAATTTCTTCAAAATTAATACAGCAACACCTTCAGATTTTCCATAACCATCAACATGTGAAGAGAAGGTTTTACATCTTCCATCTGGTGCTGCTGCTCCAATAAGCTTTTGAGATACAAATTCTTGTGGAATGTAGTTTAAATTAACTCCAGCAACAATGGCCATTTCGCATTCATCTCTCTGTAAACTTTCACATGCACAATTGAGTGCTACCAAACTTCCTGAACACATGGTATCGAGAGTGAATGACGGGCCTCTCAAATCGAAATGATACGAAATCCTGGCAGAATTGTTAGCTGGTGAAGAGTTTATCAAACTGTACGAGTTGTAAGTTTGCATGTCATGCCAGCCTTTCATGGTGAGATAATCTTGGTTCATCACAGAACAAAACACACCAATGTTTCTTCCTCTGATTTCTTCCCATTTAATTCCAGCATCCTCCAAGGCAATGTAAACTTGTTGAAGAAGGAGACGATGTTGTGGATCCATGGAGCATGCTTCCTTCTTGGAAATTTCAAAGAATTCAAAATCAAACTCATCTAATGGTTTCTCCAAGAAGTGAGCCCTGTTGTAGGTTTGCTTATTGTTGTGGAATCTTGATGATTGTCTTTCCTTTGGTATGGTTGAGCTGGTGTCACTACCGTCAAGAAGAACTTGCCAGAATGATTCAACATCCACTGCCTGTCCAGGGAACATACAACTCATTCCAATGATGCCCATTGGTGAGTTTTCAGCAGAGTTTGATGGAGTAGTAGAATTGATAGAAATCATTTTCTTAATTACAAAGGTATAGAGTGTTGGTCTTTTTTCTTATAAATTAAAAAACAATAATCAAACACCAAACCATTTTAAATCATGAGTGGTCATTAGCAATTTGGAATCAGCAATAACAACAATAATTCATTATTGTCTCATACTGCTAGATAAGTCACAAGAACTTGTTACTTTCCTTTTTAAATCTGCCGCTCTCAGCCAAGTCACAAGTTCAGCCATTATGAACTAGTTTTTTTCAATGGAGTAGTTCAACTAAGAGATTCAGAAGAGTTCGCATCACTGATACTGAAGTGTTTGTTAGTATAAAAGCTTCGGGAATCACTGATTGTGATAATACAATTCAATTGTGGGAGTTCGGATGTTGATGTTCTTGAGATACGAACTCCTTGTGATGAAAAAGTGTTGATGATACTAATCACCCCGGTTCCAATAACAAGTTCTGAATGAGAGTCTGGTCAGTGATACGAGCCCTTTTTATTGGCATCTTGATATGGATTGGATAACATTAAAAAATTATCATGATTATCTACATACTTGTGGCTATTCCATTTCTGTTTCTTCTCTATGTTGGCTATCTATTGTGCAAGTTGTATGTATTCAACAGATATCCAAAGAATGTTTTTCTGGCGCCGCACTATCTAACAGAGAATGTTGTCCAAACCAAAAAGTTCAACAAGAATCCTTTCAAGAAAGAAAAACTTGCAGAGCATTATGATGCAATCATTATTGGCTCAGGTGTTAGTGGCATTATTTGGGCAAGATGATAGGTCCAGAAAGTGAGCTGATGGATCTTCTCTGTGATAGAAAATTGAGATGTTGTCCCTTGATGAGAACTTTGATAATCTGTCCATTATTAATTCTGCTACAAATGAAAAGTTGTTAGAAATAGAAATTCCTGAAGGTCAAGACAAGTTAATCAAAAAGCTCAAAGAAGTCTTTCCAGAAGAATCCAAAGCCATTGATGAGTATGTTGAGATATCGTTTCCACCAAAGTATGAAATTATTCCAGTTATTATTTTAAAGTGTTTCCCATTCATATTTTCCAAATTATTCAAGTATCTAGTTGCACCAAAATTTATGAATTATGTCCATACTAGTATTGGTCAAGCTCTTGACAAATTGACGTCCAATCAGCTTCTTAAGAGTGCCATTTGCTATATTGGCATAGATTATGGTTCAAATCCAAAAGCAACTCCACTCTATGAGCATTCAATGATTCACAATATTTTCAAGAATGGTGGTCACATTCCAAAGGAAGGAGCAGACGATATTGTCGAAAGTTTGATAAAGGTCATTAGAAAAGGAGGTGGAGATGTGATGAGCAAGGCAAATGTTGCTTCAATCCACATCAATAAGGAAGGAAAATGTGGAGGAGTGTGCGTGTTAAAGAACAAGGACTCTATCATTATTGAATCTCCGATTGTAATTTCATCTGCTGGAGTTTACAATACTTATTCAAAGCTCATTCCTCGTCCAATAAGAGAAAAACTTGGCTACAATCACTTCAAGTACACGCCTTCATATTCTGTTCAGGCAACCTTCCTTGGCTATGATGGCACAATAGAAGAATTAGGATTAAAGTTCCAAAACTATTTCATCATGACTAACCCTGATTTTGATGGTCAATTTACCAGATACATGGAAAGTGATGGAGATATTGACCCAAAGAATGGCATTGATATTCCAATCTTGATAGCCAATCTCAGACCTTATAATAACAAGGTTTCAATGACTATCCTCAGCTTTGCCAATCATGCATGGTTTCAAGAGTGGAACCATCAACGAGTTGGACAACGTAGTGTTGACTATGAAGACTTGAAGGAGAGAATTGCCAATCGAGCCCTCGAATTATTATACATGAAACATCCACAACTTGAAAATAGACACTCTGTAATGAGTACTTCCTCACCAATTACATTTAATCATTATCTATCCAATAATTTTGGAGATTACATGGGTTTTAAGAGAGTGGTTGGTAATGATGATGGTGTATTCCGTTGGGGAAGGCCAATGTCCAATCTGGAGAATTTGTTTTTGGTTGGGCAGGATATCTTTGCAGGAGGTGTGCAGGGAGCAATGTTGAGTGCTTTAATTACATGTGGATGCGTGTTGAGGAGGAATTTGTTTGATGACTTGGCAAAGGCCGTTGAAGAGATGAAGAAGTGGAAGGCTTTGCTATTTTGTTTTAAATAACTTTTATTAATTATTTTTTTTAATTGGGAATCATATTCAAAACTATTCTTACGAGGTCTTCCTCTTGGTCGTTTAGGAAGACTCTTCTTTAATTCTTGTTCTTCCTTCATGGACTCTATTGTTGATATGAAGAATGTATTATTGTTACCTTTGGTACTTATGACGGTGTTGTTATTATTGGTATTTACAGGGGTGGTAGAAGAGGAGCTGCTAGTGGAGTAAGCAAGGATCGTCCTATGATTGTTATTATTATTAATATTTACAAATGATGATAAAGATTTTGGGGTTTGTTGCTTGCATTCTTCCATGATAGCAACATTGTTATTATTAGGAACAACATAATTATTGGATAAATTCAGTGGCTGATTCAATAGTGCCTTGTTTAGATGGTGATTGTTCATTGGCCAATTGTTGTTATCTTCATCATATGATGGAAGGAAGGAATCATCCACTGTGGGAGCATAATTCTCATGGTAAGGATTATTATTGGAGCTACTTAAAAGCAGATACAACAAGAATAGTGTCTGCTCGTTTGTGATATTGAAAGGTGAATGGTTTGGAAGCATTTGTTTTGTTACTGGTACCATAACTAATAACACATTATAATAGCCATTTACTATGGTATGTGAACCCTGCATTCCTACTCTTCTGGAAATATATCTCATCCATTTTTAGAATATCTCTAACCGCTCAAAATAGCAATAGGTAACATATATGGCAACAGCCAGATCACATTAATAATTCATGGCTAATACCATTCAAAAAGATTTATTAGGGAGGAGAGGATTCATCCTCCTTGAAATCATGTTCCTTAAAATTCATGGTTTGTATTAATGAAATATGATCTATGTCGCAAAACCTTTCATATTCTCGGTATAGGGCCAGGGAAATAACATTAGGAACGGTTTTTTGGTTTAATGATGAGTATTCGTTAGAGAAATCCTCTAGATTTTCAAAGCTATAGCCCTCTTGAGCCACATCAGACAGTTTCTGATAGATGGCTCTTTCTGATGCGATTTTAAACATTTTTTTCTTTGGTGTTTGTGTGATATCTCTACAACCATTCTGTTCAAGAATACGAAGTGAAACACTAATGTGTAGTTTTCTAAAATCCATAACTAGAATTTCTAATAAGTATTACCAAGTTTTTGTTTAGGAATGGTATCACCAATAGACAAATGCAAAACTTCATCTTTCATCCTTTGTAACGAATAGATAGTAGCGGTTAATTATCATTATTCATATCCAATCTCCCTCTATTCGAAATTGAAGTATGAAGTCACACTTTTCGATTCTTTGACTGATGTAAATTGAAAATTTATAATTCGTGGTTCAACAACATTTAAAAAAATCCAACCATGACAGGAAGAGCAAAACCTCCGATAGCTGGAATTCTGAAAACCTCAATTTCAGTAACTTTGAATTTTCTGCTTCCTCCCAAGTAGCTTCTTGCCTCTTCTGTTTCAAACTTGTATCCATTTGGTAAATGATAGGTTCTTCCAAGATTTGCATAAGATTCACTTGAATTGCAATTGTTTACAATGCGAAGATCATGTCCAGCTCCAAACACACAAAGATCATTTTTGCCACATCCCATTGCATAGCTTTGACAAATTTGATTTCTGGGTTCGAATTGCTTGAATGTGGAATTCTCAATTTTAAATAAGAAAGCTGTAGGGTCAAGTTTGTGGTCATTAATTTGCAATGCTTCCCAATGCTCTGATGTGAAACCGCCAAATATATTTCCATGCTCAGATTTGATAATTGAAAGAGTTGGTCCTTTGTAATCACATCTTGAATGGAAATCAACTGCTTGGAAACCATCTCTACTTCCTCTATATAACAATTCAGGAGGTTCTTTACAACCAATTGCTAAATAAATTTCAGACATTAATTGATTAGTCAATATACACTCTTGTAAAATTAGAGAATCAATTTTGAAACGTGGGTCAATACTCTCAGCAAGTTCCTTTTTAAGATTTGTCAATTTGTACGAATCACAGACATGTCGCAATTCTACTCTCTCTGAATTTGGAATATCATTTAGAACTGAATTTTGAAACCAATTGATAACATGTTTGAAAATTGTTGGATCGACATCAACGAAATAAACAGGATCTGAAAAGAGTGGTGATGGAGTTGCATGCATTGGTATCTCACCAATAAACATTTTCCCAAACAAGTTATCAGGTTCATTCTCAATAAATGGTTTCTTTGAAATGGTCATAATAACTCCTCTTACATTCAAATGAATGGGTTTTTCAAGTTGAGATTCTTTCTTTGCAATAATGACAGGACAATGATTATCAATGTGATCGATCAATTCACCTCTACACATCACACTTCCACACTCTTCACAGCTCACTTTCAACTTGGAAAGCATATTAGTGATACTCTTTGGTGCTGGAATTGCTGTAGATTTGAGAGATTCTCCACCACATGTTGGACAATTCTCTGTCAATTCAATGCATTTAAAACAATACATCATGCCACACGCTGCATGAGTTAATGGATTCACAAGAGGAAGGTTGCAAATTTGACACAACAAGTTCTCGTCAATGCTGTTCAGGTCAACGTATTGGTAAACTGGTTCTATTCTCATTTTTTTGTTGCTGCTCTTTAACATATCAGAATGGGTATTTAAATCATCTCAGAAGGATTTTTGGCTATTGCCATTGTAACCTTCTATTGTACTGGAATCGATCGATGGATTCTCGATCCTATCAAAATCCAAAACAAAACCACTTTAGGAAGGACAGAATGAGAGTGTCCATATTGAATTAATTTCATAAAAGAAATCAAATATGCTTGTCGGCTGTTGAGGAATCTTCTACATTTCTTTTTTTCAAAGCTGCCTCTTCTGCAATAATCATCATGTTGCTTTCTGAATATCAAATTCAAAAAAAAGAAAAAATATGGAACTACCAAGCTCAAAAAATCAGGTTTAAGTATTGTTGATTATCTTGATGAATGATGATATTGAGAATGCAAAAATTGGACTATAGATAGACATTGATGATGGGTATATATTAATAAATTTGCATGTTGAAAATATAAGACATAAGGTAAAATATTAACTCGAACGCCGGGAATTGAACCCGGGTCGCCAGAGTGACAGTCTGGAATGCTACCACTATACCACGCCCGATTTCACTTTTCATTAACAATACCACAATATTACCGAAAATGCTATTAATATGCCAACAAAAAAATAAAATTAAACTTATGAAGATTAACTGGAATATTGGGTTAATTGTTACTGCCTCTTCAGACAAGCTCTGAATTTCAAACTGATATCCAAAAAAACACGTGTTTTCAATTCAAAAAAAATGGAAAATCTGCCCAATGAAATTCTCATTCACATATTTTCCTTCCACCAATTTGACTTTATTGATTTAAATCAATCTGCACCTTCTCCACATAATCAAACCATTTCAACTCTCTTTCAATTCTTGATGAATTTGACTGATGACAAGGCTTTGGATATATATAAAGGAGAGAATAATGTTACTTCCGATACTAATACTAGTATTGATCAAGAACAATTTCCTGATTCCGATCGCAAATCTCTGCATAAATTATTTAATTATTATGATCCTAGTTCGTATGATAAGGAAGCCTACTTACTCTATCAGAGATACTCAAATGTTGATGTGGGTTCCATTAGAGAGGAGTGGTTTGAGAATGAGAATAGACAAAATAATATTGAAATATTGTTTTCATCATCAGAGTCTAAATGGTCGAATAATAGTGAGAGTTATAATGATCGATTGAATTTACTGCACGAATGTGTCAGAGATAAGAAGAAGTTTTTACAAAGTTTCAATATTGCCTTTATGAATTTGCTGATAGTGCATCAGACATTTGGAATTGGATTTTTGGGGCAGTTTTTAGTGAAATATATTCATCATTATCCATTGGTGTATTGTAATTTGAGTTTAGTTTCTAGGCAGTGGAAGGAAGCAGCTGATAATCAAAGTTTGTGGGAAGTTTCTACTGGCATGCTTCAACAATTATTAAGATTAAGATCTGATTTGGAATTTATTAGAAAGAAGCTGTTTTCTAGAATGGATAGTCAACTGGATATGAGTGCTGATGAAAATAATTATTATTCTTTGAAAACTCCACACGATTCAGGTCTGAAAAGATTTCAGGTAGATGAAAATTGTTCCATTAGACAAAGATTTATAATACTGTCGAGATATAATACTTTGTAAGTTTCCTTCTCACAATTTAATATTAATAAGAAAGATTGGAGAAAAATATCAAAGGTATTCCTCAACTGATTGATCAAGCCAAGACTGAAATTATTGAAAACAAGCATACTGAAAATATATTCAATCATACTGTCAGCTCTTTTGTAGAATTGAAATCAATTCAAATGAAGGAAAACAAATCTAAAAGAAGAAAGCAAATTTTTAGATGGTGTGTCAATAATTTTTTGGATAGAGTTTGTTGCAATCCAATCATGAAAAAGGGATTCTTCATTGTTTTCTTTGGAGTGCTTGTGTTCTTAATGTATGACATGATAGGAATAGTTGGTGATGGTTTAAATAACCAAATGACCCTCAATGGGACAATTGCAACAAATCAGACGATAGCTCAACAAAATAGTCGATTCAACTCTGACTCTTTTTTAAGAGATTTAACCATATCGAGTGCTTTAATATTTTCGATTCTAATGGTATTTCAAGAAATGGCTAAACCAGGAATGATACCAGTTAGTTTAACCAAGTTTTCAATCACAATCTCCACAAGTTTCATACCTCCTGGACATAGTTTTGCAATAATTTCAATGCTTAAAATAATACTAGCGATAGAATATTTCACTTATATAATATTTGGAGGAGTGGGATTGAAAAATGTGTTGGAAATTTCAATGATTTCGAACATGTTTGTGTTGTTAATGCTAGTCTTATTGTTTTCTATTGGATTGTATGACGTGCTGAAGTTGAAACAATTGGGCATATTGAAATTGTTCAGATATTTATGTAATGTACAAAAAGAATTCAAAGAAGAGGAATATTCACTTTCTATTGGAATTCTAGTGATATTTTTGAGACTTTGCATAATTCCATTATTGGGAATACTATTTTGGACTCTTTTCAGTTTAACAATATCTTTAGAAATTCGTTCTTATTGGCCCTTAGTTGTTTCAATTTGGTTATTGCAGATAGTCGTGCAAATTATTTTCATTTATGAATATATTTGGGTAAGAAGAGAAAGGATTAACAAAATTCATCACAATGAGACAATGATTCCAGTGAATGACAGAAGACAACAAGGAGAATACGATGATCAACTAATAATTAAGAGGAGTGTTGAATACCCATACGAATCAAAGGTTATTCAATTATTGGTGTTATTGGCCAATTTGGCTCTATTTATATCTGGAGTACATCTATTGGTAACTCAACAATTCGAAAAATGGTTATGGAGCTCTCCATTCTTTATTATTTACATTGGTATTTGCTTTTACTTTATTAGATATCTTCACTTTCTTACTGGTCATAATCACACAATGCTGTATAAGGAATATAAGAAAATGCTCAAAACATACAATCATGAATTATTCAAAATTCACATAGAAAATGAAGGGTCTGTCTCTGAGAGAATTGTTTGTCGATTGAAAATCAAAGGTGAGGAGGAAAATTCAGATCTAAATTCAGCCATTATTCCACTGGAGGAGGAAACGGATGTAGAAATCGAAATGGATGAAACACAAACAGATCAAGATAATGTTAACCTAATTTAAATAATGTCCTCAGTTACTTATTATTCAAATCATTTGCTTAAGTGGTAAGAGGAGCCAAATCATGGAGAGTTGGTTTTTCTGTAATAAGATTATACATTTGAATTTCGATAAAAGAATGGCCTTGTTTTTCTTCCTCCTATTCTATTCGCATCATCAAATGGTATCATCATCGGATAGAGTATTACATTAGTTATTCGGATTTATTAAATAATAAAACAAGTGATAAAGAACATTTGTTTAATACTGATACAAAATTGGTAGCTCAATGAATTTATTTCTCATGTTAAGCCAAGTTAAGTTGTCCAATCAATACAATACAAATCAACACTAAATATACCAATGAAATTGCAGTTGCTGATGCTTCAGACACACGTTGACTTTTGGATGGTGTCACATTTTTGCTTCCAGAAGTTTTTGGAGTAGTGATACTCTTGCTTGGTTGAGGAATTGAGCCACCAGAAGAAGTGGATGGTGTTGGAGTAACTGTCTGTTCACACAAACCATTAACCAATGATTCTCCTTGAGAACAAGTTAAGGAAACTTTTCTAATTCTATTGTTCGAATCATCTGAAATGTATAATTCACCTACTGAGCTCACTGCCAAACCTGTTGGAAAGTTCAATTGAGCACTTGTTGGTAAAGACCCATCTCCGCTCAATCCTGCAATTCCATTTCCAGCACTTGTGCTAATAGTTCCATTGACATTCAATTTACGAATTCTATGGTTATACGAATCAGCAATGAACAAATCACCAGTTGAGCTAACAACTAGGCCACTTGGATAATTCAATTGATAAAGTGATGCATTATTTCCTTCACCATTATATCCAGCTGTTCCATTTCCAGCAATTGTTGTAATTATTCCATTCAATGAGACCTTACGAATTCTATGATTATTAGTGTCAGAAATCAGCAATTCTCCATTGGAATTGACTGCTACATAGCTTGGATTATTTAATGTGGCACTTGTTGCAAGACCACCATCTCCACTAAAACCTGCAACTCCACTTCCAGCCACAGTGCTAATATCACCATTGGTTGCAATCTTTCTAATTCTATGATTATTCGAATCAGCAATGAAAATTTCACCACTTTTTGAGCTAATTGCAAATGATTGAGAATTCAAATAAGAGTTAACTGCAGAAGAGCCATCGCCCAAACCACCAGCAACTGTACTAATCTTTCCACTAGAAAGTTTACGAATTCTTGAATTGAAAGAATCAATAATGAAAACGTCACCGTTCGAATTGGAAGAAACTCCACTTGGATAATTGAAACATGTACTTGTGGCTGCCAATCCATCACCATTGAAACCAATCGCTCCACTTCCAGCAATGGTTGAAATGTATCCATTCGCAGCTACCTTTCTAACTCGTTGATTGTATTGGTCAGAAATATAAATTTCTCCAGAGTTTCCAATAGAAATGCTGAATGGGAAATTGAGCTTGGCATTGGTAGCTAATCCATTATCTCCACTGAATCCAGAAGTTCCAGTTCCTGCAACAGTTGTAATGATACCAGAGGATGAAGAAACCTTTCGAATTCTATGATTACCAGAATCGGCAATATAAATATCATTATTAGTCAAATTGACTGCTACTGCAAATGGAACGAACAATTGAGCATTAATGGCCAACCCATTATCTCCGCTAAATGTTGCCTTATATGCAACTGTTCCATTACCAGCAATTGTTGAAATATAACCACTAGTAGAAACTTTACGAATTCTATTATTACGAGTATCGGTGAAAATCAATTCACCATTTGAATTCATTGCAATTCCATTTGGATAATGGATTTTGGCAGATATGGCCAGCCCACCATCTCCACTGAATCCAGATTCTCCACTTCCTGCCACAGTTGAAATGATACCACCAGTTGAAATCTTTCTAATTCTGTGGTTTTCAGAATCGGAAAAGTAAATTTCACCACTCGAGCTCACTACCACTCCTTTTGGATTATTCAATTTGGCACTTGTAGCAGAGGAGCCATCTCCACTGTAGCCACTTGTGCCAGTTCCAGCAATTGTTGTAATGTAACCATTCGAAAGTTTACGAATCTTGTGATTGGAAGAATCTGAAAAGTAAGAGTCACCATTAGAAGAGATGAAAATAGAGTTTGGATTATGTAATCTTTCAGTGATTGCTAACCCATCGCCACTGTCAGCTCCAATAGCACCAGTTCCTGCTACAGCTGTCAAACTTGATTTGATTTTTGACAAATACGAACCAAGATACATGACATATACTTCATTATTATAATAACTAACTGCAGAACCCAAAGGAGTTACTGAACTAAGAGTGGAAATTACATTAGTTGACAAATCAACTCTTCTAACTTTTCCATTATCAGTAAATAAAAGATTATTTCCATAAATAATAGGATTTCCATTTGGAGAAACAAATGATTTGCTTGCTTGAACATCCTCTCCAAAACTTGAGGTACCAGCAAATGTTGAAATCACCCCACTTGCAGAAATCTTTCTAATTCTATGATTATACGAATCTGAAATGAAAATTTCACCTACAGAGTTGACCACAATTCCAGAAGGCAACCACAATTGAGCATTAACGGCCAAACCACCATCTCCACTCAATCCAACAGTTCCTGTTCCTGCAATTGTAATAATGGTACCATTTGTCAAAATCTTTCTAATACGATTGTTAACAGAATCTGAAATGAAAATTTCACCATTCGAATTGACTGAAATTCCACTTGGATAATTCAATTGAGCATTCTTTGCCAAGATGGAATCTCCATTAAAACCAGCAGTTCCAGTTCCTGCAACTGTAGTGACAATACCACTATTCGAAATCTTTCTAATTCGATGATTTCTTGAATCTGCTACAAATAGTTCACCATTCGAATAGAATGCTGCTCTTGGTGCATTGAATTTGGCATTTGTGGCCTGTCCATTATCACCACTGTATCCAGCAGCTCCAGTTCCTGCAATAGTTGTGATATTTCCAATGGAGGAAACCTTTCGAATAACATTATTAGAAGTATCGACAATAATAACTTCACCACTTGAGGAATTAAGAGCTAAACCGTATGGAGAGTTTAAAAGCGCATTCGTAGCAAGACCCCCATCACCACTATAACCATAGGATGAGGCAGTTCCAGCAATGGTTGAGATTTTTCCATTTGTAGAAACCTTTCGAATAACATGATTGGAGGTATCAGCAATGAAAGTTTCTCCCAAAGAATTAACAATTACACCATAAGGAAAGTTAATTTCGCTCTGTGTAGCCAATGCACCATCTCCACTAAATGAAGAAGTACCAACGCCTGCAAAAGTTGAAACATCACTAGACGAAACCTTTCTAATACGCTGATTAAACGTATCAGCAATAAGAATTTCACTATTCAAGCCTAATGCTATCCCATACGGATATCTCAAGAGAGCATTCCCTGTCATTCCATCACCAATTTTACTTCCACCTCCAATCAATGTTGAAATTTTGACAGTTGGCAAGGAAGTTGAATGGACATGTGGAAAATTCATCATCACAACGATGAATGTAATGAGCAACCATATGGTAACGAGAATTTTCAATGGTTTGCGTGAAATCATTTTTTTTATGTTTCCTAATTTGAACTATTCGAAACAATGATAGTTGACTGAGTGAAAGAGAATAAACTGTTGATGCACCTCAAATAAAGTGAATATGGACAAGCAATTGCGTAAAGTTTAACACTTTCAACAGGTTTCCAATAATCGCAAATCAACAACTAAACAAGTTTCGTCCAATTCACCCATCATTTAAAAAAAATGGCAAATTGTAACAATGTTTCCCACCTCAACAGGTCAATCCTGGTGACAATTCTTCTATCCTCCCTTCTGTTCACATGTTTCGTCTCACTTTCCCACTCAACCATAACCAAGACGAAACTCTACGGTTTAAACTTTGCAGGTGCAGAATACGGATCAATGCCAGGTCGTTACGGCTACGATTATATCTATCCATCTGCCTCTGATATTAGTTTATATGTTGCCACAATGAATTTGAATGTAATTCGTCTTCCTTTCAAATGGGATAGACTTCAACCGAAACATGGTCAACCATTAGATTCTTTGGAATTAGCAAGAATAGACGCAGTTGTTTCAGTATGTGCTACTCATGGGGTGTCTGTTCTATTGGACCCTCATAATTATGGATATTCTGTGAATGGATTGATTGGCACGTCAGATGAGCCAACTGAAAATTTCACAGATTTTTGGATTCGTCTAGCTCAGCATTATTTAGGATATGATAATGTGATTTTTGGAATTATGAATGAACCGCATACACATACACCACTTCAATGGGCAGATATTGCTCAAACAACTTTGAATGCTATTAGGTCAACTGGTGCTACTCAATTGGTTCTTGTTCCTGGAACTTTTTATACTGGAGCTCATTCTTGGACATCTAATGTTCTTGGACAATCAAATGCAGAAGCATTGAAGAATATTAAGGATTCTGCCAATAATTTCATGTTTGAAATGCATCAATATTTAGACAGTGACAATTCAGGAACTCATTCGACATGTGTCAGCTCAACAATTGGTTCGACAAGATTGAAAACTACTACTGATTGGTTACGTCAAAATGGATTTAAGGCATTTTTAGGTGAATTTGGAGCTTCTGATGATACAGTTTGCATGCAAGCTCTTTATGACATTTTGCAATTTATGGGAAATAATACTGACGTTTGGCATGGATGGACTTATTGGAATGCTTCTCCATGGAGTACAACTTATATTTATGCTGCTTATCCCCCTGATGAGAATCAACATCCTCAAGTTTCAATCTTGAAAGAAGCAATGGGAGTAGTTTAATAATTTTAAAAATTATTAACAATAAAATTTACAATAAAAACTTGAATGTAAACTAAAATATCCATATTCGATATGAAGAACTATCAACTATTTAATGTCCACTTAAAAACATAAAGATGAATAATTCCAATAATTGTTTATTATTTGAAGTTTTACAAGAGTAAAACTGCAATCATGACAAATAAAGTCATAACAGAAATGACAGATCTAACTGCAGAGCTACCTCTTGAAGTTGTTGCAATGACCTTATCAGTATATTGAACAGAGTATTCCTTTCTGTCCATTTCAAGAGTCCATCCCTTATCGATTTCAGCCTTACCAGCTTCAACAATCCATGGCTTTAAGACATAGCTTCCTTCAGTTGGTGAGTTTTGAATCTTGACAGACATGGAGAGAGTACCAGTACCAGGAGCAACACTCTTTTGAATTGCCTTACCAAACCAAGAATAATCTGGTAATCTCAAAAAGTCAACTACAATATCCACATTGACATTGGCAGAATAATCAACATCAACTGTAACAGTTTGACTATTCAATGGAATTTTAACTGGTGGAGTCTTAATACGAATGGAATTACCAACCAATGGTGCATTATTATTATTGGTTGATCCAGAATTTGAACCAGTTGATGGAGCGGGTGTAGGAGTAACTGGGTTACCTGTAGATGTAATTTGAGCATCCCAACATGAGGTATATGGAGCACTTCCAGCATTGAATACCCATCTCCATTGGAAAGCATAACGACCCTCAGGAGTGTTAGCTGGAATTGTGAAACAATTAGTACACAATGCCTTATCCATATTTTCACAGAATTTTGGACAATTTTGGAATCCTTTACCACCACCATTTTCCAAAGTATTTGGAGCAACGTTATTTCCCCAATCTTGCAATAATTTCCAATCATTAGCACCTGGATCACTGGTTGGATTCAAACTAGAGTAGTAAATCTTGTTTCCATTATCTGGAATGTATTGGTTGGTGCATGAAGCAGCAACGTGATTCTTGGCTGGATATGCAAGACAAACCTTTTGTCCTGGTCTGTATGTGGCCATTGGATATGATGATCTGTAAAAAAATCATGTGGTCAACCAGGACATGTTAAAATTGCAGAGAAACTTACGTATAGAAAGATTGATAGTTTCCATTGGTAAGACCATATTTACAACTAGTATCTTGGTGATTGTATCCAGTATCTCCACCGAAAGCGCTGTTAATAGCTATTAGAAAGTTGAAGAAATAAATATTCGAAATGTAAATATATTCGAATTAAATGAACTTTACGTACCAGCATGTGCAGACCAATTTCTTGGACGTGCTCTACATTTAGAAGCACTGTAATATTGACCGTTTTCTTCAGTATAATCAGTGCAGTCAATCCATGAGTGAGCATAGACAGCAGACAGACACAAGCTCAACACGAATAATGAAAGAATAACTTTGTGCATTTTTTTCCTTGATGATTCGTATTAAAAAGAAGCAATCGATGGATTATAATGTCACACCTTCATAATTAAATCGGGTGGCTACTTGACATCTTGTGCTCATCAACATACCACCCGCAAGAATCCTTGCCAAACATTGTTTCAGTGTGCTTATTGATATTCACTTTTCAATTATTACAATAAAATATTTGAATTGATTTGGAAGAGACATTGTTAATTATTGTAGTTGATATAATTGATATTGAACGAAAATTATAAAGATGAAACCTGTTATCTGTTAATATCTTTGAACGGTTGGATATTTTGGCCCATGTTTGGGTTCTCATTGTTAAATTCTAACAAACGTCTGGATAAAATAGTTGTGTGGCTAAACCCTTCGGAAATTTCAATGCTGATTTCGTGATTTGAAAGCACTTAATCTAGAGTTGAATATCCAGAAATTAATAATGGAATGGTATGTAGATTCCATTTATTCCATTGTATAAGATTTACAGTAGTAGCAGATGATGAAGGTGTGAAATCTTATTGTGTGTTTAATCCATCATTCATAGAGACTCAATGAAACTGTCCATTGTTTCAGAGAGTGGAAGTACAATAGTGTTGCTTGACTTGTTTTGAATCCAATCCTTCAAAACAGGTGGTAAATTAGAATCATTATAGAGTTGGAGGAAAATGTCTGGAATGATGAATAGGATTGGAGTGTTCTTCTTGATATCATTCAAGAGTTTGTTCATTGGGAATCTTGAGAGTGGGACACCTAACACGACAACCAGATCACAATTTTCAAAATCACTTCTCTTATTATCTGAAATGGAGGATGGATAGCTCTCTCCCAACATGAGAATATTTGGTTTCAGACTGCAATCCTTCTTGGCCATTTGTTCACATTTTCCCTTCTTATTGGTTGGAACATCCTTGTTAGGGAACATGGCAGCTCCTGTTTTGAAATCAAAAGTCTTTTCACAAGTTGAGCAAGTAAAACTATCAAGTGTTCCCAAGCAATTAATAACTTTTTCATCTTCAAATGGTAATTTTTCAATACTTTCACTGTAAATCCTTTGAATTTTCTCTTGTTCATCGAGACTCATTAAAAACTTCAATACCTTGCTTGGCTTTTTATAAATTCTACTCCATCCATATGTTAATTTCTCCAAATAATTCAATAATGGTCTTGGATTTTCCACAAATCGATCAAAATTAAATAAATCATCAGTACTTCCTTCATTAACTTCCAAATCCTGTTTCATATCTTGCTTTCTAGTCTTGATTTGTTCAAGTTGAAAATTCTGAATTTCCTCAACGGATGCATATTCAATTCCCTCAACAACTTTCTCAGCCTTATGCTCAATATTATAGAGAATGTGTAAATCACCAAAAACATGACTCGAATGCACAGCATTTGTCTGTTGATAATACTTGATTGTTGCCTTTTCAAAAACATCCTTCGGAAGCACAGCTTGTGTCGTTATCGTCGGTCCAGTCACTACAATAATCTTCTCCTTTTCCTTTAGTAGATTTCTAGCCTTTTCCAAGAGAGTAGAAGAAGAAGACTTTTCCTCTTGAATTTTCCTCTTTAATTGATCCGTTAGTGATTGTTTTTGTATTCTTTTCTGAGAAGTTGTTGTATAATAGCCTTCTTCATTATTCTCTTCTTCTATTGTTGTTGTTGCTTCTAATTCTTCTTTGAAAGTTGTTCTTGTTCTTGTGGAGGAAAAAGCCTTCACTGATGAGTGAGAGAAAAATCTCGTTTGTTGAATTAATGATGATGATGAAGAAGAAAATAATGTTCTTGTTCTTCTTGTGGATTTGATGATGATTTTATTGTTGGATAAAATTGAGGATGGAATTTTGAACATTTTTTGTGTTTTATTATAATTTCATAAATAATAATATTTATTATTAATATTTATTCGTAAATATCAATTTTCTTATCTACAAGTGTGTAATACAAATAAGGTCCATCCAAAGCTAGTGAATTTGGTTTACTTCCCAAAACTTTAATTTCCTTTACTGATCTTTCTACATCAATTATGAGTAAGCCAAGTGCAGTTGAGCATAGGATCTTATTCGAATCTCTATCACAGGTCAAATACAAGCATTCGGTATTATCAAAGCTCTTGATGCATCTCCAATCTCTTCTTCTGTCCTTCTCCAAAATAAGTATTTTATCGAATAGAGAAACAACTAAATGTCTGTCATTGAGAAAATCAACCGATTGTAAAATTCCATTAAAACTAAACTCAATCATGGTTAATGGTTCTCCTGTAGAAGCTTCCAAAATTGCAATACAATCACTTTCTCTATCACAAACATATAGAGTATTCTCAGAGAAATGATACTTTTCATTGAATGATTTAGATCCATACGAAACAGCTGTAGAATAGGGACTATCAAAATTATCTTGTACCCAAACTTGACATTCACGTATATTTGCATCTGGTGCACAAAGTTTTTCCAAATCGTATTTAATTAATTTTCCATAACTTCCATAAGCAATATATAAGGCATCCGTTCTACTATCACAATATTCTAATTCCAAGGCAAGTGAATCTCCTTCTCGTTCAGTTTCTACACATGAACAGAATTCCAAAGAATTTACATCAAAAATTAGTAATCTTTCCAATATATTATCCAAGACAATGATAGCTTGGTGAGTATGTGAAATTTTCACATCATATGGATTAGTAAATAGACAATCACCAATAATTCCTTCAACTTCTATAGATCCATCAATCGAATCGACACAATTAAACTGATACTTGAATGTACTCAATTTCCTCTTCTCCCAATGTCTTTTCAATTTCACCATGGAATTTAATAATTCCTCCCTTTCATTAAAATTCCACAAATTAACTTTTACACAATCTTCATTAACTTTCTGATCAGCATTCTTCTTGATTTTTTTCTGTGATGATTCTCCACCCGATGATGAAACTCGTTTTCCTGATGATGAAATTTTCACCCCACCAATTTTTTTCATTTTTTTAAATTGGGAATTGTCTATTTTTAAATTCCCTTGTTTGGTTCTATTTAGAATCTATGGTTGTATTGGAATTACAACATTAGTATTGGATCCTGATGGCTTTATTAATAAATGAAACTGATCTATCTTGTTTACAATCATGAAGAACAACTAGTTTAATAAAGGACAACTAGATTTCTCTTACCAATGTTTGAAATTATCATTCTTCCATTCCTTTCATTAATGACCAGGCAACGATTATTACTAAATTCTTCAAACTTATGTTGTGAAATAGGTTCTAAATCTTTTGTAAACACAAAAATGGCACCAATTGCATCACTCACATATACCTTTTCTGATTTTTCTTCATAAAATATTGAAAAACATCGACTAATTTCCAGTTCACTTGTTGGTCTTACTTCTTTGTGGGCATTCCAATATCCATTCTCGTCTTTCCTAAATAGTCCAATAAAATTATTTCCACAAGCTATCAAATCACCGTTTGGTAAGCACTTTACATCTGCTAAATTTTTTATAATCTAAAATACTCGTAATGTATTCACCACTTTTTGAATCAAAAATTTGAATAGTATCATTATAGTCAACCACAAATAATTGATTGTCCATTGAGTCAAATCCCACAAGAAGTGAGCATGTAGTTTGCTGTTCCCAAATAAGAGCTGTGTAAAGGGATTCATTGGTTAGTTTTTCATCCAATATTTTCTTTAAATCATACTTGTAGAGCATCTTTTCTGAACCTACAAGAATGATGTTTAATTCAGAAGGTGTTCTTTCCAAATTCACAAAATCCAATTCATTTCCAAAAAGAAGAGAATACACCACATTATACGAATCCAAATCCAAAAATTTAACTCCATTTACAACAACAACCAACAATAAATTGTATTCTCTAACAATTACGAAACTAAACGAACAACAACCCAAATCAATTACCCTTTCAATAGCAAATCGACCAGAAAATTCCACCATTGTAGGTTCTTTAAATTTTCCTTTTAAATAATTTTGTAATGTTGAATTGGCTTCCGGTGTATCAATCAAGTCAAACACCACACAACACTCATCTTGTGCCATTTTTTTGTGGATTCTTTTGAAAAAACACCAAAATAATAACTTGGAACTTGAAAAACATGGAAAAGAATGCAGATGGTGAACCTTGTCTTCAAGACCAACCGCTTAAAGAGTAGAAAGGGATAGGTACAAGTGAATTGTAAAGTTCAAGTACCATTACAGTAAACCAATTATTCTTTCCAAAGTTTACTATTTATCTGAATTTATTTCTTTCCATTTTTAGGCTAGACAGTACTTGCTTAATCGAAAATCTTAAAAGGTTCCGATGAGACGGAATTGAACCGCCGACCATAGGATGACAGAGCTAACTACAGTCCCATGCTCTACCAACTGAGCTATCATCGGATATGATTGGAAAGTCGAAATAACTTTTTATAAATACTTGTCATCAAGTCTCCTTTTAATCAGACATTGCTGCAAAAGCATGCTTTTTGGTGTTAGGCCTAACAATTCATTAAAATTCTTGAGAAAACTAAATCACCATTGCCTGGCAAAGTTTTGGAGGCAATCTTGATACTGTCTCGCTATCATAAAAGAGTTTTTTTCTATTTTGAATTCCAAATTTTAACAACTCTTTGAAAAAACTTTCAAAAAATTCCAAATCAATATAATTTTCACATATTGAAACAATGTCAAAATAATTATCAATTGTAATTCTAAAGTTATTCTTGCAATATATTACTAAATATTTAACTTCATATTTCATTGCCATATCTAGGAGGCTAATAATCTTTTCAGATTTATTGAGATCAGCAAATGTTGATCCACAGTCAAACATAGCGTTAAATAATGAACTTGTTGAGCTTAAAATCGTTTTGTGGCAGTACAAGTAATTATTTTCATCCATTTGAATTTTTAAATCACTTGTTTTCTTATCATTGTATAATTGATTAATTTTCAAAGGTTCTATTTCAATTATTTCATTTAAAATTATTGGATTTGGTTGAGATAATACAATTTTAGAGAAAATATTAACACAATATCTAGTCATGATTGGAAGAGTTGGTAAATATTTCGAACCTTCTTCGGTTTTCGTTTGAATGGCAGCAAATTCAACACAGTAATTATGCAAATATTCAAGAATATAATTTTTTAAGTGCAATTCATTTGTGCATTGAGATAAATAAAGTTCAATTTCTTCCCATTTCTTGGAAAGATTTTGAATGGTCAGAGATTGAATAAATTGGAATACACACAACTTTTTCAATTCTATAAATTCATTATTCTGGAATAATCCTAAAATGAATAATACATTCAAAATTTCGTCATCATTAAATTTCAATTTAATCTCATTATAAAGTTGCGAGTCAATTAGGTTTTGAATAATTTGCTGTTGAGTTGAATTCAGAGATGAAATTAGTGGCTCGTTCTTTAAAATCAATTTAGAAAATAATGGTGATAATATTTCAATGAGAGGAATGAATGCATAAATTGAGGTTTTGAATAGTAAATCTCTTGAATGTTTTTTTAACTTGATTTCAAGTTTTTGTGGATATTTAAATCCACCAATATGAGGATTTTTTGATATATCAAAAGTAGAATCACCTCCATGTCCTCGTTTTCCATTTCCAGCAATTGTTATAATATTTCCATTCTTCAATATTTTTCTAATTTTATGATTGTTAAAGTCTGTCGGCAATGTATACTTCATTATTTGTTGCTGAAACGAAAACGCATTGTGGATCATCAAGTTGTGAGGTTGTCATGGATTTGTGTGTTTCGCTTATTTTTTTAGAAATTGTTTATTATTAACATGCAAAGTTCTTGTTTGGAGATGAACCATAATACTAGATTGAAAATTTTAAATTGGCAGTGTGGATTTATTTCCACAAAAGTAATGATTAACTAATACATATTGGAGCAAAATAGCCACAAACTTGTGCTTCAAAAAGTTTTGCTTTCCAGCAAGTAAACTATTAATAAATCTCATAACTTTTTGCTCTGCACTATTAATACCATTGGTGAACGTGTTTAGAAAAAAATCAAAACAAAAAAAAACAATTAAATAACCCACAACATATCATAATGATCAGAAAATCCATTATTCCAGCAATCTTTTTTAAAGAAGGTCAATTCGAAGAATTTATCATGCCATCCCCAAAGACATTTAAAATCCACACTCCAGCAATTAACCATAGAAAGAAATTAGTTATTGGTCCACTTTCAGCATTTCTCCCATTAGAAATAATTGAATGTGTACTTTCATTCATATCTCATCAAGATTTCATTCAAGCTCTTTCAGGTTGTTTGTATTCTCTTGAGGGAGGAAAGAAATTTGCATTAAATCCACCAAACGAAACTGAATTTGATGAAGATTTGAATGTCACTCGATTGGAATTACTTCAATTAGTGAAGAGAAGAGGAGGTGTCATTGCCTCAAGTATTAAGGATGTTGAGGTTTTGAGTGCAATTTTCTCGATTCGTATACCAGTTGATGATTCGTTTAAACTCAAGATTCATTTGATGAATATCGACAATTTGAGTAACAAGCTGATCGATTTACTTGAACAGTTTCACACTGTAGAATTGGATAACATTAATCTGAAATTTTCAGATATTCATTCCATTCTCAATCTAAGAACAAGCAAAATTAACAAACTAATCATTAACAGGTGCAAAACCATTGAATTTAAAGAAAAAGCAATTTCTTGGAATAGAGTTGCTGCCAGAGAAATTGTGAAATGTTTCAAATCACTTACAATTATTGAAAGTCCAGATATGGTTGAGTTTTGTAATACGTGTAAATTCAATGACCTGGAAAAATTGCATGTCATTGATGAGCGTTGCATCAATCTACCAATTTTAAATCCCAATGAATATCCAAATTTGACAGATTTTGGTAATAACCACTTTAAAGTCAAAAATCAAAGAGCTCTGAAGAAACTCTTTCTCAATAGAATTGACAGTTTAAATTTTAATCAAGAAACAGCCAATTTGTGGTCTTCCATTATTGTAAAATATCCACCTTATAGAATTAGAGATGTATCCTATCTGAAAGTGCCTGAATTGACCATTCTAAGTGAGGAAAGTAATTTATCCTTACATGAAATGATGGAAAAAGTTGCAGTTTTTGAACATGTTATCATTCCAGAAACATTCATAAGATTAACTACTGAAAGTTTAAGTGAAATTTCCAATCCAAATCTTAGAAGAATTACAATTATGACCTCACGTCAAAGTAGAATTATTGTAAAGATTTTGAAAGCTCGATTGGAATGCATGTTTCCAAATGCATGTATTTTCATAAAAGAAATGGAAGAAAGAATAATCACAAAGCCATCTAAACAATTTGGTATCTTTAAATGGGAAGATGAGAGACTTGGAAATATATTCGAAAGACTTTTGAGAAGAATTGATTCCATTTCTAATCAATGCATTTATTTGAGAGAGGAGGCATCCAAAACATTTATTCAACAAATTAAAGAATCAATGAAGACTCTTGGTGAATTATTTGAAGAAAGAAACAGCTCTCGGAGAAACATTACCAAAGAATTAATGATATTCCAAACTGAAACCTATTTACTTGAAGGTTTGAAAGCCAACATTGAATTTGCATTACACAATGTCAAACACGCCATTGAAATCTACGAAGAAGTCATTGGAAAAGATGAAATCATAGCAAGGGTCATTTCCAAATACGAAGCAACTCTAAACTCTTCTGTCAGTGGTCAATTCCTCAATCAGAATCTCAAACTTTTGGAAGAAAGCTTTGATGACATGAAATACCACTTTGAAATGAAGGGTTTCACCTACAAATTGCTGTTCAAGAATTTGTGGCAAGCAGATGATGTTGTCGAGTTCTATAGAGATGGATATTTTGATAATGAAGAGGAAGAATTATTTCTAGATGAAGAGGATAATATCTTGTTTGAAGATGAAGAATGGTTATCAGAGTTTAGTGATGAAGAATGAATATTAAGTGTTTGATTCTTAATATAAATTGTAAATATTGTAAATATTGTAAATAGCATATAAAAATATAACATTAAATTAAATAGAGGGCCTATATCGAACGAAATAGCTATGACTGATTGGATGTAAAGTCTTCCTGTCTATTGATGTTGTTGCTTATTAAGTAGATTGCTCATTTTTTTTAAAATATTTAATTTATTTAATATTTATTTAATATTTCCAATATTTTCCTTAACCATGCTTGTGAATCTGTTGACTCTGTTGAATTATCATAGTTTTAAAGTGAGATTGTTACATCTGTTAATTGGTTAAATTTCAATGTATGTAATAATTTCTTATTAAATTGAATTCTTTCTCCAGTGTAAATTGAAACATGCAATTCATCAACACATTCTTCTGTAATAGAATCCTCTAAATCATTATCATCAGTATTTGTGTAAAAAACTAAAATTCTTCCATCACTTGTACAAATAAATAAATTATTTCCATCTTTGGACCATTTCATTAATTTAAAATTTTCATTCTTTGCAACTTGTTTTGGTGTTAAAATAGTATGTGTTTCTACTGCTAAAAAGAATGTTGATACTTGATTTTTTGTTAATACTATCGTTTGATATTTTTTTTCATTAATATTAATTTGTAATACTTTAAAATATTAAATATTAAATAATAATTAATGCTTACTTTCATCAGATTTTAGTAATATGGTATTGGTATTTATGTGCGTCGAAAATAAAGCATCTGGATAACCTGAAAAGTAATCAACATTATGTGAATATCTTGCAATTTCTTCTTCAACAATTTCATTGCTTTCAACCTCTTCAATTTTCTCTTCATTTAACGTCTGTTTAGAATAATCATTATTATTATCTGTAAGAATATTTAATTCTTCATTATCTTCATTTTTAAATGTTTTCTTTTCATTTAGACCACTACTGACCATTAGTAGACTATCATCTGGACTTATTTCCATCAGTTTAATACTATCATCATAAATTCTTTCATTATATCGTGCACATTCTTCACTACTGATACTATACATTGCTAATAATGAATCACTCCATAGTATTAAACATTTGCTATTGTACATTGAACCTCCATGTACGTAATAATTAATATAAACTTGTTCTTCTCTTAATTTAAAATCTAAATTTTCATTCATAATTTTGTAATTTTGTTTAATATCTAATTGAATTTTTTTATAATTTCCATTTCTATTTCTAGTAAAAATATAAATAGTATGATCTGCAGATTGAATTCCAACTATATTTTGAATGTATAATATTTGTAATTGATTCATATCTTTATCATTGAAAATTAATTCATTCTCAGACCATGTTAATATTAATTTATAATATTTTTCATAATAACAACCTAAAATTCTATCGGAATGAACTTGTTTACAATAATTTCCATCTTTTTTAATGGTATTCAATTCTTCATGTGTCCAATATTGTGTTTGTACATTTTTACTATTTTTTCTATCATAAATTGTTGATGAGAGGTAACCATTATAATATCCGATTAATATTTGATCATAATCATGTTGCTTTTGTTGACTTGTTGTTGTATCATTTAATTTCAATGATGATGAATATGATGAAGGGCTAAAAGAATGTTGAATTGTATAAAAACATGATGGTTCCCATAATTGTTGTCTCGGCATTTTTTTTTGATCAAAGAACAAAGAACAGTGAAATTTCGTAAAGTTCAAAAGTTCATCCAAACAACAATCAAAAAATGTGTGGAGCGTAAGTTTGTGTTTTTTATCCACAACCATAACCACAACCATGGTGAATAAATGTATAAAATTCACGTTGATGATGATCATCATCATAGTCCCCCAATTTTTATATTTCCCACAATTTCACCGGAATGGACAAGGTTTTGGAGAGACAAATTTGATAAGATTGGTGAGACCAATGCAGCCATTATGGAATTATACAAGAATAGACAAGAAAATTATGTGGCCCATCGATTGGAAAGTAACTGTTCATTGAGCATTGAGGAGATGAAGAAACACTCGGAGGATTTGAATGAGAAGGACAAGGGGGAATTGTGTAGCATGTTGATGAGGAGAAGTATTGCGAGAATGGAAATTTCCAAGTTTGAGGAAGCTGTTGAAGATGTGGAAATGGCCATTTGGTTGATGGATACAGAGGAGAGAAGAAATCATTTCATTGTATTGTATATTCTTGGTATGGCTCAGTATGGAGCTTGTTTGTATCGAGATGCTGCTCATACTTTTATGAAAGCCATCGATAATAGAGAATCTATGAATCAGTATGTAAATGAGGAGGAATTTGTGGAAATGGAAAAGGAATTTTTGAATTGGCAACTTGAATCTAAAAAACCATTTGAAAAGACAATTCTTGGAATTAATCAAGGAATGACAAATTGGAATAATTCAATTTTTAATGCTAAAAATTCTGTCAAGAATTGGTTAAACCATAGTTTGGGTCTAAATACTTCAGATGCTATCATTCAATCAAGACCAAAAACTGTTATTACTTTGGAATTGTTGTATATTAGAGCTGGGTTGGCTTATTTTGATGCAAATATTTATCAAAATGCCATTCCGTTGTTTACACATGCTATTGATTTGGGTTCTAAATACAAATCAGATAATGTGGGATCGTCATTTTACAATAGAGGTCTTTGTTATTATTTTTCATGGGATTTTCAACAAGCTTTGGAAGATTTTAGTCATAGTATTCAAGTTCAAACGAAACCAAATGAGAAACCATTCATTATGAGATCAAGTTTATTTTCTAGAATTGGAAAACAAGATGAATACGAAGAAGATTACAATTGTGCCAGAAATATCAATCCAAGAGTTTACAAAAGTGGTCTATCTCAATATAGACACATGTCTGAGGATACCTTCTTCCACATGTTGAGCTTTTTAGAAACCAAGCAAATTGTTCAAGTTGTCAGAACTTGTAAACACTGGAAGAGTTTGGTGACCAAATATTTACAAGAAAAACCAGTACTCCTTTCTGATACATTCATTGTGGATAAGAGAGTTGCTTTCAATCAAGATCCTCGAAGTCCTATCATGCAAACATTTTTCCCAAAAAAGACAGTTTCCTTTGCAGAATTTTTTAGAAATGCCTTGATTGTTCCAATACTTTGTCAGAATGTTGCTCATGCTGTATGTTTTGAATCAGATGATTACTGGAAATACAACAATTACACATCTCTCACACAAGATTTAGTTAAACATTACAAAAATCTCAAAACATTGAAGACCAGTGAATCGCTCTATGATGATGATTTTAATAATCTTGCATATAATTCACCAAATATAGAAAGTATTGAACTGGATGTGCAATGTCAATCCAATCAAGTCAGTAATTTACTCACAAAATTTGACAAGTTGACAAGAATTAGATTTGGTAGTATATTCTTCACTCCAAACATGTTTGCCAACCACAATCCATCCCTCAAAACTGTAGAATATAGATATCCAACAAAGAAAGATGTTTCCTATCTTCTCGAAACCACAACGTATGAACAACTTGTCGCTGATTCTGATAATGAAATGAAATCTCATCCAGAAATTACTTTCCAAGTCCACAAATATCCAAATATCCAATAAATGAAGAAAATTTAGTGAGCTGGAATTATTTGGTTATTAAGTTTGTTGGCGCAAAATGAATTAGTTTTTGTTAAGATTGTAGAACTTTAGGCGAGTTTAGTCTTTTTCTTTGGAGGCTTAACGTCATCAACTAATTCAACACTATACACGATAGAATTAGGAGCAGAGTTTGGTAATACAGTTCCATCTTCACCCTTACAACAGAATCTTTCTACATTAGAAACAAGATTGCAAATGGACGGTCTGTTATTCTTCTCCTTCCTTTCTTCTAAGATGGAAATCAATGTGGAAGAGAGTTCTTTCTTTGTCGTGTTGGCAGCATGTACTATTGAAATATTTTCCATTACAGTTTTGAGCTCGTTCAATAATAATTGTTCACAGAATGTTGTATAAAGTTCTTCAACAGGTTTCTCACCGAATAGATCAATTCTTTCGAATAAATCCTTTTCATCTGTAGCAAAGAAACACAATGAACACAGATCATAGTCATTTTCATCCAATTTGTGATACCTAAAACCTCTGACTTTATCCATGCACTTATTGCATGAATATGTTCCAAACTCCTCTTCACCAACCGATTGGAATGTATGATCGTGAGGATGATCAGCATTTTCACACATTTTCAATGTTGATCCTTTTTGTTTCATAATGACCTTTTCACAACAATATCCACACAAATCATACTCATCACAATCCAAACAATTATATCTGATTCCATGAATTGGTTCTTCACAAATATCACATGAGAATTCTGGTAATTCCTCTTCATCTTCCAATTCATCTTCATCCTCAGAATGTTTTCCACTTAAACTTGAACCATGAACATCGCCAAACATTTTAGATCTATAAAGTGTATCAATAATATCTTGTTTGTAACCAGAATTTCCTGTTATAAATGTCAAGACATGTGGATAACGTTTTCTGAAATCTTCCTTATCCACACAACCAAGATGAAGTGCCTTCCTTTTACCTAACCCAGTCAATTCAATAAATGGTTCATCATCATCAATTCCCTCTTTACAGTTTTCACAATTATGAAACCTTTTACGTCTCTTCTCAACTGGAATTGGTTCATGGAATACATATTTCGAAGATGAAAATAACGCAAAACGCATCTTGTAAAAAGTTCTCCATGAATCCACAAAGCTCTCTTTAAAGTTATTAGAAAGTTCCAATCTCTTCTTGAAATCTTCCCATGTACTGGTATTGAACTTTATCATACATCCTGAATCGTAACGATAATGCATGAGTTTCTCCCACAAATCATCACTCCGAGAAAACTTTTCGAATAATTTACAAGTAGGTTGAATAGAAAGTGCCAAATCAAACTCATCCAAATAGGTCAAGATATTCATAAATACGCCTCTATACCCATCGTAATAATTATCAATCTTGTCATCTAGAATTATTCTTCCGTGATCATTTTGATCATTGCAAGATGATGAATGGATTGATGATGATGATGATGACAATTTCTCATCAGCGAAAAGTTTGATAAATTCTTGGAGTATCCTGCGCTTTGGGTCTTTCATTTTTTTTTAATAAATTTTGGTTTTATTCAACAGACTTTACAATTTCCCATTCCGAATAATAAAAAAATATTCGCATCGAATCCATGCTGATTTTCGGAATGGTTTCACATCATGAAAGCATCAAACTTTCACATCTCAACATCATCTGAATAGTAATAATAATAGTAATTTTTATTAGTGGATTATTATCATCAAATAGGAATTTTTCATGTATTTGTCCAAAATAGTATTTGTGGAAATTAATAGTGTATTATAATTTAATTTTCGTGAAAGTCATCATTTTCACTAAATCTCCCTGCTTGGAATTTAAATGAGTTGGATTTACCGTCAAACAATAGTATTTTCATCAAGTTAGGATATTTGAAAGTAACATGTTTTTTACTATTATTTATTAGCAGATTTTCATCATGTTGTCAATTTACCAAGTATATGATGTTGATTTCTAGTACACTCGTAGGAAACATCACAAGAAGTATGTGAACATTCCACTCTCTACCTAATAAATTCTACGATTACAGATTTTACTCTTACAGTTGAGTGAAAAGTAGCCACAAATTCATTTCAATTATTTAAAAGTTATGGAGATATCAGAAAATCCAGAAAGGTTTCTATAGTTTCTTATAAATTTTGCTAATAACTGATTTCTAGTTGTCGATACATGATTAACCAAAACGTACATTTCGGTACTAGAGCTCATTAGAATTCTATCATCTCTACTAATTTGATCAAATTTGAATACCAGTGTTGGAATATTGTTGTAGACAAGCTGTTGTTTCAATTTCTGTTTAACTAGACTCATAACGTAATGATGTCCAGTATTATAAATGCTTCCATTATTTGTCAGAAAGTGTGTATTATCAGTTCCACATGTCATGCTTCTAATTTCATCTCCTTTCCATTGAATTTCAGTAATTGGATATACCTCATCATTTTTAGCGTCAATACCCAACTCACCATCCCTCTGAGTTCCAAAAGTATATAAACAACCATCCTGAGTAATAATCATAGAAAATCCATAACTTGATATCATATTCTTGACAGTTTTTTCCTTGCTCTTTGAAAAGAAGTCAATCAAGACAGGCTCAACTTTGTAAACTCTTTCCCAACATTCTTCAGTGATAACCCCATCAACATAATCATACTTTTCCCAATATTGCTCTGTCAATTGCCCAAATTCCATATAACCACAAGCATATAATTGTTTCAGATAATTTGTTGATGCACTTGGAGTGGTTAAAAAGAATACATTGTGTTCTCCACAATAAATAGTTTCCAACTCAATCTTTCCCTTCCCAAACATTTCCAATTTGGTTGGTAGCAAGACACTCTCAGATTTATATCCCAGTCCAAGCTGACCCCAATGATTCAATCCAAATCCATAAACTTCAGAATCTTGGGTCAATACCATTGAAAAGAAAGTTCCACAGACCAATTTCTTAATATTCAAACCATTCAAACTCTCAATTTTCACAAAATCGTTCTGATTTAAGTTATTTCCAACTCCCAACTGCCCATTTTCATTCTCTCCAATTCCATAAATACCATCATTTGTAATAAAGAATGTAAAATAAGCTCCAGAAACTATATCCACAATATATAACCCTCTCTCCTCAAAGAAACTAAACCTAATACACTCTTCATTATGTCCATATTTATCAATCAATTCTGGATCTCTAGTAAAACCCCACAATTCCTGTTTCTTCTTCTCCCCACAATCAAATGCATTCACAACAAGAAAATATCTTCTCCAATGCGTGCACGACATCTTCTCAATAATCGGAATCAAGTGCTCCGACTCTGGAAACAACTCTCGCATACTTGTCATTGCCTTCGAACCCATCGTGGAATTTTCAAAGGCTTTGGGATGAGTCAGTCTAGGATTCTTCCATAAATTATAGTAGAGAGAACATGAACCCGAGTAGTAGGCTGGAGAATTATTGTCGGAAGCGTGTGGGGAGTACATTAGATGTGAAGATATTTTTTTTAAAATAAATTTAAAAACTAAATTTTCCTTTTTTATATGAAAATTGTTGGCTATGGTGTAACATTTATTGATATTTACATTGAAAACGGATGAAAGTGTAACATTTATTGAAGGAAACATTAAGTTTGCATTCAAATTTATTTTAAATTTCATTGTAAATAGTTAATAATTTTGTAAACTTTTATTACATCCACCTTATGTCAATTCCCTCTTATTCAATTTTACAAATAACCAAGCCCATAATCTTATCATCCTACACTTCTTCATTATCTTTTCTCACTTATTAATTATAAAGCTAAATCACAACTTAATTTTGCAAAAAAATGTCTATCTCAACTACCTTATATAAAGAATACACAATCCACAAAGCCCCAAGTATTCTCAGATTGTGTAGGTATAATGGCAAGGTCGATAACCCTGAACAACAAGACAAAACAGTTGTGCTAAAGTTCAACTTCGTTATTTCTCCTTCCTCCGAAATCCATCTTTACAAATCCAATCTCACAAGAATACATTGAGGTTTTCATGGATGACCAAAAATTGTCTGGAGCCATGAGTAATTGTTGGAGGAAAAAGATTGGCGAGAGGAAGAATTGCTTCTTTCATTGCAACAAATCATTGGTCAAAAGGCCTATCAAAGAAAGTGACTTTATGATTGTTGAAGAGAATTCAAGTGAATTTGATGAGAATTTATATGAGGTTGTGGCAGAATTTTTGGTGATCAGAAAGAAGTTTATTTGCAAAACCAATCCCAATGCGATATTAACCATTGACCTTACCGAATTTCCCTTTGGAGACACTTTTGTCGTATTTGGCTTCCAAGTCAAGCTTTTAGAGGAAGATTTATTTGAAATGTTAAATCGAGATTCCCATATGTCGAGAGAATTAGATTTGAAACCATGCAGAAGTAAGATTATTGAATACTTTTATAGACACAACAGACAAGTATATGAGAAACTTTCCAACAAGATTGTTCCAAATTTCCAATATGTTGCAATGAGTTCAACTTCTCTTATATCAGGTTTTCACTCTCAAAGCAAATATTCTCAATGGATTAATTCTTGTAAAGGAAAAATACCCAATATTACAATTCTTTCCAATAACATTGGGTGCTCACCAAGGAAAGTATTGACATTTTTGAAAGGAAGAATGGTTGGTAGAAGAGAGCTACTTTTAATTGAACAATTCGTCAAGTATTCTCCCGCCACAAAGAAGAGAATGACGAAACAATTCGACAAGTCGACAACTAATATTTTGTTCAATAGTTATCTTGATTCCAAAAGAGAATTCAAAGAGGAATTTCTAGAATTAAGGAACATTATGATAAGGTCTGGGGCTATTCAATTAGTCACTTGTATGGATTTCCATCATTGAACTGGAAGTTGAATGTGGTGATTTAGAATTTATTGAAGATAAATTCTCCAAAGATATTGAAAGTGGATGGGTAAGAATATTGGAAGGTAAACCACCAAACTTTCAAGTTTAATCAACAAATCAACTACTATTCGAAACCGAACTTATCTTTGAAGGTTTGAAAGCAATCATTGACTTTTTGAAATCTCGAATCCGTTCTTCATTTCAAGCACGATTGCTGTAAAATGTTCACAGTTCATTCCAATTTCCTTATTTATTCTCAAATTGGATAATTTAAAATCGAGCGTTTGTAAACATGTCAATAATCGTTAATACTCTTTAATTTCAAATGTTCTCTATTCACTAGAACCGAAAATGACTGAACACAATCACTTTCATAAAAAATCAACTTGTGAATTGGAAGAAATAACAAATTCACATTAAAAAAAATGGTCCTTTCATGTCAGTCATGCAAAACAACAATATTCACACATATTCTGTGTGGTTTATTGGTAGTTTACTTGGTGATGATGGTTGGAAGTGTGCAGGGTTTAGAAAATTTAAATACGAAACTGGACGCAAGAAGCCGAATGAGCTCCGAAGGTCTTTCAAAGAGAGGATTGACAGGTATGGCACAAGCAATGGCAACGGATGTTTATATGAGGGCCTATGTGGATCCAATTAATGGTAATAATGATGTTTCGAATAATTGTAGTATGCAGAGTTCTCCCTGTGCTAGTCTAAAGATGGTTTTTAACATATTAGAAAGGATTCCGAATTATGTTGAAGATGGAAAAACAGCCTATCTAGCAATTTTCCTCATGAATAATATTGGACAAGCACAAATTAATGAAAATTGTGGAATTGTAGTTTCGAATGCTTTTCAAAAGAAGTTTCCAGAAATATTATTTTCCACAGATTCGACACTCTACTTGAGAAAGTTGAGTTGTGGCAGTAATCAAGGGTTTTTGAAAAGTAACAATGAAGTAATTCCATTCCTGATCCAATTTTTCTATATGGACCTTTCTAATATTGCAATTTCAGTACAAAACAACACTGAGGTTTGGACTCTACTTTGTATCATTTCTGATTCATCATTCAAAAGTGAAAGAGTAACATTTGATACTTCTGAAATCTTTGGAATCAATTCAGTCGATTCGAATAATTTCATAATTGATGGAACAACTTTACGAAATGCAACTTTAAATTTTATTTGCATGGAAGCTAGTTTAACGATTAGATATAGTAACTTTATTGATTCGGCATTGACATTGGATCCTCAACGATTATCCAGTACGAGAAGTATTACCATTTCGAGTTCACATTTTAAATATTCGAATCGTCCAAATTTGAAGAGTTTTCCAAGTTATTTCATTACTAATAATAGATATCCATTTGAGAAGTTTATAATTAGGGACAGTACGTTTGAGGGAAGTGGAAGGGATTCGGATAATATTGGAGGAATTTCTATTCCTCATATTTATCCATTTATTTTGGATGTCGATGGATCAAACTTTAAGAAACTCTATTCGAAAGAAGGTGGAGCTCTTAATATTGCTGGTTATTCTACAGTTATCATCAGTCGAACAGTATTTGATTCGAATAGAGCTTTATACATGGGTGGCTCTATTCGATTGAAAGGTTTAGCATCAAGAGCCAACTTTCTCCAATGCACCTTCCTAAACAATGAACAAATTGTACAAAATTATGCATCTTCCAGTAGTGAACTATCTTCCAATGCACTCTATGGAGGAGGTGCCATTTACTTTTCACAAGATTCGCCTTCTTCTATTCTATTTAACACTTGTGTCTTTAAGAATAATAGTGCAGGAGGTTTGGGTGGGGCTTTTTTGAGTTATTCTGGAAGATCAGATGAGTTTATATTTGTGGAATCTGAAATTAATGGAAATAGGGCTGGATATTATGGTGGAGGAATTGCAGTTTTGGTCAACCCATCACTTTCCATTTATGATGAATATGTTTCAATATTTGATGCCAAAAAAACAAAGATTTTGAGAAATGAAGCAACTATAGGAGGTGGATTATTCTTCAATACATTGGATACAATTAGTTTGGATTCAGAATCGTCAATTTCCAACAATGTTGCCACCAAATATTCACCAGGAGTATTTTACAATAAGATTAATAAGTTGCAGAATTCTGCAGTGGTTGACAATAACTATATTAGAGATGGTTCATCAATTATTCAATCCCAAACTAATCAATATCCTTCAACAATATCTCTATTTCAGCAGGATCAAATTAGTGAACTTTCTAATGCTGAAATTATTCCTGGCTACACTCAAATATTTTATGCCAAGTTTAAGGATGCAAATGGAAACCTTGCAAATACTTCACTCCTATTCAACATGCAAACCTATTGGAAACTCACACTAACTTCAATTGAGGGAACCATTATTATTGATGATTTGAATTTCAGTCCATCTGGAGACTTTCTCATGATTGAATGCAAAACCTCCTTATTGAGAAGAGACATTAAGGGAGACAGATTTTCATTAAGTATGACAATGGACACAAAATCTGCTCTTCAGGCATTTTCTGACATGCAAGTTGTCAAATCTTTCAATATTTCTGTTGGATCATGCGGAGCCGCTGAATATATTGAAGTGAGAACAGCCAACGATGGAAATGACTATTATATTTGTTCAAACAGACCATCTATCATTGTTGGAGTTACGATTTCAGCATTGTTTGTGGGTTGCATTGTTTGTATTGTGTTGGTTATTTTCACTGTGAAATTCTGTTTCTTGTATAAGGACCAGAGAAGAAAGGCCAAGAAGGAAAAGGAATTGGAAATGAAATTAAGAGATTTTGAGTTGAATTATACTAAACTTGGCGACACTAATGCTTCTGCACTTTCTAGTCAATCTGCTTCTGGCATTGATTATTGGATGATTAAGGAAGAGGACATTGAAATTCAACAAAAGGTTGCAGAAGGCGCTCAGGGTAGTGTTTTTAAAGGAAAATGGTAAGTTTAGTTCTGTTTCTGCTTGTTTGTTAAATTTTGAAAAAGGAAAAACAAGACACAAGTTGCCATCAAAACATTCAAATTGACATTGGAGGAGGAGGCAGAGGCATCATTCCAACAAGAAGTAGGTTTACTGAGAGCTGTTCACCATGAAAATATTGTCACATTCTATGGAGTTGTGGTTTTGGAAACGACAAGATGTATGGTTACTGAATTTGTGCCAAACAACTCATTAGAATTTTGGATTACCAAAATGAAGAAGGGAGAAAAGAAGATTTCATTCAAGGAAAAGTTGAAAATCTTGTTGGATATTGCAGCAGCCATGAGTTATTTGCATGAACTCAATCCTCCAATTATTCACAGGTAGGTTTATTGAAATTTTGATTAGCAATATTTATTCGAAATTCAGAGATTTGAAACCTGGAAATGTATTACTTGACAATCAAATGAAAGCCAAAATTTGTGATTTGGGAGTTAGTAAAATTGTGGCCGACAACATGGTCGAGAAAACAAATCAAATTGGAACTTTCAATTTCATGGCCATCGAGACCTTTAATGGAACTGAGTATAATGAGAAGTGTGATGTTTTCAGTTATGCAATCATTTTGTGGCAATTGATTTTTGAGGAGAATGCAATTTATTCCAATGAATTATTGAAAAACAAACGAGTGAGCTATTTCATGACTGATCAGGATAGACAAGTTTATGAAAAGTTGACACCTCAAAATTTCAATAATTATTATATTGCCAAGTTGATTAGTGAAGGATTGAGATATCCACTGCCTTCAATATCTAAAAGTTTGGAAGAGGAAAAGAAACTCTTTGTATGGGTTGAGGAATATATGAACCAGGAAGGAATTGATACTAGTAGACTCACTATTCGAATCTTACCAATTTATTTCTCATTAATTGAGTCATGTTGGAGAGCAGATTACAATCAAAGACCAAGTTTTTCATTCATTGTAAAGAAACTCCAAGAAATGATTGAGTTGGCAGATAAAATTTAAATCACTTCCATCACGTTTAGTTATTTTTAGATTCATTTCTCATTTGAAAAAAATGTGCAAACGATCAAGACAATTATTCGATGAAGGTAGTGATGATAAAAAATCAAATGTTGAACCATTATTATTAGAATTGGAACATTTTTCGGATCAAAATTCCACCATCTTTATTGATGATCATGTAGATGAAATTTTATCGTTTTTTGATGATTTTAAATTTATTGTTCTGAATTGTGCATTAGTTTCTAAACAGTGGTTGAGAGTCATATCGGAAAGAGTAAGATTTTCGCTCACTTGCAAAAGTAGCCAGAATTTGCAAGGTGAATTTTTGCAAAATATTCAAAATCTTAAAGTGAAAGAACACAAGGAAATAGTATTCGATTGTCAAGTATTTAGTTTGATGAAATCATTGACTAGTCTTGATATTTCTTTTAATAACATTAGTTATCGATCTCATTATTTTAAAGAACTGAGACAATTACCTAAATTGACTAATTTAAATATTAGTGGCAACAAGATTGAGGCTATTGGAGCCATGCAGATTAGTAAAATGAGGCAATTAACTTGCCTTAGTGTTTCTAATAATAATATTGGAAATGAAGGATTCAAATTCATTTGTGAAATGAAGCAATTAACCTATCTCGATGTTGGTAGAAATGATATTAATAGTAAAGGACTCAATCATATCACTAACCTTGATAAGTTAAAAGATCTTCGTATTTATTACAATAGTGTTGGAGATGGAGCTAAATACATAAGTGAAATGAAACAATTGACTAATCTTAATGTAAATACAGCTTGCATTAATGAAAAAGGTGCCAAGTTCATTAGTGAGCTGCCACTGGTCACTAATCTCAATATCAGTTTCAATGAAATAGGCAATCAAGGACTCGAACACATTAGTAGAATGAAAACCGTATTAAATTGTATAAATAATTACAATTAATAATAATAATTACTAGTATTTAAAAATTTGTAAATTGTTTTAAAAAAAATAGCAAAATTTGATGATCAATTTTCTTTCCTCAAGATCGGAAAATAGTTTCTGTCAGTTTTTTGTGTAATTGGTTACTTCGGAAGAAACTAGACACTCCTACAATAGTTTGCTAGGAAGAGGCTCACCTAGTTGAATTAAAACCATTCCCGAAATGTGCTTTAATTCATCATTCGAAAGTGTTACTTCATTTATACGATTACTGCACATAAATTGGAACTTGCTTCTACTAAATTATTGGAAACTTCTATTCTTTCTCGACCTACATTTGAGAAATTGTGGAAAACAGCAAGTTAAAAGATGTGGTAGTATACTCACTTGTGGATGATTGACTTATGAAATCGAAGTTAAGTATTGATTCGGTCTGTATTGTAAAGATTTCGAATTGTGAAACAATCAACCTCCAAATTAAGGTCTTTCTATTTTAGCCACTTCATGCTCAATTTAAAAAAAAGCCTCACCATTACATCAATCATGCATAAGAGCATGATAATTGGGCCTATTAATATTTAATAATGAATACTAAATGTTAAATCGGGGTCCAATAGGAAGCAGTATATCAATGGGTCATTCATTGCCATTTTCGCTCCCTCCTACATCATTGAAGAATTTATCAGTTTCCTTTAAGATTTGACAACAACCGCCTTATTGCCTCTTCCAAAGGAACTTATTTGCACTAATGAAGAACTTAACAGTTTCCTTGGTCTTTCAGTGTTTAATATTATTCAAGTGGTGGCCCCATTCATCTAATCAGTCCTCTATTTTACCATCTATGTGAAAAAATGGAGGAGTAATATTTTTCGCCGTTTCTTTGATTTTGCCTCTGAGGAGACCTATTTTGTTGGCAACGAAAATGATCCTCTCAGAAGATTAAGTAGGGTGTGTTATTAAGGTTAGTTTGCTCACTCGCCTTAATGTGTTTGTCATTTAGTGAAATGCATCAATCATGAAGCGCGTCCATCCACAACGTCACATCTTCATAGTGCCGAATTGGCTCTCAAGTTGAACTTGAAAAAAAGGCAACATTCACTCTCTCAAATAATTAGTTCGAAAATTTACAGATCATAACAAATTCATCAAAATTGAAACAATTCAACGACAAAGCGTTTTCTTGTCGTTGAGACAGTGTGGAAACAAAAATCTATAGATCCGTTCACAACAAGTTGACACACAACACCAAGTCCTTAATTACAATCAACAAAAAGAACATCATCAATAGGAATATAGAAATATTTTATCAACAACCAAACAAAAAACAATGACAGAATCACCACATGCATCATTGAGTTCATTGGCTCGTCCAGTAACCTTCAATCTTGCTACTGCAACAGCAAACACTTCACACAGTGGCACTAATTTGAGGCCAGCCCTCAAGATTTATTCTAATTATGAAACGACAGCATCTACTCATTCAGGAGATGATGAAGATGCAGTCTCTGCTCAACCAACATCTGTGGAGGAGGGTTCAACTGCTGATAAGATCTCCTCTAATCAATTCACTGAGGAATACATTGTTCCATCACTTAAATCGATAAGAACACATCCATGGGATGATTTACCACATGTTTCGAGTTTATTAATCTTTGGTATCATTCAACCAATACAATTTATTGCACTTTCTTTCATTCCCATTGATCAGTGGGGTTCCATCTCACGATATATCATAGATTATGGCATCAAGAGCATGTATACATTCGGGTTACACTTACTGCCCTACGAAGGATCAGCAGCCTTTCTCTTCATCTTTCTGCTTTTGGAAATGTTATGTGGAATAGCTCTTTATTTGTCCAAAGAATCTATAGGCAAAGATGCCAAGCTTTGGAAATTAATGCCAAAGATATATACTTACATGACCTTTCTGTGCACTGTATTGTACCTCCCAATAACGAGTATTTATTCAACCTTCTGGTCATGTGATTATGTCCACGGAAAGAAGGAAGTTCAATCTGATATTACATCAACAATAACGACCAATTATTATTTGAAAGTTTACCCAGATGTGGAGTGTTGGGATACTCCTAACCTTGTGTTTTCAATCTTTTCCATGATTGGACTGATTTTTCACATTGTGGCAATTCCAGTTTTGTTCACATTGACGGTGGCCAGTCCTTCCATTATTTTAGTTCCAACAAAGATAAGGACTGCATGGTGGCACAGAGTCATCAAGAAGGCATTCTTCAATACACTGCGTCCTATTGTTCCTGTGGCTGTGTCCATAATGAGTGGATTTTATATTGTGTTTCAACAGATGGTACCCTCGTACACCGAGTTTTCATTCCTCTATCCAAGTGTAATGATAGCAATAGCCATAGCATCAGCTGGAATAATAATATACACGCTTCCTTATCATCGCCCTAAAGAAAACAGCTTTCAGTTCGCTGTAAACTTGGCAAAACTAGGGCCAAGTTCAGTAATGCTCATTTGTTCACTTCAAAATACAATTTCGGATGTCAATCACATCAGTGGAACGCTTTACCAATGGGAAGCTGGTTTAATTTATCTGGGAACTTCTCTAGCTTCTTGCCTTACTATTTTCCTGTTTGCCTTTTTTGGATGTCAAGCTTATCAGAAAATTTACATTGAAAAATTGGCAAAACAATTGAATGAGAAGATTTCGGAAAATTCTGGTGCCTTTTCGAATGATTTATTGGAAGATATTGGTGAAACTAATATGGGAAGAGTTGCACAATTCGCCTTAAATGTCGATGAGAAGGCAATTTCCAAAGTTGACATTGAACTGTTGGTAATTTCTAAAAAGATTATTACCGAAATGAAACGAAACAAATTGACACCAACGGATACTTTCTTTGCAAGCTCACTTTCCTGCTTGGTTATTAAATTATTCAAGGAAAAGGATCCAAGATATGGAATCATGTATTCTTTACAATTACTTTCAGGTCAATTGAAAAGAAGAATCAATATTTGGGATCGTTTAGTTATTTCTTTACAAAAACATGAGAAAGATGTTTTGAAGAAACGTGAAGAAATCAAGCCAGGTTCAAGAAAAGCCGAAGAGATTGATAAGAAAATATCACAACTCTACAAGAAGCAAACTCAGCTTTCTAATTTGCATAGAAATTATTGGAAACTTGTTTTGAATGAGAATAGCGATGATTCGAATGCCATTCTTCAAGTTTCTGATGAATTGTACATTTTGCAAAATGAAACTAGAAGCATGTTTGAAGAACTCTTCTCCCAACACTCAACCAGTGTCACAGTTTTAAGAAACTATTCACGTTTCGCTGAAAAATTCCTATTCCAACCTGAACTTGCAGAAGATTTACAAGCTGCTGTTTTGGAAGAGGAAGAAGAAAACAATAGAAAGAAGCAAGCATTCAAGGGTGGAAGAAGAGGAAGTAGAGCAGTACCTGGTTTCCAACAAGAAACCATTGATTTGAGTAAATTTGACGATTTGGACGAACTGCCAGAGGAAGCCGAATGTTTAGAAGAAGAGAATAGAAAACAAAAGGAAGGAAATAAGAATTTGATCAACAAGCATCCAGATTTCACATGGTTATTGATTGTTATTTTGATTATTCCATGCTATGTCATTTTGGGAATCACCGGAGGATTAATAGCAGAGATTATCCAAGGAACTTCCACAAAAGGAAGTTCTACCAAAGGTTTTGAATCCAAAGTTTGGATGTATTATGAATTATGTGATGCTGCAAATGTTCCTTTCTATGTCCTTGTAGACTATAGAGCTTTACAAAAGTTGAAACTCTTCTCTGGAAACACTGCATACATTACCAAATTAGAAAAAGATCACAAGGAGAGATTTTCCTCGTATAGTCAAAGAATGAAGAGTATGATGTTGGATTATTCATCAAGTACTGACAATTTAATCAGTGCTGTGGTCAAGGGCTATCAGCAAACCTACTATGAAGTTTACATTCCAAAAGCAGTTTCTAATGCCTCATCATTTCAAGAAGGAACCAAGAAGAAAGTGACCTTATCCGAAATCTACTCCATGATGGCTGTTCAATTGGAAAATATCGTTCAACAAGATGATAGTATGAGTTTGAAAACAATTGAAAACTTTCCATTCATGTTCTTTTGGGAAAATCGAGAAATTATGCCAACAATAATTTCCAATTTTTGTTCTACAATTATTGAAGATCACAGAAATTTGTTAATTGACCAATTGAGAGATTTCATTTTGGGTATGTCAATAGCCATGGCGAGCTTTATGATGGTAGCTTTTGGTATCTTTGGTGTCATTATTTACAAATTTAGAGATCGTCAACGTTTAATCAATTTATTCAAGAAATTGCCAAAGGATGAAGTTGGACGAATCTATCAAGAATTGAAGGCTGGATGCTCCAACGATAAGCACTCACTTTCCAATGATAAGAAACAATTTATTCTCACTCGATTCTTAAGAAATCCAGTTTATGCCGTTCCATCTCTTCTCATGCTTTCATTTGCTATTGGCGGAATTGCCTTCTCTGTCTTTATTTACGATTCCACTAATAACATGAATCTACAGTATAGTTCCATGTTGAAATTGAGAAATTCTGTTGATATCCAAGTTGATTACCATAAGGGTTTGTTCAATTTGGTCGAGTTGATTAGTGGAGATAGTTCACTACCAACAAATAGTTCACTTGTTTATAATGAAGTGACGAATAGTATGAGAGGATTGGTAGATAACTTTTTAGTTTTCACAAGAGGAGATAGTCAGAAAGGTTACAACCCAATCAGAAGTTTCAGCACAGATATTGAAATACTCATGATTTCGAATACTTGTTCCAATAATTTTACTTCTATCAATAGAACTATTGGATCAAATACTACTTCAACAACATTGCCAGCTTCATCTAAAACATGGAATTCTAACTTTACACTCTCTCAAAATTTGGATTTCTTCTCTTGTCTTTCGATTGAAGACCTAATGTCATATATTTTATCTGGAATGGAACAATTCAAGGAAGAATCTTTCAAGAATATTCGTACTTCAGGCTATTTTATTGAAACCTTCTTCAAGGATCATGTTTCCTTGAGTTTATCCTTCAGAGCAAAGGTCGACAAGGTTTTACTCGTTCTAGTATCTGTCATTGATAACATTGTGTCAATTACTCCAAGTTTGACAGCTTGTTTAATGATTGTTGTCTTGTGTATGCTCATTAATTACATTGTATTTACTTCATGGAAGGTCTACACATCTGAAATGACCCAACTTCGTCACATGTTTCATTTCATTTCTTGGGAAACAATCGAAAGCAACGAAATCTTCCTAAACTATATAATGAACTATGAATTAGTCAGAAAAAAGAAAGGTTCAAGAATTCATCCTGGAGATGAAGGTGCAGATAGTGATAGTACCACCATGCTTAAGAAAGTTTTGGATAGTTGTGTTGATGGAGCTGTTATTTTCAATCAGGAAGGAATTGTGGAAAATATTAATCAAGTTGCCTTGTCAATGTTTGGAATTAGATCTCAATCTGATGTTGTAGGAACTGAATTTTATGGACTTTTCCAATCTAAAGATGTCATTGCCAAGACAATTAGTGACATTTCCAAGTCAGCTAATTCTCATGGTGAAATTCTTGAAGTTGAAGCTAAAAGATCTCAAAATATGCTCAATTCCAAGACATTCCCTGTAAGACTGAATTTATGTGTTGCATTTTCTGGTGGAAAGAGCAAAAAGGTCACATTTGCTGGTATTTTAAGTGATGTAACATCAGAGAAGAAATCTCTTGAATTGCTAAATGTGGAAAAGAAAAAGTCAGAAGACCTGTTGAAGAGTATCTTCCCAGAAGCTGTTGCTGCTCGTTTAAAGAAAGGAGATACCTTCATTGCTGAGAAGTTTGATGATATTACTTGTTTCTTCTCAGATATGGTTGGTTTTACCAAAATGAGTAGCACTTTGCAACCAACTGAACTAGTAGAAATGTTGAACGATTTAGTGAATGGTTTTGATGAAGTGTGTACAAAGTATAATTTGGAAAAGATTAAGACTATTGGTGATGCTTATTTTGCAGCTGGGTAGGTTTTCTTCTTTTTGGAATATTTAAATTATTTATTTAACAATTAAATAGTGGATTGCATGGTCAACAGAGTGATCACCCTGAAAGAGTTTTAAGATTTTCAATTGATGTTTTTGGACTATTGCACAGATATAATATTACCAGAAATAGAAGTGTTGACAATTCTATTAATTTGCGAATTGGTATAAATACTGGAAGTGTTGTCGGTGGTGTTATTGGTAAAAAGAAATTTGCCTACGTGAGTTTTCAATTTTTTTCAATGTTTATTTACAATAATGTTAATTATTTTAATTTAATATTAAACAAATAGGATTTATGGGGAGATGCAGTCAATACAGCCTCAAGAATGGAATCAACTTCATTCCCAGGTCGTATTCAAGTTTCCAGAACAACTTACGAAAGAATTCACGATCTAGTTCTTTACGATTTGGATCAAAGATTAAATCCTAATGGAAAGGGAATTATGGTGGAATTTGAGGAGAAACGAGTTGAAGTGAAAGGAAAGGGATTGATGCAAACCTATGTTCTTTTGGAAAAGTTCCATGAAAGAGCATTGTTTGAACATTTGGCAATGCATATTGATCATTCTCAAGACTCAGCATTGGTTCCATCTGTTGCACTTTCTAACCAATCATTATCAGATAAACATTCAGATTAGGGAATTTATTGATTAGGCAAAATGTCTGGATACTTGTTCGAGAATAACCTTGATATTTTGGATAGTGTCTTTTTGTAATTGAAGAACTTGTTCAATAAATTCGTTAGAGTGGTTAGAATTCATTTCTGGAAGTGGAATTTGATCTAGATCTAAAATGATAAGTTCTAATTGAGATTGTGCATGGTCCAATATTCTAGAATCTGTGCTCAAAATACATTGATCCTTGAGATAGGTCTTGATACACTTGATGATTCTAATGACTATTTGCAAGTAGTGTTTGAGAAGAATTCGTTTTGGTACTGAACTTCTTGGTTGTTTTGGAAAATCAAATTCCATTGTAGTATGCTGAAAATGGAATGAAATATCGGTCAATGGATGAGAAGCTTCATCTTGAGCTGCCTTACATGGATTAGTGTAAACATTTCCATTAAAGGAAAATAATGGCTTGATCCATTTGTCAGAACCTGTTGATGTACATTCTTTGGATTGAAGGATTTTGTCATTATCGGATTGGAAATTAATATATGTTTCCTTTGCCAATTTATCAATTCTATTCATCACCAAATTCAAAACTGTCTTTCCAGTTGGAAATTCCAATTCAGCTTTCATTTCGAATACTTGCAGCAAGTGCAATACCACATCTCTGGCATATTTGAACATACATTCTTTGAATTGTGTACATAAACCATACTCTTCTGTTTGTTTCTTAAAGAAGAGTGATGAAACTTTTTGTAAAATCAATTCTTGACAATCAATCTTGTCATTATTCGTTGAAAGTCTACTAGGAATTGGTTGCTTACTAATCAGAATCTTCTTCAACTCCTCTGGATCATCCACCACTTGATTATTATATACAATCTTTCCATTGTAATATGGATCTTCCTCATCTACAACAGCATGAAACGAAAGTCCACCCAATTCAAACTGAGCACAAACAACAGTCAATAAAACTGCCACCACCACGACCACTATCAATAGTGATACTTGTATTGTTTTTTTCATTCTTGTATGTTGAAGGCTTTTAAATCCAAGCTCCAAATTAATAGCACTTCCTTCATCACGTTTCTTTCCAAATTAATATCAAAGAAATATATTGTGGATTATTTTAGGATGGTCAGATTCAGGTGTGTGGAACACGTTTTTCTATTGTTCTACTTCTTCTTCATAATTCAACACGTAGGAAAGGAAGCCTTCCTTGCTGAACGATTTTGTTACTAATTAACTATCGAAAATCCATTATAATTACTCTATAGGTGCTTCAGTTCTAATTCACGTTTTATACAGTCAGAGTAGGATGATAAGAAAAAGTTTATGATGATGAAATTCCTTCCATGATGAGAATCAAGCTAATTTTTTCTAATTATCAAACTTCTGTTGGCGGTAACAAAACTAGCCGTTACAAGAATTAAATTCAAAAAAAAGCAAATTAAAAAAAAATCAAAACTTCTTTCTCAAATTTTTATTTATCTTCTTATGATGAAATCGACGACGAATTAACTTCTATTATTTGTAGGAGACTGACTGAATGGCAAAGTACCCCCAGTATTCTCATCAATCCAATACATCTTGCCATCAATTACCGTGTATCCCTTCAGAGGAGCAGCCTTTGATGGCTCATCACCCGAAGATGATGACGATTGAACAATTTGATTGCTCTGTGCGAGTGGAGTATTCGTCTCTACCAAGCTACCATCCTCATTGACCATGTAAATCCTTCCATCATTGTAATAGTAAGTCTTCTTTCGTGAGGTGCTGGCAGAGTTTGCTGCTGTTGCCGAATTGCCTATTGCCACAGTTTGAAGATTGGATGGGCAGGCAATGTGTTCTCCCAATTGATTGAGCATGAAACATTGACCACTCACTGGATCAATGTAGTAGGATTCACCTGTTTCTGAGTTTTGGTATGTGGCCATTCCGTTCTGATCCTTGTAGTAGACTCTACCTTGTGAATCAACAAAAGGACCACCTGCCAAACCATTTGGATTAACAATTTGGGCACTGCCTGATGGTGTATTCACATAGATGGAAGATGTTTGTCCATTGTTATTGTTATTGGAATTACCAGAAGTGGTAGTAGAACCAGTACCAGTGGTACTTCCTGTGCTTCCTGTATTTCCTGTATTTCCTGAAGAAGTAGTTGGTTTGATTGTGGAGCTGGCTACAGGTTTTGGAGGATGTGGTCTTTTTGAAGGAACAGGCACAGGAATTGGAATTCCAACAATAGGAGAAGGTACTGGTCTGACCACAACGACTATTGGTGGTTTAGTTCCAGTTGTAGGGGTTGAAGTTGTTGGAGTGGCTTGGGTTGTACCAGGACTTGGAATGTCTGCCAAATTCAAGCCAGGTATTTCCTTAACTTTGGATGGAGGAAGAAAGAAGATTTGTCTTCCTGTTTTGCCATCAATGTAATAGTATCTACCAAGTGAATCTCTAAAGAAGATTCTATCATAACTATCTACAAAGTATTCCTTATTGTTATTGTCAATGTAGAAAGGGAGTCCAGTTTTTGCATCCATATAGAATGCATTTCCTTGCGAGTCGACAAAATAACGACGATTCTTATTATCTGTTAGAGCTTTGGATTGGAGTGAGGTTGGAAAATTTGGACTCGATGGATTGCTTGAATCAAAATACTTGATATTACCATTCTGAGCAACGTAGAATGGTCTTCCAAGAGCATCTGCAAAGGTTTGATATTTGGTTCCTCCAACCTCAATATCAATGCCAAGTGGTTTGTCCTTGGATGGAGTGGATACACCATTCAGTGATGAGTATGAAGATTTGGATTCAACCACTACTGTTGTGGTGCTAGAACTGTAGGAAACGGTACTGCTACTACCTCCATTGTTGTTATTATTTACTATTGGTTTGGAAGGAACCTCAACTGGTTGCTGACCATGGGCAAGTTGACCAAACAAAACCACTTGAATGAGCAAAATTGTGGCCAAAACAATTGCTTTCATTTTTAATTATCTTTTGTGATTGGAAAGATTGTGCTTATCTTCTCTCTTATAGATTACCAAATTTGTACATTGGACAATGCAGGTTCTATTTCAAAATAGTTAATCTATTTAATGGTACAATTACTTTATATTGACCCAAATAGATTGTTACCACTCTACTTGATACAAATTGGATGAAAATGAAGTACCAATTTATTATTCTAATATATTTACAAATATTTGTCCTTGTGTTGGTTAAAGAATTCTTCAACACTTCTTGGCTTCTTTCCAGTTATTAATTGATAATCTCCATGAACGTTTGCTGTAGTTCCATTGAGTTTGAAAACTTGATACAATCTAACAAATGGGAAAATAAGGAATGGTGGAACGCCACTCTTTCTCAATAATTCACCATATTCAAATTCGTCCAATTCAACAAATTTGATTTCCTTTCCAAGTGACTTGGAAATGATTTGGGCAACTTGTTCGTAGGTCAAACTCTGTGGACCTGTCAAATTATAGGTTTGATTAGCGTGTTGCTCTGGAGGTTGAATCAAGATTTGAGCAACCATTTCTGAAATATCACGAGTATCAACATGACTAATTCTATATGGTAATCCATGGTCATGCTTTGGTCTATAGAATACTCCACTATTCTTGATATCTGCCAAGTCACCTCTCACATAATTTTGAATGAACATGTTTGGTCTAATGACCACATACGAAATTGAGGTATTTTTCAAAGCTTTTCTGACACTGGTTTCAGAATCATGAAGATTTTTGAAAAAGTTGTTTTGCTCAAGATCTCCAGAGGCTCCCAAAGCTGAAATCTTGACAACTTGTTTCAAACCCTTTGAGGTCTTGACAGCTAGTTCCACAACTTGTCTTTCCAATTGAGCAACATTTGGAGTGGCAATTGTTACAAAGAAAATTCTCTCAACATCTTGGAATATAGTTGGAAGTGATGAAATGGTTTCAAATTCTCCCAGAACATATTCAATATCTAAATTGGTGCATTCCTCGAATAACTTGTAGGCCTTTTCCACGTTTCTAACCAACAATTTGAGTTTCAACTTGGTTTCTGTTGGAGAAGAATTCAAAATACGAATCAATTCACTTCCAATATTACCAGTTGCTCCAGTAATGAAAATCTTGCTTGCCATCTATCTTTCAGTAGATTGTTTTTTTTAATGAAATTTGGTTTCACAGAATTGTCCTTGACCTTGCAGTTTTATAACAAAATTAATCCTCACGAGGTTTCAAAAGAGTTATGGCATAACTTGGTTTCTTTTCATGAAGAATGTTGTGGAGAAATTTCCATTGCTTTGTGGCTCCGTCCGTTCCTCGCTCATATTTGAGGGGTTTCTTCCAAACAATATACAAATAATAAAAAAAACGTGTAAGTTTATTAATGTCTCTTATATCAATAACGACCTGAGAGACCACACGTATGATAACTTGTCTAGTTTATTAAGGTAGTAAGTGAACGAAACTATTGTAACTTACCGAAAGTTCATGAAGAATAAAGTCACTGACACGCATTATTGTAAACCATCTCACGAACGCCATTTTCACAACAACGCCATCAATTCTAAATATCTCCATATTAGTACAATTTTACAACTCGTCCATAAAAGTAACCCAACAAGTGTCAAAAAATTCAAATAAATAGCACGACAAGTAACACCCAACATTTCACAAAACAAAAACAATTAAAAACAAAATCAAAAATGTCCTATCCAATCCCAACCCCATACGAATGGTCAACCACTCTCGATATTGGCAATGCTGAATTAAACGAACAACACAAGAAACTCTTCACTCTCATCAATGCCTTAGATGCCAAGAGAAGTTGTGGCACCACCTTGAAGGAATTATTGGATTACGTTGTTTTCCACTTCAAGACTGAAGAAGATTTGTTTGCAAAGGCTGGTTGGTCTGAATCGGCCTCTCATAAGGAAACTCATGATAAGTTTGTTCAGGATGCTTTGGCATTGACAAGTGTTGGAGATGCTGAGATGCAATTTATTAAGCAATGGTTGATTACTCACATTTGTGCTTCTGATATGAAGTATAAGGGAGTTATTTAAATAAAGCGAGTGTGTTGAATGTTTTGTATTCGAAACTGTTTAGTTTTCAAAATTCAAGAAGAATTGGTGAAACAAAGGCCAATATTGTGTAATTGGTTAAGCCTTTCGTTTCGAATAATTGCCATCACCTCGTATCTCATTAAACTGTTTCAGTTCCTTCAAAAATAAAACTCCTTCTCATCAATTCTATTATAACTAACATCCAGTATTGTTAATTGTTTCATTTTCGTTAAATATTTGACTCCATTTGCTCCAATACTATTGTTAGAAATATCAAGTTTAGTTAATTGTTCAAGTTGAGTGAGATGTTCAACTCCCTTCTCTTCAATCATATTATTATGAATATCAAGAGTTCTTAATTGTTTCATTTCTCCAATAAATTTAACACCCTCTTCGAATATACTATTATTACTAATATTGAGTTCTGTTAAGTATTCCAAGTTACTAATAGCTTTTGCTCCTTGTTGTCCAATAAGATTTCCAGAAATATTGAGAATTGTTAAATGTTTCAATTTGCTAATGTGCTTGGCTCCATAAACACCAATAGTATTGTGAGAAATATTGAGATTTGTCAACTGTGGAGCCAATTCTCCAATTAACTTTGCTTGACTGAATGTAAATAAATTAACCGAAACATCAAGTTGAGTCAAATGTTTCATCAATCCAAACAATCGACAATCAAATAGTTCAAAAGCAATAGTCCCAATTCTCACTTTCAGATTTTCAATATTTTGTAAAAATTGACCTTGCATTTTCGAATCACTGCCACAAACTAATGAAAATTTCAATCTTTCCGAAATGACATTCAACCACTGTTTTGAAACCAAAGCACAATTCATCACCATAAATATAAAATCATTCCGATGATAATTTAAAATTTCATAAATTACATCATCAGAGAATATTTCAAATGGTGAGAGTTTTGTCTTTTTTGCTTCTTGTTGAGATGAATGGGAATTGTTTTCTGATATTAAAATATCGGCAGATGTAATGTCTTCTCTTATTCGTTTGTTCATTTTTTTGTTTTTTAAATTAAGATTAAAATCTTCAGTTAAATAGATTGATTACAATGACAGAGAGTGTTCAATTTACTTCTGTCACTTATTTTGAACACGAATGTGAAAGAAATTAAATTACTCTTCTAATTCTTCTAATTCTTCTAATTCACAACTCCACATTATGATGTTGTCTTTCAATATTTGTAAAAGGAGTATGGCTTCCCTATACCATTCATCACTTAAATAATCGACTTCAGGAATTGCCTTATCAAATTCTGATTGAGCCATTTCAATTGCCTTTTTCTTATCTTTCAAAACATCGCTGTAATATACAACAAGTGAAATGATCAAACTCAATCTAGTTGGATCCACAATTGAGAGACTTTTGATTGTTTCTATACCTGATTCATATGAGTTCAAACATTTTTCTTTCAATAATTCATCTTTGGCGGATTCTGGGTCAACAGTAAGAACGTGTCTATAGAAATCTCCTTTGAGTTGTGCATAGAAAACCAATTCTTGATCAGTCAATCCTTTTACTTTCAAAATTCTGTCAATCATCTCAATCAACTGTTCAGCAAGTTGATGAATTTCATTTAAAACTTTCCTGGTAAACATGTTTGATACGTCCGAGGGATCATATTGATGAAGCTACATTATAAACAGCTCTCTTTTTCTTCATTGTCTCTGTAAAGGCCAACTTTAACAATTTTCTTTCCTCTTGTGAAGGAATAAATTCTCCCGATGATGCAAGAATTAATTCATCAAATGACTTGTACAATACAGCAGCCATTTCTATTCAACAAAACAACAATCATGTTAATCCATTATTCTCTTGTTCTTCCTTACTTCATACTTTTCAGAATCACGACAAATTAAGGCCCAAATTACATAATCTTCTCTTGAAGAGAGAGTTGGTACATCCCTTCCTTCTTGTTGTTGTTTCATTTTTTTCAAAGTTCATCCTTAACAAACAACTAAGCTACAATTAACACGAATGAACTTTTTTTACTAAGGGAGAAATATAAAAGACTTATAAACCATTACTTTACATTTTCTTCTTGTGGAAGGAAAAAGGAAGTTGGATAGTAACAAAGGAATGTGAAAATGGAACTTGAACTTGAATGAAAAAATTGAAAAAAAATGACAGATGTTCAATCTTTGATTTTGGATATTGGATCGGGATCGATAAAGGCTGGATTACATTTTCATGATGAACCTTCATTAATTATTTCATCAATGATTGGAAGAGTGAAATATAAACCTGTCATGATGACAAATGTCAAATTGGGATATGTTGGAAATGAAGCAATGAGGAGGAGAGGGATATTGGATATTTCGTATCCGATCAGGAGAGGAATTGTTCAAGATTGGGATGATTTGGAATTATTATTTCAATATATATTCGAAAGTGAATTAAAGGTGGATCCACACGAGTTTTCACTTTTTCTTTCTGATTCTCTTCTCAATCCAGATTCTAACCGAGAGAAAATGGTAGAATTACTATTCGAAACCTTTGGCATTCCAGGGCTTTATTTCGAATATCAACCCTTGCTATCTCTATATTCGTCTGGAAGAACTTGCGGAGCTGTTTTACATTCCGGAGAGGGACTTTCTCAAATAGTTTCAATTTCTAATGGATATGTTCTTCCCCAAACTATTCGTCGACTAAATTTGGGAGGTTTTGATCTGACGGAATATTCAAGAAAATTACTAAATACGAAAGGTCATTGTTTCAAAATGAAAGCAGATTTTGAAATTGTGAGAGAATTGAAAGAGAAATGTGCAAGAATTTCACTTTCTAACGATGATTTGCAGCATATAGATTCATCTGAATTATTTTACGAATTACCTGATGGAAATCGAATAGAAATTGGAAACGAAAGATTTGAAATAGGAGAAGCCTTATTCAATCCACAATGCCTAGGAATAGATTCCATTGGAATTGACCAATTACTAATTGACTCAATACAGAAATGTGAAATTGACACTCAAAGAGACATGTTTGGAAACATTATTCTTGATGGAGGGAATTCACGAATTCCAAACTATTCCACTCGAATAGTGAATCAAGTTGAGAAGAGTGCCTCACCATCAATGAAAGTAAGGCATGTCAACATGTCAAATGAATACTCTGAATGGATTGGAGCTGCCTTCATGATTCTCCATTCTCAAATGAATTACATGTGGTATTGCAGAGAACATTATGATGAATTTGGAACAAATTTTATTCATAAACATGGAGAAACATTTTAATTTTGTTCACAAATTTTGTAATCTATATTTCAAACCAACTGTCTTTCATATATTGAATTCATAATTCATTGTTGAAAATAATGAATGAATAATAATTATAATGATGTTCATTAAGAAGAGATTGAACTTGCATCTTCAATTCTAAAAAAAAGATCAAAAAACTTTTCATAAAGCCCGCTTTTTTTTATCCTCTTAAATTTTATATTTAATTTGAAAAAAGATGGAAGCGAATGTATTTGCGGCTGGTATGACCGATAATTATGAATATCCAGCAGTAAAGAATCCGGGTGGTAAGTAAACGAGCATCACTACAAAATTCTCAAGAAGTTTTGGCTTTTTTATGTGTGATTGTGATCGGAATGAATTTTGATCTATTTTTGTATGATGGTGTATTATTTAAATCATGATCATGATAATTTAATTGATTTTTAATGGTGATGAAAAAAGCCTTTGTTCCTCTTGAGCCTTCATTGTTTGGATATGAAAGAATTAAACATGCTGCATGTGGATATAGAACTTCTTTCTTTCTGACCGAGTCAGATCAATTGTATTGTTGTGGGCAGAATTCATCAGGAGAGTTGGGGAATGGAACTAGTGTTGATTATGAACCTCTCTCGAAGAATAGAACTCTGATTCCACATTATGGAACCATAGAGACAATATTAGGAGGAGATACATTTACATTCTTTATCATGAAGGGTATGTTGCTTTGTTGGCCAAGTGTTTAATGGAATTGATTGCATACATGACGAATTTGTAAAGATGGTACTTTTTGGAGATGTGGATCTAATAATGATGGCCAACTTGGAGCTGGATCAAAAAGTAAATTATTGGTACCTGAACCGGTCAATCCTACACCTTGGGGAGCTCACAGAGTGATGAAGATTGCATTTGGATATTATCACTCTGCAGTTCTTGTTAATAATACAGTGTACATATCAGGAAAACTTTCAGGAAGTGATACCACCCATGCATATACTAAAATTGCAGATGCAGATCAGAAAATGATTGGAGAAATTGTGGATGTTTCTTGTGGAGTTTTTAACACAATGGTTGTAAATAGTATGTTGTTGTGAATTATTGAATTTGAGATTAATTTTCAACAACAGGAAGAGGACATTTGTATAGTATTGGTCAATCAGTTGAAAATGCTTCAACTTCAGCATGGACCAGAATGAATATTGATGCACCTGTTTCCAAGATTTTTTGTGGATCACTTTCCGGCATTGCAATAACATCACAAGATGAGGTCTATTGTTGGGGAGATAACGGCTCAGGTGAGACTGGAATTCCAAGCTCAAGAGTTTCTAATTGGACAATGAATCACGATTTGTGCTATAAGGAAATTACCAATGTTGGTATTCACACCTATCAAACCATTATCCTTACTCGTTCAGGACAAGTACTCATTTGTGGAAATAATTCCAACAATCAATTGGGAGCAGTCATGGAAACTAGTCAAGGTGTAAAAAGAAGTACTCAATTAGAGGAATTATGTAGGAAATTCTCAAACAAGACAGCATTTGTTACAGGAGGATTTCAACACATGATTGTCTATTTTGCTGATGGTGGTAAGTAATTTCATCTATTCATCTACATTTTAATCATCCATTTCAAAGCCATGTCAAAAGGAAAAACCTACATGATTGCAATGCTTCGTCAAGCAAGTCAATCCTCAGAATTGAGTGATATTTCATTTGATTTCCTAAATACATTGTAAAAAAAATTGTAAATTTAAATATTTTTGGAATGTTACTGCTATTTATTGAATATTATTTATTAACATTTTAATTTTCGTGTTCCAATTCGCCCAATTCGAATGAGAATGGAAATTAAATTCCAAAATTGCAAATTTTCCAAAACTCAAAAAAGGCTACAAACAAAAATTTAACAAAAAAAATACCTCAACCTATTTAGCGAAGCTTTTTTTCAATTTTGAATACAACACACGTATTATTAATACATCATCATCGTCATCATAATTTAAATTATATCGGAATAATAGTAGAAAATGGAACGATCTATAATGATGGTACATGCAACCTTGTTTTGGTTGATTTTCCTTCTCTTGTCTGTGTCTAATAGTTTTCTCCGAGAATCAGTGTATGAACCTTTAGCAGGTGAATTGTGGAGTCATATATTTGCAACATCTAGTCTTGTTTTGATTAATTTACTATTAATGTATTACTTTTTTATGCAAAAGAGAAGTTATAAAAAGCAAGCCTTGATAAAGGAGAAGAGAGAAAGAGCATCAAGTGCTGCTAATAGCAACTCCGAAGGTACATCATCCCTTACTGGCGGATTATCAAATTTAACATTGAGCAATATTTCAAATACGACGAGGAAATTATTTTCTTTTGAAAGAAAGAGAAATATGTTCTTGATTGGTGTTTGGTGGCTCTTGTTGACCATCTTGTTTGAATTGTTTATTGGATGGATTAGAGGAGTTGATGGATTGAGTGAATCAAAGGATTATTCTTGGTTATCTTACGTTTCTGTGATGAGATGGGCAAAGAGTCATGTTGTTATTTTGATTGTTGGTGTACAATTAATGTTCCCAATTCTTATCGGAACACTTGTTATGAGAATGGACGAAAAGGCAGAAATTGTGGACAGAGATTTGAATGAATTACAACATGCTGAACAAGAAAAGAAAACCATGTAAATAATTTGTAATATAGGATTAATTTTTATTCACTCAATAATCTATTATTATTACAAATTCTCTAAGAAGATTGGACAATCATTACAACAGGTGAAAGGATAAGAGTTATTTCTTTAAGGATGGAGAATTTGATGGCGTTCTAACCTTAAATCCTAACAATTCGGCAATTTTCACAACTGCCAAAGGACTACTGTACACAGCACTGTTAACAACTGATGCAGGAATCCATCCATTGGCAGATGCTTGATTGGTGAATGAAACATGGAAGGTTTTTTCGCTCAACTTTTCAAATTTTCTCCATGCAAAAATGTTGGTCGAACGAACAGCACCTTTTTGGAACGAGAAATCTTTTGGAGTTTCGTACAAGTCGTCAACACTTGTTGAAACGTGATTAAGAACATTTTCTTTGGTAAAGAATTTTTCCACACAAAGTAAATCTCTATCAGCAACAAAAGGAACACCTGCAGTATAACAAGTATATCTAATCTTCCACAAATCTCCACTTTCGTCCTTCCATTCTTCCAAAGTATTCGATCTGATCGATCCTTTCTGCACATGATTCGTCTTTTCCAAATCATCAGTGGAGAAATAGTCCAACAATTGCTTGGCATCATCCATTCCCTCAACAATTACATCTCCCCTGATGATTGTATTGGCATCCCCCTTGTTATCATAAATATCCATATTCTGTTTGGTGTGATGATAGTGCATTGCATCGAGGGATGACTTGTTCTGAGCCAATTCATAGGCAGTTTTCCACTTTTCAAGGATTTTCTTCTTTGATTCTTCGGTGAGTGGCATGGTGTTGGTTGTGAGCGGGTTTTTTTTGGTCTAGTTTTGAATTAATTGGATTCTCTTTGATCTTGTAAAAGGAGGAGTTGAACAAGTCCTCAAGTTGAGTGTGTGGAGGACTTGATAATCCGCTAGATAAATAAACCGATTCGAAAGTTTACAATTATTTATTAGTTATGTAGAGCATGTCCACGAGACGATCTATTGAATATCAATATAGGCATATTTCTTCTTCTTTCTTAAACAGAGCCAGAATCCAAGTGCAGTAAGCAAAACAGCCACCAGAACGAATGCAGCAGCCAAACAAACTCCAATAATTACTGGAACTCTCCAATAAGGTTGAATAGAAGAGGAGAATTTGTAAGTTGAAATAGTATCATTTGAGGTTGTGTCAAAGAGGAATACCACTTGTTGGACATCACTTCCAATTTCTTTAGAAACTGCATCGCTGGAGCAGAATTTGATTGAATTGGATCCAACTTGAGCAATTTGCTTTTCAGTATAGCTTGATATTGTTGGAAGGGTTGGATTGTTAATATTGGACTTTTGTTGTAAAGCATAAATAGCTAATGGGCTACCAGAAACGGTGCCATCAAATGTAATGCAACTGTCATCGTGAGTTTGTGCAATCAAGTAAACTGGACTCGCAGAAGTAATAGATCCAGATAATTTGGTTCCATCAGCAAGTGTTGAAATGAATGGTTTTGGTGGAATTGTCTTTTTGATATTACCATAAACAATAATGAGAGAATTGTTAAAAAGGAGATTGTTTGACATATCACAAACCATCTGTCCATCATTATCAGATGATGGAATAATTGGTGAAATTACAGTTCCAAATTGATATCCACTTCCAATAGTACTTCCACAAGTTATTGAATTTGCTTGAATTTTCACTTCGTTTCCATTAATATCCTTCATGTTATCAAATTGATACCAGAATGAGAATGTGCTTTCAAGTTTCTCCAAATAGTGAGCATCATAAAACATGTAAGCTCTCAAAACAACAAGCTCATCTTGACTATTTTGATATCTAGTGTCAGCAATATCTTTTGGATTAACATTTGATGCAGGAGCCAGCTCAAATTGAGGAGATGCTGTTCCATCACAGATTGGTTGTTGTTTTGGGAATGCAAGAGTAATCACTCTATTCCATTGATTACCAGTTTGTAATGAGTAACTGGATGGATAGGAAACATCAATCCACTCATTCAATGAAATTTCCTTTGGTTTTGGAGTATCGTTAGGTGAAACATCCAGATAAAATTCATTTCCACCTTCAGACAATGAAACTGCCTTTGCAAGATTCAATTCAAAACTCAATTTCCTGCAATTTCTTGTCAATTTTCCATATTCATCTCCTTGAACTGAAAGAACATGTTCCGCTTCGCCACTACCAATAATAGTTACATTCATTTGACTCACATCCCTATTGAAAATTCCATCCAATGTCATTATATCCACAAAAATCTTTTCTTGTCCAGTGAAATTTGCATCAAATTTGAAATGTCTCAAATATGAAAATTTAGAAATTGAAAATGTAAAATTTGTATCATGATCGGTAGTAGTAGTAGGATATTCATAAAACACTTTCATCAAATAAAAGGAAGGAAGTGGTTGATTGTAAACAAATGTAGCAGATTCCATTGTATTATTATTCAGAGGTAAACTATTCTGCTGATCAATTTGATAGATCTTTCCCATCTCGGCAGCAATCTCCTCTCCGTTCGCCACCACCACCACAAACTGATGTGTAAAACTCAAAGCTAAAACCAAGACGCAAATCAACAAGTGGTGGGTACCAATTGCAATTCGGTGATGATGTTTACACATTTTTTTTAGATTGTGAAATCTTGCAATTCCGCGTGCTCCTAAAATTAACCCCGCCATTAAGGGAGCATTATTCAGAATACTAACTCCTATTAATGGAAGGTAATTGGAAGATCCAACTTTGTACAACAACAATCTTATTTATTGTTGTTGTTGTGGAGAGGAATGCACTGACCGTTGTTGCTTACATTGAGTGTGTTGGAGAGGAGTGGAGTGCCAATCTTGTTGGAAAGTGATGCTTGTGAAATGGAGGTGTGGATGTGGGTTCCCTTCACCATTTTGAGAATTACGAAAGTGTCATACTTCTCTGTTGTGGTTTGGTCGCCATCCAATAGTTCAGCAAGTCCATAATATTCTGCTTCCAATTTGAAAACAGCCCAATCATACATTTTCACGCTCACGTATCCAATTTGTAAGAATTGATAAATTAATTTGAAGAATTTTGATGGTCTATCCACCAAAAATCTACCCTGTTCATCCATTCCACAATAAGATTCCAATCTATAAATTCTCTTATCAAATCCAGCACGTGCCAAAACTGTTTCGCATACAGTTAATTGAGTATCTGAAAAGACCAATGTAAAATATCCATCAATCATTCTCTTAGGGCTTGTATTGCCAGTCTTATTGGCTGTTGCTTGTTGCTGCAAATTGTTAGAGGAAATTGAATTTCTCCTAGACATGGTTGGTATTTGAATCACTGCATTTTGATACTCTTGTGTACTTCTCAATTCTCTCAATCTCTCTACGAATCTTTGAGGTCTGTCACAAAGGCAAAAGTTGGAAGCAGACAATCTTTCCCAACTTTTCAAATGACTTCTAATGTGAGCATAGTGGAAAAAGTCTGATTTCTTAACTTCCAAAATCATAATCCACAAACTAGGTACATTGGTTGTTTTTTTGAATTCCAATCGATAATGGATAGCAACTCTTGGAGCTGGTGTAATTTGGAAATTTCTGATACAATTGTCAAACATGAGTCTAATCTTGTCTCTTTGTTTTTCAGAGAGTTTCATTCCCATGACAACACCATCATCTCGAACACCAAAAATCAAAGCACCTCCATTAGAGTTTAAATAAGCAATCAAATACTCAGTCATTCTTTCTCCTAATTTAGCATAATCTATAACACCTGATTCTGAATTTGTTGAACTAGTAGAAGTTGCAGTGGTTGTTGGTGAAATTACAAATTGAACATGTGAATGCTCACTCACTGGTGTTTTCTCCAATGAACCAATATTTTCTGCAATGAGCTCCTTTTCAAGTTTTTGTGATTCCTCCTTATTGGTCGTCTTGAAATTGATATAATCCGAAAAGATTGTCAATTTATAATCAAGTGTATTTCCTTCATCATAATTTAATTGTGTTCCAACAGGAAAATCTACATTCTCAATAAAGAACCAATCTTGTTGTTGTTGCTGAGTTTGAATAGAAGGTGATGGTGATACAGTTTTTACAGTTTTAATATTTAAATTATCGGTATATATAGATAATTTGGAATTTCCTCTCGAACGACCATTATTACCACTATTATCATCATCATCATCATTATTCATATTATCACTATTTATATTATTATTATTATTACTATTATTACTATTACTATTTAATATTGTTGTTGTTGTTGTATTATGATGCATGGAAGAGGCTGATGATGGAAAATCCTTCAGCGATGAAGAAAATGGTGAAGTAATCGATCCAGTCGAAGTATTCGTATGTAAATCATCAATATCCTCATCAAAGCCTACTTTTGTATGATGATGAGTAGTAGAAGCACCAACAACACCACTGGGAATATTAGAATTACTATTACTTTCATTGGAAAAGTAGGACCAATTAGAGTTTGTTGTTAAACTCGAATGTTGTTCAAAATCTTCATCATCAATAATATCAGAATTGGATGATTTGTTGGTTTTTTCCTGTGGGGAAGTAGGTGGAGATTGTAACATGATGATGAATGAATTGTTTGATATATTCCTTTCTCTACTTTGATGATGAAAATTAATATATTTAATATTTAATTATATTGAGCGGAGTATGATGATGATGGCGGATAATGAAAATTTAAAATTCTTGATGAATTTTCTTGTCGGTATTTTTTCAAAGTTATTTGATTGTTGTTGAATGGGAACCAAAAAAAGGTCTTTTTCATTATCTATTTAAACTATTTAATATTATTTACTGTATAATATTAAATAGTATTACAATAAATATTACAATAAAATTGAAAAATACAAGATTCGGATGGTTGATCATGTTGTGAAAAGATATTTTGAGCATCACGGGTCAATAAATCTCAGAACAGTTTTTAATGACCACGTCAGATTTCACACATCAAAAAAAATTAATAGACATGAAGAGGGGAGGATTGTTTTCGACTATTCCCTCAGTCAATACAAACACCAACAACAATACAACATCATCTTCATCTGCTCTCTATCAAAGATCCTCAATTTCGAATAACAATTCGAATAATTTAAATGATAGAATTTCTTCACCTTCCGATAATTCGAATTTTCGACCAATTTCCACTTCTGTTGGTCAACAGCCTTTCAAGTTTAATCCATCACCAGTTTCGTCTCCAACTTCAACCTTTCCAACAACTAATTTTACTGGAAATCGGTTAAATATTTCCTTGACACATCAAGAACGAAATTCTAATAGTAGTGGAGTTTCGTCTGGTGTTTCTTCCTCCTCTTCAATTTTACCACTAGTTTCGAATAACCCTTCTTCCATCAATAGAAAGAATGTCAACATTCCAATGAATTTTTCTCCAATTAGAGGAGCCAATAGTTTATTCCGAAAGAGTTGGAGAAATTCCAGTGGAGGTTTCTGCTGTAATTTATCCTATTTCGTATTGGGAATTATTTTCTTCATTTCCTTTCTGACTTTTATTGTTTTTGTTTATTATTCAATGAAAAAATCAAATTCTGCATCAAATTCTTTAAATTCAGGAAATTCACTTGGAGGAGATGGAATGAATACGAAACATTCCGAATCTACATTGATTCTGTCAACTGTTCAGGATTTTTTCACACGTTTGAGGACTAAGAATGATCATAGATTGAAAAATGTGCCACTCGAGGAAGGATACAGTCAATTGTTTGAACACGAAAAGGCAGATCAGGAAACTTTGGAAAGGGCAAGTGACAAGCTCACTAAAGAAATGAAAGAGGAAATGTTAAAAGTGAAGGAATTTTATAAAAAGACTCCAATCAGTAAGGTATTTGTGGCAGTTGTGAATGATCACTCTCAAGTGATGAGTGCTCTGATTGTGGCCAAACAGGAAAGACTTGTGCCATCCCACTTGTCTTTGCCAATTCTTCATGTGGATTCTCATTCAGGTCACAAAATAATTCAACACTCAAAGAGTTTGCCAGTTTTGGATTTGAAAAAGAAGAAATCAATTACAGCAATTGAAAAGATGACTGATATCAATAATTTCATTTCCACAAGTCAATATTATGATTTATTGGGAGGACACGTTGTTTGGGTTCACAATGATTGGGAAGGATCTCATTTTGCAATGCCAAGAGGTAGACATACAGCAGTTCTTGCCAAGAGATCCAATGCTAAAAAGGGAAAACCAAAGATTTGCTACAAGAATATGCGTGGAATTTTCTGGGATGGAACTGTCAGTGATTTGACATTTGAAACCATGGTAGATGAGAATGGCAAGATTTACAAGAATGAAAAGGCAGTTTGCACAAAATCTGAAAAATTGAAAAAGCAAAAACATGTCAGATGGGATGTTTATTCGATGGATCAAATTTCTCGATTGAATCATCAAATTTTCAACAATACTCCATATATTTTACATTTGAATGAGGATTTTTTCACTAGCACAGATCCAACGCTTGCTAGTTTACTTCCAAGGGATGAATTTGGACACTTGTTTGATATGTTAGCTAATCTCCTCTCTCCAAGTAAGATTTGCTATTCAAAGCCAATTAAAATTCCAACTAAGGAAGGAGTGGATAAGGTCTGGACCAATGAGGAACACAATAGAGAGTGGATTTCAAAGATTATCGATGAGCTCTTCTTTAAGGGATTAATTTTTGAAAAGGAGGGTACCAGAGCTCCTAGATATACATTCTATTCACCAGAAGTTTTGGAAATGTGGTGTGGTGGACCAAAAGTAGCTCTGGAAGAATTGAAAAAGATTAACAAGTTGGTTCTCATCATGTTGGACAATATTCCATTCTATACTCTCTCATTATTGAGATATGAATATGATTTTCCAACTATTCACCAAGTTTGCAATGTGAACAATTTATTTGGAGTTTGTCCTTCTGTTAGGGTAAGTTTACTTTCTAATAATTTTTCCATTAAAGACTTTTGGAACGTGTAGAGCCCAGCTCATGAATCAACTGATGTGCAAGTTACCAGAGTTTCAGATTCTTTGAAGAATGTTATCAAGAGAGAAGGTTTACCTGCCTTGATTATTCTTTCCAGAGCTAATAGAGAGGGATTCGTCAGTGCTGATAAATTATACAAGATTGAACATTCAGCTCTCAAAGCCATTGAAAAAGGACTCTCTGCTCCAATCTTGCTTCACTATTTGGATGGTGCCAAACCACTTTCAGAAGCACAAGAATCAAACAATCAATTGGAACAAGAATATTCCATTTTGCAACACGTTGTCGAGCAAGATATGGATGATTTGAGCGTCTATGCACCACTCATGACTGATAGAATTGAAAAATTCAAACAAATGAAGAAATTCATCAAGTACAAGGAACTGAGAGTGATGGAATTATTCTATGAAGGTCAAGAATTATTGAAAGAATTTGTCAATCAAGTGGAAGAAAACTTGAGATTTGAAACCCCAATTGTCAAGACTCCATATCAATCTCCAAAGACTCGTATCAAGATTTGCATCAATATGATTGGTGTTTCCAAATTAATTCCACCTTATTTGAAGTGTGTGATTCAAAGAATGAGACAAGAGAAGAGAATTAATTTCCTAATCAGTGAAAAATTAGTAGAAACTGCAGGAGAATTCAGACAAATCATCACCTCAGATATTCAAATTGCCAAAATCAGTAATCAAGTGAAGGAGGACAAGTTTATTTTATTGATGGATATAGGATGTGACAATATTCACAAAGTTTTAGTTCAAACCGAAAGAGGACTCAACAAGTATTTCAGTTCCATGCAAACCAATGTGGATGGTAAATTAATTCATGACATTATGCAAACTCATTCCAAGAGTTGTAGAAAATAACGAATTGAAATCAATCAATATACAATTATGGAGTTTAATATAATTTATTCGAAATATATTTACAAAAATATATAAAGCAACAATTACTTCTTCAAAGATGGTGAATTAGTTGGCACTCTGACCTTCTTTCCTAAAAAATCAGCAACTTTGACCATAGTTAATGGAACTGGATAAATTGCTGAATTGACAACTGCTACTGGAATCCATCCATTAGGTTTTGCTTGATTGGCATAGGTCACTAAATATGATTTTTCTGAGATTTTCTCATAACGTTGAGCAACGAAAATGTTTGTAGCTCTGACAGCTCCCTTTTGTGGTTTGAAATCTGAAGGAGGTTCATAAATTTCATCACAACTGGTTGACACAAAGTAATCAACATTATCCCTCGTAAAGAATTTGACAACATAAATGAAATCTCTATCAGAAACAAATGGAGCTCCAGCAGAAATGCAATAATAACAAATTCTCCACTTGGATCCATCATCATCTTTCCATTCTTCCAATAAATCAACTCTCTTTGAATTGGGATCCAATTTTGTGGCAATATTCATGTCCAAAGAAGTGAAATATTCAATAAATTCGTTTGAATTTTCCAAATCATCAACAATGACATCTCCTCTAATGACTGTAGTTGAATCCCCCTTCAATTCATAAACATCAACCAATTGTTTAGTGTGATGATATTTCATTTCACCATTTTCGCTATCGATGGCTTTTTGGCTGGTCAATTTATCAGCAATTTCAAAAGCTTGTTGCCATTTTTCAACGACTTTTTGTTTGATCGACTCGGAGAGAACCATTTTCTATTTCTGCACGTGATGAGTTATTGGAGGTGAATTAGGAATCAGCAAGGGAGCGGTTGATTTGTTTTTCCTATTTTTTTTTAAATTTTTTTTATTTCAGATTGGTGATTGAGAATCATCAATTACCAATTCATTATGACTTGTCGCATCAGTCGCAATATCAAGCAGAGGACTAGGAGCAGTTCCTCCCCTTTATGGAATATAAATGGTTATGGATGACGATTTCTGAAATCAAATTTATGTTTCATAATAGCATTGAATGAATGCATCAAAATCCGTGTTTCCATACATTGGAATATTATGAAACATAAATTTGACATTTCCACAAGCACTCATTCTTGAATGTTTTCCTCGATGATGACAATTTTACAATTCCCTTCTTTTCTGAACATTTAATTGACGGAGGTGATTTTGCATTTCTTACAAATCTTGTTTCATTCAATTTTAAATATGAACATTCCACAACTGCTGTTTGGGTTACTCATGGAGTGTTAGATCTGAATTGAACATTATCCAAACAATATTTCACTTTTTTCGAAGTAAGACAAGTGTCCTTTCTTAATCAATATTTAATTTATTAAATTGAAATATTTTCAACAACATGCATTATGAAAAAATCAGTTTAATGAATTCCAATTTCGGGCGTTTCAGCAAATAATCTCTAGTTTATTTAAACAATAATTGGACTAATTCATTCTGACTTGAAGAGGATCAAAACTCTCATATATTAATTTCGATCAAATTGATTTAATCACATATAATTCGATGGACTAATCATTAAAGATTTAGAATCACATCGATATCTTGATATATTTCCCTAATATGTTGTTTTACTTCAACACTTACATCATTATCACAAAGATAAAGATATTCTAATTCTTTCATAGTTGAAATATGTTTAGCTCCTTCATTGCCTAATGAATTCGTGTGAATTTCGAGTTCAGTTAGTTGATTCATTTGACTAATATATTTGGCTCCTTCAGCATCAACATTATTACCGCTTATATCCAGCAGGTTTAAATTTTGCAGTTGACTAATGTATTTACATGCGTTAGTCTGAATAGAATTATCTTCAATGTAAAGTTCTGTTAATTGATTCAATTGACCAAAGTTTTCAAAATTTACTCGATCAGTAATCTCATTCGAGCCAATATTTAAAATTGTGAGCTGTTTCATTTCGCTTATATATTTAGCTCCTTCATCTCCAATAAAATTGTCATTAATATTAAGATTGATCAACTGCTTCATTTCACTTATATGTTTAGCTCCTTCAGCACCAAATTCATTTCTAACAGTTTCAAGTTCTGTTAAATTGGTCAGTTTAATCAAGTGCGCAGCTCCTTCCTCATCAATATTGTTTGATGATATCACAAGACTCGTTAGTTGTTTCAGTTCACTAATATATAGAGCTCCATTACTTCTAATATCATTCTTACTGATATCAAGATACGTTAATTTCTCTAGTTTACCTATATATTTTGCTCCTTCTTCCTCAATGTTGTTTGAACTAATATTAAGAAGTGTCAACTGTTTCAATGCACTAATGTGTTTGGCTCCATCGTTTTCAATATTGTTCCTACTAATGTACAGTGTAGTTAATGATTTACTCATCAAGTCAAATACTCCACAATTAAACACAACACCTTTGATCCGAAAGTTCACTGACAATGTTTCAATATTTTGTAAAAATTCACCATTCAATTTCACATTGTTTTTACATTTCATATGTAATTTCAATCTTTCCAAAATGACATTCAACCACTGTTTTGAAACCAATGCACAATTCATCACAATAAATTTAAAATTACCGGAATAATAATGTAAAACTTCATAAATTACATCATCGGGAAGGATGTAATTTTGTTCTTTTAATTTTTTCTTTTTTAATTCTGATTCGGAATTATTTAGCTGATCATTAATAGCATCATCATTGTTGAATATTGATTGATCCGACAAGTAACAACCTTCTCTTGCTCGTTTGCTCATTTTTTTTAAATTATTGTAAAATCCATTATTGGTGAATGCGAAGTAATCTATTCGAAATAATATAGCCTGCATTGTAAATCATTGTAATTCATTTATTGTAAGCAAGAATATATTAAAATTATTACAAAAATTTTCTTAACCTTTCACTTGGCATCATGGGTTCAAAAATTCGTTTAAGGAATTTCCGATGAGATTTCATCAGATGTTAATAGATCGATTACATTGGATGATAGTAATTGATAGTAATTGTGTATGAACCGCCAAAGCTAAATGTCATTAAACATATTCAGAGATAAAAAAAAATGTCAGCACTCAAACAAGTTAAAATTGCTGCCTTGTTGCTCAATCTCTTAATTATTAGTTGGTGTTTGAATGTTTTTGGAGCGATTAATAGGTTTTCTGCAACTCCAAAGATATTCAATTTTGGTGGAGGAAATACAAGTAGGTTTCTATTGAGCTTTCGAATTGGAAACTAATATCAAAAAGTTGGTGATGGTTCGGATGCTAGTTTAGCTGTTTTGCAATCACCATTATCTCTATTTACTGACTCTTATGAAAGTGGAGGTGATTTATTTATTGTAGAATCGAATAGAATAAGAAGAATCTTTTCCTCCAATAATACAATTGTAACCATAGCAGGAAATGGATATTCTGGCTATACAGGAGAAGGATATCTTGCTCTTGAATCTAGATTATCCACTCCTAGTTCTGTTTTTGTTAAATCCAATGAAATTTACTTTACCACATTGGACAGAATTAGAAAAATTGATTCTAAAGGTTATGTCACAACAATTACAGGAAATGGAATTCAACAATTAGGTCAGAATGGTGTATTTGCCAATATTTCTTCGGTAAATATACCTTCCTCCTTGATAGTTTCAGATGAAAATGAAATATTCTTTGCTGACACTTTCAATTATCAAATTAGGAAAATATCTGATGGAATTATTTCAACAATTTGTGGAATTGGAGAAAGTGGATATGGTGGAGATGATCCAATATTAGCCGTAGATTCTCCGATTGGATTAGTCACAGGAATGGCTTTAGATTTTGAAAATCGACTCCTCTATTATGTTGATTATGATAATAGACGAATCAAAATGATTAATCTCAATGATGAAATGCTCTATACACATGTTGGCGCAGGCTCCTTATTTGATGATAATGCTAATCGAAATGAAACTCAATTATCTTCTCCACACTCAATTGCCTTCTCATCCTATTCGGGTGCTCTCTATTATTCTGAAATTGCTAGTAATTACTCAGTGATTAGACGAGTTTATCAAGATGTGGTCAATACGGTGGTTGGTTCTGGAAATTCTGGTTTCTCTGCTGATGGATCCTTTGCTACTATTGCACAAATTAACAAACCAAAAAGTATTTGCATTACCAGTGATGAGGATATCATTTTCATTGACAGTGGAAATAACAGAATACGAAAGGTGCTTCACTCCAATGAAACTTTGATAACCATTTCTGGACAGAATACTTCCTTCAAAGCACCTTTCACAACTCCCATTCAATACTCTCAATTATACAATCCAACGAGGATAAAACTATATGAGAACAAGACAATCATCACCGAATCAACAATTGTAAGACAAGTGGTGAATGGAGTAATTTCAATTGTAGCAGGTGTATATGGTAGCTTTGGAGTTGCACAAGAAGGTGCTTTGGCAACAAGCTCCTATTTGAGCTTTCCTAGAAGTGCTGCATTAGATCTTAATGGCAATATTCTCATAGCTGATTTCAATAATGGTAAAATCAAATTAATTACCAATAGCAAATCGTACACCTTTGCTGGAAGTAAGGCGACCTTTGGTCAAGAAAATGTGATTGGAACGGCCACAAGATTGTATAATGGATGTGGTTTCTCCTACTATAATGGAGAATTCTATTGGAATGATAGTGGAAATTGCAGAGTTCTCAAATTGGGAACTGATGGAATAGTTAGAAGAATTGCTGGCATAACAGGTATATGTGGCTTTTCAGGGGATGGTGGTTTGGCCACCAATGCTCTAATGGGAGTTTCATGGGGATTGAGTGTCTCACCAAGTGGTGATATTTATGTTGCTGAATCTATTAATTCTAGAATAAGAAAGATTTCGAATGGTATCATTACAACTGTTGCTGGAACATCAGTGGCTGGATACAATGGAGATGATATTGCTGCCACAAGTGCAAGCCTTAATGGCCCTCCTGCAGTCTTTGCTACCAGCACTGCATACTATTTGGCTGATGCTGGAAACCGTAGAGTTAGAAAAGTTTCATACAGCACTGGAATAATTACAACCATTGCTGGAAATGGAGCTAGTGGATCTTCTGAGGAGAATATTAATGCCACAAGTGCAATTATTGGTACAAGCTCCCCAAGAGCTCTTTGGGTTAGCAATGACGATTCTGTCTATTATGCAGATGTTTCAAATGGAAAGACAAGAGTTGTAACTAATGGAATAGTTTCGACCATCGCTGGAACTGGAGTGTTGGGCTATTCAGGAGATGGTGGTTTGGCAACCAATGCCAATTTTAGATGGATATATGGCTTGTGGATGGTTGGTTCTGACTTATATATTGCTGACAGTACTAATAATGTTATAAGAAAGCTGTCGAATAATATTGTAACCACAGTGGCAGGAACTGGAAATGCTAACTTCAATGGAGATGGTATACCAGCTCTCTCTGCAAATATTAACACTGCCAATCAAGTAATTATTCATCCACAAACATCTGAAATGTTCATTCTCTCATCAGATAGAATCAGAAAGGTCAACACCAATGGCACCATTTCCACAGTGGTTGGAGGTATTGGTGATGGGGCTCAGGCCATATATGCACTCATTAATCCAACAGATATTCATGTCACCAATAATGGTACAATCTATCTCACAGATTCATTAAATCATTGCATTAGAATGATTACAAGTGATGGAGTTATTTCACTTGTTGCTGGTTCTTACTATGGTGGTTTTGGAGGTGATAATGGACCTGCTGCTAACGCTGTTTTGAATAGTCCAGAATCTCTATTTGTAAATTCGAAGGGTGAAATTTACGTTTCAGATACAGTCAACCATCGAGTAAGAAAAATTGATTTGAATGGAACCATTACCACAGTTGCTGGGAGTGGTTTGGCTGGTTTCTATGGAGATGGTGGATTGGCTACAAATGCTAAATTGAGTTATCCTATGGGAATTTACGTATCCAAAAATGGTGACATTTATATTGCTGATTATGGCAATCATAGAATTCGAAAGGTTTTCAGTAATGGAACAATCACCACTATAGCTGGAACTGGAAGCATAAATTATAATGGAGATATTCAGGAGGCAACTTTAACAACTCTTAATTCACCAAGAGGAGTTTACATGTCACCAAATGAAGATGAAATTTACATTGCCGATTCGGGAAATAACTTGATTAGAAAAATCAAACTTGATTGTCCATCAGATTATGAATTGGACAAGAGATTGGGAGAGTGTGTGCAAATTGTCAAGTGTTTTGGTATTTTGGCCACCGACAACTCAGTTTGTTCTGGAAATGGACAATGTGTCGATGGAAGCTGTATCTGTAACAACCAAACCTTTACAGGGCCTAACTGCTCTAGTATCACTTGTTTTGGAAAAGTACCTTCAGATTTGATGGTTTGTAGTGGAAATGGTCAATGCGTTACAGCAAATAATTGCTCATGCCTTTCTGGTTATGTTGGGAATGAATGTCAAGCGAATCTGAATCCATTCTCCATCGAATTGTTGAGAAATGAAACTATTTCCAATAATTATAGTTATCAGATTAAGGATAATGGATTGAATATGACAAATTATTATTGGACATGCCAGAATTGGGATCCAAATATTTCAATTTCAACAAGTGGAAGGAATGCATTCGTAACTTTCAGTTCAGCTTACTCTAAAGTGTATCTGTTGTCGGTTTATGCTTCAATTCCCAATTTCAGCCCATATCCTCCAAGAATTTCGAATACTATCCTGTTCACTATTATTTCCCCTAATGTTACCATTCAGCCAAGTTTCAATCAAACAACCAATGAAACTCTACAAAATAACCAGACAGTGAACTCAAACCAAACAACAAACAATTCATCCATTCCCGTTCAAAATAATCAAACAATAGCAAACGAAACATCCACTAATTCAAACAGTACTGATACCAAAAGCGTTAATATTTCAGGAAAGTTGGGAGTTTTTGGTCTTCCCTCGGTTTTGGTTTCAAAACAGATTGACGTTTCAGCAGTAATTTCTAATATTTCACTGAACCAAACTTCTATCAATTCGTTCCTATCATGCACTCCTAATTGTACATTAAAAATTTCATATGAATGGAAAATCAATATTGATAACAACCAAGCAGCCAATCAAACTGGTTTTACCACTTCCATTTCTTTAGGTAATAATTTGATGAGCTTTAATCCACCAATTCAAATCCAATTCAGTACAAGTAATGTAAAAGGAGAGAAATTCACACTTTCCCTTGCCCTTTTTTCAAACAATGGAAATATTTCATCGAGTACAAGTATGGATATCGTTACCCCAGTCCAACCACCAACAGCATCTAATTCCACAACTTCAAAATCATCAAATTATTTAATGAGTGTCAATCCAGAGAAGGGAGTTGCCCTGAGTGACTCATTTTCAGTTAGTGTCGCATCATGGAATGCACCATCACAAATTCTTCCTCTCAAATATGCTATTGGATTTGTTTCTAATGGAAAGGACGTGAGATTTACAGATTATGCACAAACTACTTTGTTCAATATTTACCTTCCTTACTTGATCCAACAATCCAGGGGTCAAGTTTCAGAAATTCAACTCTATCTCTATGTTATGGATGCAATTGGAAATGTTGTAACATCTCCAACTGGACTCTCCATTTCAGTTTCTCCTTTTAATGGAACTTCTAGTGAATTGGTCCAAAAAATCAACGAGCTTGGCACTACTTCACTAGTAGTTGCATCCTATGATAAATCCTATACAGTTCTCTCAAGTAGTGGAGGAAATTCAAGTGAGTTAGTGTATGAAATTGTGAAAAATATTCAAATTGATCCAAAGAATCCAGAAACTGCCCTCACATCCATCACCAGTCTTACATCCACTACGAGTGTAATTAATGAAAATATTGTGAGTGAAGTAGCAAGTAAGATCACCTCGTTTGTTGATAATGTGAAAGATATCTATGCATACGAAAAGAGAGTATATGGATTTGTCAAAAGCAAGGTTTCACCTGACAATATTCTCTCTACTGTGACTATTACTTCCAACCTATTAGCAAGTGGAGTTGATAGCGAGAAAACTGTTGGCGTAGTTGATAATGTTGCCTCAATGGTATTGTTAGCAGAAATTCCAAAACTTCTCACAAGCTCTGAAAAGCTCCAATACATCTCATTCACAACTGGTATGGTGAATATTACAGTTTCTAGTTTCAAGATGACCTCTCCAATAGAGGGTAATCAACTAATCGAGGAGGAGAACAATAAGGTATCTGCAAATTTGACAAGTATCATGATGGAATATGGAACCTTAAATAAGGAGTGTGGTCTATCGATGGTCTCCTACACAAAGAACATGAAGTTTGACAATTACACATCAAATACTATTCATGCTTCGAGTATTAACGATTTCAAATTCATTCAAGAGCAAAATATTGTACGACTCGATAATCTCGAGCATCCAATTGTGCTATCATTCAAATTATCTCATATTCCACAACAAAACAGTTCAGTAAATTCCACATTCTCCTGCAGATATTGGGATGAAACTAATAAGATATGGAGCGATAGAGGTTGTCAACTTTCCAATATTGACCTGAATGCTGGCACAGTAGAATGTTCATGCAGCCATACTACAATGTTCACAACATTTGTAGAACAAAAGACTACCAGTATTATGATAGCAATGAAAGAAGAAGTTGCAACATTATATTTTGTACAAATAGCTCTTGGTGCTGTTTATACTATTGTTGCTTTGGTAATTATTACTGGTTTGATAATATTGAGAAAGGAGCAACCAGTAACAAGTAGACTTATCACCCCATATGTAGGAATGGTGGCTCTCATTGCAGAGAGTGTGTTGATTTACATTGTCCAAAGAAGTGTCCTTGTGAGTCAGCTCCTTTCCACAACAGATCCCAAAGTATGGGAAGTTGGTGATAATGCTGCCAATATTATTGCAAACAGTGTTGCCATTGTTGTGAATACTTTGAATTTGACTGCTACATTGTGCTATGTGATGCAAGTTTCCAGATTCCAATTCCTTAAACATTTGTACAAGCTCTTGTCCGATAATAGATCAGATATGGCAAAGAATGCCAAGATTTTGAAAGTCCTCAAATTGATAACCTCTCAGAAAATATTCTTTTCAATTATTGCAATCTTTGCCGTGTTGAATGTTTGTTTCTGGACTCTTTGGGTTGTTCTAGTAAGGACACAAGTCATTGATGCCTCTACCTATACCTATATTGTATCATCTTGTTACATTACTTGTATTCTCTTCTTTGGAGCAGTTATTTGCATTGTAGCCATTGCTGATTGGATTATTTCCACCAAGAAACACGTAACAGCAGGTCAGGAAAGAAAGAGAAAGACTGTCAGTTTCACCACTCTCAGCTCTGAACCACGAGAATCCATCAAGAAGCGACTCTTCTCTCCAAAACAACTCTACGAATGGTTAATTCAAGTTGATGAACCACTCTATTTCCGATTCGAAATGCTCCTCTACATGATTTGCTTTGTCTTCCAAGTGTTAAATCTTGCCATTGGCTCCTCCAGTCTTTCCTACCGATATGCTGACTTGGATTCATACAAGAAAGCACTTGCTCTCGATGGAATCTCCTTCATCTTTGAAGTACTCTATGTGGTGAGTTACTTGTTTGTGTTTGGTGGTTTTGCTCTCTTGATTGCCATATTGTACAAGTACAAGAAGAAGAAACAACATGATGAAGCCTCTACTTTTCTCATCAACAAATTGAATGGTGGCAACAATAACAAGGTCGACGAAGGAATCATGAGTGAGGAGATGAGGGATGTGCTAGATAAGAACGAAGGCTATCTATTATTCGAAGCCTTCTGTGAGAAGGAATTCTCTCTAGAAAACCTCTACTTGTACTCTGACTTGAAAGCCAATGAAACCATCACCAAAGGAAGACAATTCACCAACCTAACAACCTTCATGAGATTCATCTTTAATAACTACATCCGAACAGGAAGCACCACAGAAGTGAATATACCAGCCAAGTGTAGGAATAACTTTTTACTTGTCTATAAGAATGTAGCATCAAGTAGTGAACATATGCAACAACAATTGGGAATTGCTGAGAAGGTGAGTAGGAGTGAGGTGGAAAGACTCGATAGGAATCTACAGGTGGTTATCAAGAATGATCAAGTAGCTACTTTATCAACTAAAACAACAACTACAACTTCTACTAATGAACAACAACAACAAGAAGGAAATATCAAATCTTCATCGCCAGTAGCTGCTGTAGAAAATGTTGATCATGTGGTGGAGGGTGTTGTTTCTGCCTTTGAATTCCTCTACAAGCAAACATTGGTTAATTTGGGTGATACCTTCTCTCGATTTGTCTTTACGAGTGAATACAAGGAATATTTGGCTTCATTGGAGGCTCAGAAGGTTGTTACGGTGGAAATTATTGCTGCCTACGGAGATGTTTAATCATGTTGTTTGTCATTATGTGATGAAAAGCCTTGAAAAATTTGAGATGAAGATTTTCAGACCATTTTTTGTGAAAATAAAATTTTTATTATTGTTTTAAATTTGATGTAACGGATTAATTAATCTGTATTACAAAATCTTGACAATTTCAAAGCAAGTAGGCCAATTATGTTTCCATTTAGGAAATTCAAGGAAAATTGTACATTCTAATTTTCCGAAATTAATTCGACGCCATACTAAAGACAAGCTCTAAAATGGTGATGGAAATTTCATGCATTCTATTCAAATCATTTGTTTGGCCATATTGAAAAAAATGCATTTAAATCTCTTGAGTGTTTCAGTTCCTTTGATTTGTGGTCTTTTATCGTTTGTTTTATTTCCTGTAACATCTGACAGTTTGAAACCCTTCTTGATAATTGGAATATTGCAGTGTTTTGCATTTGTAGCTTTGTTTGTGGTTGATGTAGTAACTTGTTTTTGGAAGGATTTTGTGTTGGTTGGATTTATTTTTGCAGTGGGACTTGCTTTGTTTTATAGAAATGATATTTGTTTGATGAGTGACAGGAATGCATTGCTTTCGGGATGGTGTCATATTTGTCTTTCTCAAGGATTTTACTAGAAATATTTCAATATTCCTTGATGGATTAATTAATGCTAGAAATTATTTATTGAAATATTGAAGAAATTATTGAGCTGGTTTATTTGATCTTAGAGGAGACTTGGAAGCTGTAGTTGTCTTTCTAACACCCAAAACTGAGGAAGGTGTTGAACCAGTTGATCTCTTTGTTGGTGAGCTTGCTTTGGTTGTTGTAGTTGTTGTCGAAGACTTTTTAGTTGGAGAAGAGGATGGTGACCTAGTGACTGATGTTGGTTTCTTTACTCCCAAACTTGAGGATGGAGTTGTTGTAGTTCTTGTTTTGGTTGGTGAGACAGATTTGGTGACTGTTTTAGAGACTGTTGGTTGACTTGATACAGTTGTGGTAGGCTTGGTTGTTGCAGTAGTTGACGAACAAGAGCTACCTTCCTTTGCAATTAAATTCTTAATTGCTGTTTCCAATTCCTTTTGGCTAAATCCTTCAAGACGCTTTGATTCCTTTCCATGGTGGAAGAGCTTGAACGTTGGTAAGCAGCTAATACGTTCCTTAGAAGTGATAGAGTAGAGTTTTGATGTATCTACTTTGATAAATTTAACTTTTTGATTACTGAAAGCTAATTTGCTGTATGGAGTTGCACAAGCAACACAAGCTCCACAATTATCTCCATAATAATCTGCAACAACTAGAGAATTATCCTTGAGTACGTGATTATATTCCTCCTCACTCTTGACATAGGTAACAAATTCATCACTCGATCCAGCCAACATGTCCTTCTTCAAATATTCCTCAGATGGAGAATCAAAGTGTAATAAGCATTCCTCCATTTCATAAGAAGATCCACCAATTACAGTTTCCTTCATTTTTCCATTGTAGAAAAAGACAAATGTTGGCATTGCATGAACATCACATTTAGACATGATCTTTCTATGTTCATCCACATTGACTTTCATAAAGGTGACATCTGTATGTTTGGCAGCTAAACTCTCAACATATGGAGTGATAGCCTTACAAGGACTATTAAAGGTACATTAATAAAAAGGAAAGTCAAACAGAAACATACCCACACCAATCAGCATAGAAATCAACTACAACTTTGGTTTTAGATTTGATTGTATCATCAAAATCTTTTTCCTTAACAATATGAAGGATTCCATTTTCGTAAAATGGTGGTTCAAGTTGCTTTGCTAACATGTCAGCATTTCTTGATACAATGGATTCACAAAGACCATCCAACTTTTGAACAACTTCTCCTTGGGAAATAAAGAGAAAGGTCGGAAGACACTTGGCTCCATATTCATCAGCAATGCCACTAAAATTATTAATATCCACCTTAGCAAAATTAACCTTTGGTTTTTCAGAGGCCAATCCCTCATAATTAGCATCATAGTCTCTGCAAACACCACAATAAGGTGATGAAAAGTAAACTACAACTGATGGATTTTTAGCGATCAAACTACGAAACTCTTCTTCGGATTGAATCTTTGTAAAATTGGTCATTTCTATTGATTTATTACTCTCTATAGATTTTAATATACAACAATGCAGTATTAGAAAAAAGATCAAAAAATCGTTCCTTCCAATGTCTTGCTATTTTTTTTGATGATTAAGGGGAGATAAGGCTCAGAGAGAATGAACTTTAAAATTTACAGAAAAAAAAAGTTCATCTCATCATTCGCCATCATCATTAATTTATTCATTTATTTTAATTATAAATGATGAAGTAATAATATTAGTTTTTATGATCGGGATGTATTGGAATTTATTTGCTTAATGAGATTATTTACAATAAGAGTAGTAACTTTTCTCTTGAATTTAAACTTGTTGATTTTGTTGAAGAGTTGGATAATGAACACCAATTGGATTGGTTGTGTTATAAACAACAGGAACTTGAGTAATGTATTGAGAAGGCATGACTTCTTCCTCTCTCAACATTTGATGAGAGTCTTGCTTTTGAATTGTAATGGAATATCCCTTCTTCTTCAAAATGATAAAAGTAATTCCAGCTCCACAGGCAAATGTCAAGGAAATCATTGAAATGAGACAACCCAAGAATGTGAAAATCATACCGAATGGGAATCCACGACGACGACCACGTTGATTTGATTCTCCATCACGATTGTTGTTATCATTATTTTGGTCTTGAGCTGATTCAGGATGCTTATTTCCTTGTTGTTGACCTTGTTGCTTTCCATCTTGTTGTTTCTTTGGTGGTTTGTTTTGATGGTTTGGAGGCATATTCTTATTAGAATCAGAACCAGATTGTTCATCAGGTCTTGGTGGCTTACCACCAGAAGGCATTGGTGGTCTTGGTTTGTTATTAGAATCTTGATTTTCTTGAGCGAAAGCAAAAGTCAAAATGAGCAAGAATGCAATAGCAAGGAGAAGAAATTGTCTAGACATGTTGTTGATTCTTTTTGTTTTGTTGATTGAAAGATATTACATGTTCAGATTTTGAATTTATAGCTCTGAAATTGGAACTGCTCGTCCGAACTGTCACCAAATGTCACTTCGTTCCAAATAGATGAAGTACTTTGGATTGCGGATTTAGAGTTCCTGTGAATGTTCCATTCAGTGGAAGATGTTCAGTTGATGAAATAGTTGTTCCTCCTCCAGATTTCAATAAATTTTATATTTTATTTATTATTTTGATGGATGGCAATAACGAAATAGTTGAATGAAGTAAGGGAATTGTAAATGGGTTAAAGTTTTATTTTATTATGTACATTATTTATCATTACTTGGACTGACAGGAGTGGCAGCAGTGACACCAATAGAACCAAAGCCACCAACATCAATCTTCAAGAAGGATTTACTCTTCTTATCGTCATTTTCCAATCTCTTTTCAATCCATCCAATAATTTCAGTATTATCACTTTGAATGGCAAGTTGTAAAGCTTGTTCAAGTGAGACAGCTCCAATTTCACACAAATACTTGACAACATTCAATTGAACACGTTTGATGGCCATTTCCAAAGGTGAAACTCCATTCAATGTCTTGATAGCACTAATGTCAACTTTCAATGGTGAATCAGCTGCTGGAGCGAATTTACCATGGTAATTTCCATTTTCAACTAATAATTTAACAACGTTTGGATGTCCATAACCAGCTGCAAAGTGGAGTGGAGTCAATTGTTTGTCTTCTCTTGTGTTGATGACTACTGAACAGTCACAACCCTTTTCAATGAGATATTGAGCACAGTCAACTCTGCCACTGATAGCACACAAGATAATTGGTCTCATTTGCAAGTCGTGTCTAGATTGATCAACTGAAACATTGTACTTTTCAACAAGCAACTTGACAGCATCCAAATTACCATTCTTAGTAGCAGCATGAATTGGTGGATAGGAATTTTCAGTGTACGATTCTTCATAACTTCCACAAGGATCCAATTTAACTTCATCAATCAAATATTCAATAACACTGACATTTCCTCCATAAGCAGCAGCTGAAAGAATTGTTTCGGCTCCCTCTGTAACAGCACCACTGTTAGCACCCTTTTCAATGAGCTTCTTGACAAGCTCAACTTGAGAATTTTGAGCAGCAAAATAAAGTAATGATTGACCCAAACTATTGGAGAAGTTCAAAATGTTTTCCTCAGATGGGTTTTCAAGAGCTGTTTGAACAATCTTGGCACCGACGTGTCCTGGCAAATCCTTACATTGAACAGCAAGGAAAATTGGTAAATCCTTTCCACCAGAACGCTTTTGACAGTCAACTCCATGGTCAACCAAGAAAGAAGCAGCAGGTGGGCAGTGCAACATGCAATTGTGGAGAGCAGTATATTCTACAGAGTCAGCAGCACGTTTTTCACTTTCATTGACAAGATTGGTCAATTCTTCACTTGTCAACAAGTTAGCATTCAAAATTAATGGAATGGCATTCATGTTCTTTGCTCTGATAGCCAAATGCAAGAAGGTTGATGAAGAGTGCATTCCAGAAACAGTGCTACCAATATCGAAACGAGAGAGGGCAAACTTTGGAACTTTGGAGAAGAGAGTCTTCAAGATGACTTGACATTTTTCCAAACAGAATTCATCATGGAATTGAATTCCAGAAATTACAAATTCAATCAAGAGATTTCTCAAATTTTCCTTCACTTCACCATCAGAATTATCATCAGATGGTGGAGCAATGAATTCAGAAGCCAATTCTTGTAAGTGGGTTTCAATGGCTTCAGTAGTGACCAATCCAATAGATCCTGTTTGAGTATTATCACCAATGATACTCTTTCCAATTGAAAGCCACTTGGTCACGAGTGGATTATTATTAATGGTGAAGAGAACAGATTGATTTGCTGTTGAGCTAGTTGGAGCCAATGGATTGGAAGGTGCATTCTTGTAACCTGGAGTGGCTAATCTTTCATTGAAAGAGTTCAACAAGGTAGCATTCATCAACTTTCTAGTATTTGAACCAATCAATGAAACCAACATTGCAAATGGACTCATCTTGCCATACTTTTTCAATTCTTCCAATTTAATATTACCATACTTGGAAGCTTCACTTTCTGTAATCTTGTCAACATTTCGTTTAGTTCTAAAGAACAAATTACCACCTCCTCTCTTGAGCAAAATCTCCAACATTCTTCCATTTTGATTGTAAATGGCATAGTGCATTGGTGTCCAACCAGCATCATTCTCAACATCAACTTGAGCATCTTCATAAACCAATTTTGTAACCAAATCAAATTCATTTTCACGAGCACACAAATTCAATGCAGTAAATCCACCATTCTTATCAATTTGATTAATGTTAATCTTACTTTCCTTCTTCTTTTCCAAGATCATACTCAATAATTCTTCACGTGGTTTCAATTGACCTCCAGAACGTGGTGAAATGCCACGAGGAGACATTCCTCCAGATCTAGGTGAAATGGATGAACTAAATTCAGCTGTACCAGAAGTATTTAAACTCAATCCAGGAATATCACTTGCAAGTGTTGAGCTAGCAGTTGCTGTCGAAGAATTTTTACTGTCAGCAAGTGTCAAATCTCTTGAAATGGCAATGAAATGCAAAGCAGTTTGATCCAAACGATTCTTCTTATTAAAATCAACCCCATTATCCAACAAGAACTTGGTCAATTTCAAATCCTGATTCTTCACAGCAATATGCAATAAAGAATCCTTGTCAACATAACCCATTTGTGTCAATTGTCTAATTTCTTCACTTGTCAAATATTGTTCATCTTCTTCATCATCTGATAAATCTTCTTCTCTCAATCCAGGAGCAATTGTCATTCCTCTTGATGAAGGAGTTTTTGGAGTATCTTCTTTCGAATAATGTAAATAAGCTAATTTCGAATATTCTCCATTACCAATCAAACTACGAACGTCAGTAAAGGAATGTTGTTCGATCAATTTTACAACTTTGAGATGAAGTTGAGTTTGAGAAGATTTCAATTCGTCAATTACGTTTTCAATGGCGTTCATCCATTCTTTACGTTGTTCTTGATTTTCGGCTGAGAACCAATAGGTGAAAGTGGTTGGGGAGTCTTCAGATTGGTTATTTGATCCTTCCTCATTGGAAGGAGCTGTTGTTTTTAAACCAAAGGTGTTTTCTATTGTTATTCGAAAGTAAAATTAATATTCGAAAAAAGGTAAAATGATCGAATAATGTGATGATTACTTACGGAAACCTTTGTGATTTTCAATATCTACAATAGTAGAAAAACGAGTTAATGGAATCTTTTCTTCATGTTTCTTATCAACTTTCTAAAATCAAATTATTCGAAACTAGACTAAATACAAAAACTTACTTCACTGTCTTTAAAACACAACATCTTCCTACCTGTCAAGACTACAAATCTTTTATATGATGACTTTTGAAAGAATTTCTTTTTCGAATTTTCCAAAACGAGTTTTCCACTCTTTTTCACACGACCAGCAAATCCAGAACTTCCAACAGCTGAAGCAGCAGCAATTCCAGAAGTGCTGATGGATGTGGATGGAGCAAGTAAGTCAATGGTTGACATGTTTTTTTTTTATGTTTGATTTTTGTGTGTTGATGGATGACTGATGGCAATATTGAAAAGTTTTTACATGACAGGAGATGGAAATAGTACATTGTTGGAGGATGAACATCTTTTGCTTGAAGTGAAAGTTTGAGAATGATAAGGATTTGTGTTATCCTAAAGTGATTATGTATTCGATTCGAATGGTGTGAAATTTCATATGGAGGAAGAACCCATTCAATTTAAACAAATAATAATTATTAATTTTGTTTTAAGTTTAAACTACTATTTTTGAATGCATCTTCAATTCTCTTCAATTCTTTGCTATGCTTCAATGGTTTGCTTCTTGCATTTCTTTCAAATTTTAAACAAACATAATAAAAGTAAATTATTTCTGAATTTTGTTGAATTCTGATTGAATATGAGGAATGGACTTTTTTTCGATTGTAAATTACAAAATAAAGTGAAAATATTTTGAGTTGCTTAATAAGCGACCTCAATTCCGAGTTGTTAACAATTTTCCATGCTCAAAAAATTATTCAAATGTCTGGAAATAACAAGAAAGGAACTCCACAAAGGAAACAACACACTGTATCATCTCCATCTCATCCTAAACAAAGAGTGGACCCACTACTCCCTCCCAAAAACTGTTGCGCTCATTAATCTTTGGTAAGGGATTAATTTCTGAGTGAGGTTTTTATCAATATTTCGGAAACATTGTAAAATTTTCTTTATTTCACTAACATTTCTTTCTCATATTCGCATTTATCGTTGGTCTGACGTTTTTTTTCTTATCCTTAGGATAATGATATTATCTCAAGACCTGCTCAATAAAGATTTATATTCTTCAAAGCAGGTTCCAGACTGTTTCACCATTAAGGTGAACAGTCTCTGAGCTTTAATACCCATTTGTTTTTATTAATTTGCAATGTAACATAAGCTTTATGGTGCTTAATGGTTCCTGGCAATTCAGAATAGTCCAACGACAAACCCGTTGCACTTGAATGTTTTGCTGCATACCCTTCTATTAATAAGAAAAGTTATGATATTAATACATTGAAACCAGCCATTCAATTCTTTGCAGACGTGGAAGGTTGGCAACTCAATGTAGCTGGTAGTTTTTCAAGAGTTAAGAAAGGTCTTACTAAAGCCTACTATATTGTGGATCGTTCTAAACTCAAACGTAATGGTTTCTCTTCTTATGATATTAAATCATATGTTGATTCGATTTCATCACATAATGAATATAGTATTGATAATAATCTAATAAATATTCGTAAAGTGATTTGACTGTATTCCTTACTCAAACACATTTTCAAATAATATTATCCAATCCGAGATTTATCCAAAAAGCCAAGCCCATAAAAATTCAACCAGATTGCCCTTTTTAATTAAGCCATAATATATCCAAAAAAAGCGGTTTGGATTCTGGATACTAATTCTAGGAATCAGGATTTTATTTTCAATTATAATAGTCAAGTGAGAACAAGAGGAGCACTATTCTCGATAATACATAATACAAATGCTTCAACTAAGAGTGAATCAAATGAATGGACATTTAAAAATTGCTTTGAGCAATTTAAATTGAACTGTAAATATATTGAAGAAACGTTAGATCTATTGGAGAACCTTTTTACAAGTTTGATATATATTATCCAAACTTTCTGCCATGTGTGATGAATCTGTTGTTCTGGAAATATTGCAAATTTCTCTCAGGGTTTGTTCATATCTCAATAATTGTGCCCTCATGGACTGATTTTCAAACCTCAAAGCATCCATTGTTGAACTTTTCAATTGTAATAATCCTTTCAATAGATCGACATGTGTAAAATGTTTGGTCGGCTCCTTTAGAATTTCTAATAGATTATTCATAATTTTGAGATAATGAATACATTCTCCTCTGTGTGTTGAACGAGATTGGATCATTGTAATTAAACACCTTCCAAGAATATCATTGAATAGCACCTTTTCCAAAAAAGAATTAGGATGGGAGCAAATAACCTCAAGATTTGGATCTATAAACTTGTCAATTTCCTTTCTAATAGATTGATGAAGCATGGCCTCTCCTTGTGGAGTACTTAATAACTTGAAAAAGTAATTTTTTCCAACTCCAAATAAACAAGATGAACCAGAATCTTCATTCGTTGATATAATACTCAATGTTCTGTTGCAGATCATTTTCATTAAGACACATCCCATTGAGTAAGTGTCACAATTCTTTGAGATTTTGAAATTTTCCGTTTGTTTGCCTTCTTCCTCATCATAAACCTCTGGAGCAAGATATTACCATGTCCCTATATTCACTGATATTGAGTGGTTGGATTGAATAACTTTGGAATTGTCAAAATCAATGAGTTTGGCATGTCCTTCATTGTTGATTATTACATTTGCCAACTTTAAATCTGTACAAAATTTCAGTATTGATTTTGAAAACAATAAACATACCTCTGTGTGTGAAATTTAGATTATGCAAACTGATGACACCCTCAAGAACTTCAGTAAAGTACTGTAAAACTTCAATCAAATCTTGAGTGGATAAGCAATGCTCCAAATTTAAATAATTTTGGTGCATTTCTGACATTACATGATCCAAAGGAGATCCCATTTCCATAATTAAATAGCTATACTTGCTATTATGCAACTCATAAAAATTACATTCAAATGTTTTGACAATACCCTTCAAATTTGGTGTTTTCTGCATTTAAAGTTGTGAGTTAATGGAGTATGAGGTAGGAGACTTTTTACGGGCAATTTTTCAACAATTTCTTCAATCCTACCGTCTCTAACATATTGATAGAGTTGAAATAGAAATTGAACATCCTCTCTAAGTTGTTCGGTCTCTAGGACGTAATTTAAAATCTGTTTGTTCTCATAAAGTTTGTTAATTTTTACACAGTCCAAAATTAGTTCAGTATCCAATTTTTTAGTCGAGTAGAGGATGGCCAATCCAAAAGTTTTGGTAGCTGTCAAGATAATATTTGAATCGCTTTGTAGGGAATTTGATGCAAATTTCAAAAGTTCACCTTTTTTCTCAATGAGTGGAGTGATAAGATTCTTTCCATACTTGAATTTTTCAGAGGCGAATTGAATGGAAAGTGGATTTTGAGCAATCGCCATCTGAACTATTTGTAAATCCTCTTTGAAAATACCTGGAACTATTTCAAGAAGCAATCCGTTCCTTTCTACATATTCCAATATCTTCATTTTGTCGTTTTTCAATTCTCTAGAAGCATATTCGAAAGAATAATAGTTTTGAGAAACTGCAAGATCAACTATTGTAGGATTATTCCTCAATCTTTCAGATGCATACTTTAAAGATAGTCCTCTCGATTTTACAGCAATAGAAACGAGACTTTCATCATCCTGAAAGGAGTTTGGAAGAAATTCCAAAGCATATCCATTAAATTCGAGCAACTCCTTCATTGTTTCAATGCTTACAGTATTCCAATCTGTAAATTTTTGGAGAAGCATTACATTTCTTTCTGTCAATTCTTTTACAGACATATTTTCCTTCATTTCCAAGTTTAAATAAGAAAATTCCTGTTTCATCAAGAAATTAATAAACACCTGCAGTGCTGGGCAATCAGTTTTGATTCGAATAAAGTGTTCTAAATAATCCATGCCATGGATTATGTTATTTTTCGTAACCTTGTTACCAATACCGCCTCTACTAGTTTCACTTTGAGGAAATACCAAAGCCAATAGAAAATAGTATTGAACGGCCATTTCTGATGTTGTTATGGCTACTGCCTTCATATCATCAATCAACTTTTCAATAATTTCAAAAGTATAACTTTGTGAAAGGTTGTTGATATATCTGAAAACGATATCGACTCCCAAAATTGTTAGATTTGAAATCATACTTCTTATACTGGAACGATAGTCCATTGCTAGGAACCAGTAATTAATGTTCTTCCAATAAATTTCCTTTAACAATTCCAAATTACAACAATTTCTTGATTTCTGTTGAAACATTTTCTTGAAACAAAACTCAATTAATTCAAAATCTTTTTCATCTTGAGTAGTTTCTACAAATTCTCTAAAAATACTGAAAGATTTGTTAAGGTTACGAATTGACTGATTGTAATATGTTTGTAAGAGCATTGCTTTAAATCTTAAAGTTGCTTCCTTGGATAGTATTTGACTAATTACACCATTTTCGTCCAACAACATGCTGCATTCCGTGAGAGAGCAATAGCAATGTAGATCTTTTGATTCTTTAACTAGCATCAATGCATCAAGAATATCTAGTTGTGTTACATGGGAAATAAAAATGAAATTGTCAATAGATATTCTTTCGTTAATAGAAATGACCTCTTGCGGTAGGTTTCGAATGCTCTTTTGTCTAAGATTCAACAATTTAAGCAGACTGGGACCAAAATATTTACCTTCATCATCGTACACAATTCCTGAATCACGAAATTGTTTCTTAGCTGATCCATCACTATTAAATAAAATTGAGGAATATTGAGAGTGGACCAAACCTTTAGTCAGCACAATATAATTCTTTTCATCTAACATCATGAGTTCTCTAATGTCATATCCAAAATCCAATGGATCTGTATTTGTTTCATAATCCATTAATAAATTGAATGCTTGATGAATTTTATCATCCATGATAAATTGAAAAGCTTTTTGAATTATTGAATGATCTTTTTTGGTTGGAATCTTAATATTTGGATGTGTGAATTTCATAACAATTTGAGTAGTAGACTTGTAATTAGTGATTCCTTCGATAGTTACAAATAGTCCATGAATGGTTTCTTGAATATTAGTGAATTTTGTTTGTTTCAATTTTGAACCTTCTTGGTGTTGGCTCATTAATTCTTCTACAGTCAATGTCTGAAATAAATCAACACTTTTGTCTTTGTTAATATTGTAAAATTGTAATGTTTTTCCATCATGTGAAATACAGGAAGCTAATATTGGTTGACAAATTGAAATTCTCTTAAAAAAATAACCATTAAAAGTGATATCATTCTTTTCAATATTTGAAATCAATTGAGCAACAACTTGAATCTCTGTCTTTCCATTTCTAATATCGGCTTCATCTCCATTCAACACAATCTCTTTCAAAATTGTTTCGGTTTTGTAATCATACACTACATACACATTCCTAAATCTCAATACCATACTATTTGCGAGAAAAATCAATGAATCACATCTTTTAGATTCAAATTTCTCCAAATTAAATCTTTTTTCAAAAGATAGAAATAAAAAAGTCACTGGTAATTTTCTGTAAACTGTAAATCGAAATTCCTTTCCCCAAACAATACAAAAAGAATCGTCTAAACTTTGTAAAGGAATTCTTCTTGTACAAGAAATCAATTCTCCTGTTTCTTTCTTTTGGAAAATGGAATTTCTTTCCTTTAGTGTAAAATCCAAATCAGATCCAGTCTTCTGGAATGCGTTACCCTCAAATTTAATTGTCAGCTCTTTTCCTAAAGCTGAAAAACTGTAAGAAAAGAGTTGTACAATAGAATTCACACCTTCACCTTGTAAACTTTTATCAATTACTGTTGAGTAATGAACAAGCAACATTCCTTTTTCTTCATGACATTCAATTTTTTGAATGGAACAAGTTTCGGGTGAATTTTCTTGGAATAAATGTTGGTGGTGAAAACTTACCACAAAATAATTCCCAAATTTGTTCCACAAATAACTTGCTGATATTTTGAATCAAAGGTTGAACAAGTAATCGAGCCATGTTGTGCGGAATCAAAGTGAAAACATTGGCAAGTTTTCATTAGTGGACCTGATGTCATTTTTTACTAATAATTACAACGCGGTCATGTTTAAAAAATCTTATTTTTGGTTCACAGTTTGGAATTTATTTTTCATGTGATGAACACCAAATTGTGAAAGATCTGATTCAGGAAAACAGTCCTTCGAACTGAATTCAATGAACCCAATTCGAGTGAATTCAGATGCCTGCCCAACAGGTTATGGAATTACAATTGAGGCGACAATGTTACGGCAATTTCCTCTAAAAGGAGAGGTTATGGAGTCGTAAAAGAACTCTCAAATTGCCAGAGACCTCTACAAGATCTTGATGAGAAGAAAATGGTCGATTTCAAAGGAGAACAATTATGCAGTCGTTTAACATCCCAAGAACTACTTGATTTAGTTCAGACAGAATTTGGAGAACACTCTATGGACGGATTCGTGAATTAACCACAACAATTCAGTTCAACTCATGGATAGAGAACGACACATTCTTGAATCCTTGGGAACAAAATCTAACGAGTTATTGTGTTCCTCCTTTGGGCTAATTTCTCAAGCTCTAGTTCACTGCATAAAGTCAGAACCCCCCGACAGTTCCAACAGTTGTTTCTTTTACAATATCTCTATATTAGATATTGCAAAAGAAACAACTATTCCAAACTAATCATTTTGGTCAAGTTTTGCTTCTGATTATTGATGATATTGATTAATAGACCAAACTGGAAACCGATTCTGAAACTAATTTCCCTGAACGCCGTAAAATCTGTTATCCGAAACTCACGAATGTCAAGTAACCATTCAACATCCGTTAAAAAATGTCGCAACTTGATGTCAGCTCACATAATGCAAGAGATTCGTCTATTCCACTCCGTGCTACTACTTCTACCCTTCTAAAACAATCAACACTCGAGCAATCGTGTGAGAAAGTAAACGAAAGTTCATTAATCATTGAAACATTTCCTTCCCAACATTCTATTGGAAATCAAACACGAAAGGTTCATTCTCCACGTTCAGATCAAACTCTTTCCGAAGAAGAAACAAATTCCATCATTTTGGAAATGAAAGAAATGGACGAAATGTTTCGAACAAACAAGAAGAAATCGAAATTTGCACATCTTTATCAATCAAATAAGAAACAAGGTTTAAATCAATCGTTTGCCACATCAGAAAAGTTTAGTTCATCATCCCATAATGAAAATTTATGTGCATCTTGTTGTGGAACTTTACGTTGGTCAACTGTCATGATTTTGACAGCTGTCTTTTCGATAATGATACTTTTATTTGTTGCAATCATTTCCTCGATTATTGTTACGAGTTATGATGAGTTGGAAAGAGGAAATTCCAAAGCAGATATGAAAAGAGTTGTCAAAAGTTTTTATGATGAATTTGTGAATTCATTGGAGGTATGTTTGACTTTTGACAATGAGTTTTAATTGAAATTTTGGATAGATTATGCAAGCAGTTGCTGTTTGGGATGAGCCTTATAAATTATTTCAAAGATATTATGATCCATCAGAAAATCAAACTGAACTGGCAGTTGACATGCAACTTTTTTTGGAAACTAATATTGATTCAGCTCAAATGTTGTTGGAAAAACACAACTATGCGCTGTTCTATACCTTGAATGGAACTTTAATTGCAAGTAGAGCTCACAATCTTATAGACGAAAGTCAAGATTTATCCGATTTGTCAAAAATTCCAAAAGAATTATTGGAATTGAATGTAAATTCGAATCCTCTTTTCAGAAATGCAGATAAAGCTGGAACTTCGAATGGTGGTTTCCTTAAAGTTTCGAATGGCGTAGTAGAAAATAGCAAAATTGTCATGTTAGTGGCGAAACCAGTTTCTCCAAGTAATTTCAATGAAAATAATCCAACTTCTGGATTGATAGTGTATGGTAGACATGTCACTTATCAAACTAAGGAAAGAAATGTGTTTAGAGCTTCTACATGTGTTAGTTTTTTGAATTTTGACGAAACTTTACAAAAATATTCGAATGTTAATGCTACGAGAGTTTCAGTAACAAGTAATATTTGGGAGAATGATCAAGTTTTATCCATTGATATGTATGACGACCTCTCTAGTAGAAACTCTCTCGATGATCGTCATTGCTATTCGAAATCTGAACTAAACTCAACTTCCCCTCGAGTTGGTTCCATTCAATTCCTTGCCGATCTCAATGGAAACCCAATCCTAGCCATCCGATCCGATACTGAACGAAACATTTACCTCCTAGGAGTTCGTTCCTTAGCCCTCTCCATTGCCTTACTAGTTTTTTCATGTATTATTGCAGCCATTGTAATCATTGCCTTTGTGGAGAGGCGAGTATTGAGGAGAATGTTTAAACTTTCAAGGAGAATTCAGGAAATTACAGCATCACATGATCCTAAACAGAGAATTGAAATTGGTCGAGGAGGAAACTCAATTAATGCCTCGGAAAGAAATTTGATTTTTGATGAAATTGACACGACGGCGAAATATATTAATGAAATGTTGACTAGTTTGGATATTGTATTGGAAGAGCAGTTGAAGGAACAGAAAATGTTAAGAAAACTATTGGAAAGAGTGTACACAGCAGAGGAATCAGGAAGTGCCATTATGAATGCTGTGAAAGATGTCGTGTTTATTGTGAATGGAGATAGTGGACTAGTTCTGAATGCAAATAACAAGTTTTATGAACAGATGGAGAGGAGTGTGATGGAAGTGGAGGCAAAGGATCAAGTTTATGTTTCGAATTTGTTTTTGGAAATGAAATCACTCGAAGCCAAATTTCAGAATAATTTGAGAACTGCCTTACTCTCCCTTAATGATGGAAAATCGCATCTTTTCAGAGGAATGACTCCATCTGGTAAAATTATTAGATACAATGTATTCATTTCCAAAACAAAAGTCATGCAAAATAACGAGAAGGTCATTTCATTCCTATTTATGGCAAAGAAGGACGATTCACTTTCTTTAGGAATTGACCAAGAAATCATTAATGAAAAATTTGAGAAAATGATTAATAATACGAAAAAGAGAAGAAAATTCCAGAAATTCTGCTCAGAAAAAGGTCAACTCTACAATTTCAAGTTTATTAGAGAAGTAAGGGATTACAAAACAACGGAACTTCCAATTGACCGAGCAAGGAAACAATCTGAAATTTGTTCCAACTTTTTGAGGAAAGATTCTCCATTCCCATTGAATATTGGAGCAATTGATTTGATTAAGGGAGAAATTGAAAAGATTCTAAAAGAAGAAACACCTCAAATTTCCTTATTTGATGGATTGAATGATATTTTGGAAAGTATTTTGAAATCAGAAGTTTTTACACTTTACAAAATTCAAAAATCAAATCTTCTCTACACATAACTGTTGCAAATAGATTCAACTTATTAATTTTCCTAGTATTTTATGAACGACAGATGACTTTGATGTTTCATTTTATTAGCATTTAAAATTTATATTTGAGATTTCGACTGGAACACAATTAAGACAGGAAAGACTGTTGATTGAATAGTGAAGGGTAGTTCTATAATTCTTGCAAAGTTCAAAAAGTGCATTATCCGAATCTTTCGAATAATCTAAAAGAAAGTTCAGAACATAGATTATTCTATTGGCAACTAGGGTATCTGAAGGATTTTCATCAATATATCTTTGAAAGATTCGTCTACTTTCTCTAACTTTCTCTGAAAAGTTTGCTTCTTCACTTTCCACTTCGAATATTGAAACGAAAGCATTTTGTAAACTTTTGAATTGAGAATTACAATTCGATTGTTCCAATTCGTACAGCCATTCGTCAGGATTAATCGAATTTTCTCTCAAAATTTCATGAACTGAAATTAAATGTTTCGTTTTTGAATTGAAAATTTCCATTTCCAGTCGGTCAACTGGCCTCAACACGTATTGATTGATTATAATGGGAGATACTGAACCACTGTCCACCAAAATTTTACAATCGAGAGTTTGCCCAAAGGTGGCCAATTTTCTGGCGTTCTGAACTATAGGCCCAACAATCGAATAAGAACGAAGCGAATTGCTACCTACATTTCCAACAAATGCCATATCTGTAAAAATTCCTATCGAATAACAAAGTTTTCTTTCAGATTTACCATGAATATTATCTAAAATCTTGCAAATCTTTAGACTTGCTTCGATTGCACTTGATTCACATTTCTTATTTCCATCGACAAAAGTGAGCTGATATTCGTCCATGCTAAAAATGTGTAAATCCGAAACTTGCATTGTTTTGCAAAGAGTTGAGAGTCCGTTAGCAATTTTGGAAAAGATATTCGAAAGATCATGGGCTGATGTGTCTTCGTTGAAGCCAAATAATTTTACGTTTACAACGCTAATTCTGGAATAGTTTAAACCTAATTTGAATAAACTTCCTGTGGTGATTTTTGAACTATTTTGAGAGGAAGTTGTAGAGTTTCGTAAAGTGGAGGTCTTGATCATTTTGGAAGTGCCAATTTCTGAGGAAACTTTGATGGATTGTTGATCCTTTTCGAATAAGGAAGGTTTCCACTCAACCTGTTCGAAATTCTTCAATTGATTAAAAACATTTTCTGGAAGAAAGGATTTAAATTCGTTCAGCCAAGTTACCATGTCAAATAAATGTTCATAAATACTATCCACTTCTTTGAATTTGCTAGAATTGAAATTACATGACTTCAAGTCAAAAGTTTTGATTTTCAAGAATTGATTTTCCAAGAATCGAAGAGGGTCTGTTACCAAATGACCAATGATAAAACTACACACCACTCCAAATACTATCACTACAATAGCAACTCCCACAGAAATGCCAGAATTAATATTTGTAGTTTTTTCGACATCTGACTTGAAGACAACCATGTAGAGAATCCAGTGCACGTTCAAAAACTTGTAATCAACTTTTGAAATATCATAACCAACCCCCAGGCTATATATCTGAAAGAATGAAGGAATTTCTTTTAAATTACCATATTGGGAGCGAACATCTTTCATCAGTTGACCAGCATCTTTGTCAGTTAAATCAAATATCGAAACCCTTGATCTCCCTTCACTTGAAGATGAGTTAATTGATGCTCCAATAACCAAATCATTCAATTCTGCCAGTATAACATATCCATTTCCAATTAAGGTTAATTCTTGTAAAAATTCTTGAATGGAATTCAACATTAGATTCGATTTTGCAATTCCAATCAGCTGCTTTTGTCTAGTATGTAGATAATGTGAAGAGTTATATATTTTGGTGGAGCAGTAAATTGCCATTCCAGAGTTGACCACCAAATATGGTTCACCAATGATTACATTTGTTTGTAATTCCTCAAATAGTTGTAAACTCTGATTCCAGTAAGGTTGTTCTGTAACATGATAGGTAGAAGAATCATTTCTAAAAACACTAGTTGTGCTTCCATCTGTTTCGTTAACATTCCAAAAGATTATTCCCTCGTTTAGTTTCTCTAAATAGGTCAGTATTGTATTTGGTGGATAACCAGTCAAGGTATAGGTATACAATTGATCAGGATAGAAAACTCCCAATCCAGACGATTTAAAAATCTTGTATTTCTCATACAAATAAACAAGTTTCGGTTTTTCTCCAATTACTCCATTATTAATGTCAGCTGCCAAGCTCATTGACAGCTTGATATGTGGTTCTATCTCTGAATTGATATAAGAAACTGTTTTATCCCCCACCTTTCCTATCAAATCTTTTGTCATGTTTTGAAGAGCATTCGTAGATCCCACAAATGAAGCCAACCAAACAAATATTGAACAAGTTATCAATAGGATAACTATTAGAAAGGTAATAAAAGCTCTCATTGATATGAATCCCATGCATGCGATGGGTTTCTTTTCCATTAGCTTTTCCTTTTCGTCTGTTTCTGAATGATTTGAACTTTCTTCAGAACTTTCGTCTTGTTTCTTTCAAAACATTAGCTACAGAGAGATTTTGAAAACTTACTGGTTCATAAGGAATAATTTGAATGGTCATCTTTTTTTAAAGTTATTTTAGCTATTATCATTGCTAATCATCATTACATAACTACCCAAATAAGGTCAATTGAGTTTTTAGCATGGTACTGAAGTTTTTGCTTGATGGCAGGTGACAGACCTTTGATGTCTTCATTCTTTCATTTATCCATTTACGATTTGAAATTTTGTGATTTTCATTTTTTATTGTAAATGTTATTGTAAACTTTGAAAATTAGTTTCGAATCAAAAAATTACATAAATTTAATCTGTTCAATTTTCATACAATGAAAAACTTGAAGTATCATTGTAAAAAACAAAGAAAATTAGGAGTATTGAAAAAAAACTCCTCAATTTTCACGCAACTCCCCCGCAATTTCTCCCACATCCACACTCAACCTTTGGGAAGAATCCTGTAATCCAAACATGCATTGCAAAATCTCAACATTTTCACTCCGTTCCAAACCAACTCCGTAATTTGAAAACTAAAAAAAATGCAAAAATTCAACGCCGGCGTTCTGTTGATGACCCTAATGGTCGCCATCAGCATGCTCCTGTTATTAACGAGCCAATCAGTGAGAGCCGATTTGCCAGTCCATTGCTTGTATAATTCCACAGCTCCTGGAGTTTGGGAATTTGAATTGACTGATCAAAACATGAGTGGAGATGATGTTGCTGCCAAGTGCGATATTCGTGCTCCAATTCAAGCAACCCGTACAATGAAAGTCTATTTGCAAATGCCAGATATTGCCATTGATGAGAAGGGAAATACTGGATTCTTTACTTTGGTTTATGATCAAGGCTTTGAAGTTGTTGTTGGTGGAAATAAGTATTGGGCCTTTTTTAATTATACAACTGCTGGAAAGGGTATGTTTTTATTAATATTCAATGATAACAATAACAAAATTAATATCATCATTTTCATTAATTAATTAATCATGATGATGAAATTTAATAATTAATTTTATGATGATGCAAATAATTTTGATTGGATGCGGAATGTGGTATGATGGATAATTAAATATCTAATGATTTTTTGCATGATTTTTGTGCAATGCAATGATGTTGATGTGGTGAATATGAACATACAGACTCTCAAGGAAATGACATTATCATTTCAAACTGTGATCGTACTTTCACTGGTTGGTATCATGAAGCTAAGGTCAAGGCCAAGTCTTGGGGATGTTACAGAGCCAGAAGACTCTCATTGCTCCAAGGATCTACTGCTACTCCAAATAAGTTTACTCATACTGTTGCTCCTAGACCAAACTATAAGGGAATGGTTTTCAAGAATGACATGTCTTTGATTAATGATTTGAATGCTTTGCATGCTAAGGGAGAAATCTCATGGAAGGCCAAGCCAATGCAAGAATGGGAAAATCAACCACTTGAAACTGTTGTTCCAAAATTCGGTCAAAGAAGTGAATCTTTCAGATTGAAGCAACGTAGAGAACATACCAAGTTTATGAGAGCTAAATTCGGTGAACAAGCCAACAAGAAGGTCTTGCTCGAATTGAGAAGTGAAGATTTCAGCAAGGCTGCTGGTAACTTGACTTTCCATCATTTGAGAGATATTGCTGCTAAGGGTTTCGTTTCCATTCCAAAAGCTTTTGACTGGAGAAATGTCAATGGTCAAGACTTTGTTTCACCAATTAGATCCCAAGGTCAATGCGGATCTTGCTACAGGTAAGTTTAGTTTTTGAGAATTTGTTGAAATTTAACGAATTACTTGAACAGTTTTTCAACAACTGCCATGATGGAAGCCAGAAAGAGAGTTTTCACTCAAAACAAGGAACAACCAGTTTACAGTCCAGAAAATATCATTTCATGCTCTTTCTACTCTCAAGGATGTGATGGTGGTTTTGCCTATCTCAGTAAGTAATATTATTTAATATTTCGGTTTGATTAATCAAAAATATAGTTTCCAAATGGGGTGAAGACTTTGGAATTATCGCTGAGCAATGTGATCCATACACTGGAACTCCACACAAGTGCAATCTCAATCAAGCTTGTTCAACCAGACAATACTGGACCAATTATAGATATACTGGTGGTTATTATGGTGCTGTCACTGTTGAAAATATGCAATTGGATGTCTTAAAGTATGGTCCACTTTCTGTCTCTATGGAAGTTTACAATGATCTCTTCAATTATCACAGTGGTATTTATAGACATGTTTCATCATCAAAGCTTACTTCTCCAGTTCCAAATCCATTCGAACTCACTAACCATGTTGTTTTGATTGTTGGTTGGGGTGAAAATGAAAAGGGCGAAAAATATTGGATTGTCAAGAACAGTTGGGGAACATCATTTGGAATGGATGGTTATTTCTTGATTGCTAGAGGTGTTGATGAATGTGCTATTGAATCTGAAAATGCTTCTGCTATTCCAACTCAACCATAAATTGATCATTTGGAATAAACAATTTAAATTTTTGAATCATATATTGGATTAAGGAAAATCAACTATCTTTGTAATTCTTTCAAGCGATAAAAAGTTGTGGAAGTGAAAGTGGCTTCGATCCACTGCCTCAGAATCAACAAATGCAGGTGTTCTTTTGTGTTCTCCCTGACTGAACTATTCACCTCCAACCATCTCTGTAATTTTCTCTCCATGTGAACTTGCATGTACAAGAAAAAACTTCACATTGTGGTTCTCAAATTTTTAATAATTCATATAAACAGTTAACACAAAATTGTTAATTTTTCCACATTGCCACTCCTAACCGAAATGATAAGGTATATTCTCCATCAAATTTTCTTTAATTTAACCGATTACACATTTTGCATCCTCATCAAATAATCAAAAAAT